TATTTCTGCATTATTAGAGGCAATCCAGATTTTCTGGGGAAGACTTAATGGCAAGCAACCAATTAACTCATCTTCAATGGTGAAGACATTTATATTTGCACTGGCTTTGTATTTCCTTCCATTTAAAGGTATTTTCAATAAAGATAATGTATCAACCGTTCAAAGAAATAGGGTTGAATTTTAATACTTTGTAAACCTTTTATTGTATAAAACATGGTGATGAGGGGAGGATGGAGAGAGGAATGGAGATATAATGGAGGGTTGAACTTGTTCAAGATACATTGTAGGCATATACAGAACGATCACAATGAAATCCCCTCATATTATTCATGTATGCTAATTCAAAAATAAATTTAAAAAATTTTAAAACATGCTAATGATATTACTTATTTAACCTATTTCTGATTCAGAAAATATGAGCCCTGCTCCTATCTCCTCACACACAAATATAAGGGTTGAAACATACATTCCATGGGCTCCACCATCTGACACCTGCTCTCACCTTGGTCAGCAGTGGCACCTGAAATCATGATTCCTGGGATCAAGCATGAACCTTGGGTACAGAAACTCAGCTTGAATGCACAGCTTGTTTCTGGTCTTAGCTGTGTGGCCTCAGGACCTTTGCACTTGCTATTTTCTCTGCCTGAACCCACTTCCTACAGCTGGCTCCTTCCCAGCTTAAATGTTAGCTCCTCTGAAAAGCCTGCTCAGGCTGCTTCCCACAGGGTCTCTACTCTCTTCACATCAGCCACTTTGGGTCCTTTTGTAATTTCTCAATTGTTTTGTTTGCCTTTTGTTCTTTGAAGACAGGGGCTTGGTCTTATGTGGGCTCCTGTTATGGAGGCATTTGAGGACCTTGGCAGACCACATACCCATGGCTCAGAATTCTCATCCGTAAAACAGGAAAACTAGAACTGAGGACATGGCTCAAGTGGCAGGGTGCTCGCCTCACAAGTGCAAGGCTCTGAGTCCAAACCCTAGTAACTTTCCCACCCAAAAAAGACAGGAAAAAATAATACTCAGTTGTGAGGTCTGCATGAAAATTAAAGGGGACAATGACAACCATGATCCTCTGTTCCTTGTCTTCAGGGGTCTGCCTGGAGGGGCCTGTGAGTCAGGATTTGTCTGGAGTCCTAAGAGTGGAGTTGGGGTCATGCCTCAGCTTGTTCCCTGGACTTCTACAACCCCCCAAGAAAGGATTGCATGCTGTCCACCCTCTCTCCTCCAGTTCCCAAGGACACCCTGCCCCTCCTCTTCTCCCACTCCACTGCATCTCCAGGGCCTGGGGGTGGGGTGTGAAGCCTTTAGAAACCAGCCTGGGTCCTTGGACTGTATCACTGCTTCAAGGTCTGCTCAGCTTTACTCAGTCCTCCCAGGGACTCCCCAAGTTCTAAGCAAGCCATCTACAAATGGGGTGGGGGATATGGGTGGGAACAGCTGTGTAGGCCCAATCCCTGCATTTCCTGCTTCCAGTGTTGGACAGTTTCTTTTCTCCACCCTCGTGTTCCCCTTCCCAGTCTGACACAACCAGTCCCTCCCCACCCTGCCCCAGCTCCTGGTTCTCCCTCAGCCTCAGGGACTGCCTGAAGCATCCTCCCCACCCCAACGGGCCCTGCCCTCCAGTGTTGGGCACAGGTGTTCATTTATTCCAGTACCTGTTTATCCCACACTGTCAGGGAGGAAGAGCCTCCTCAGCCCTCCTGGGGTGCCTGGCAAGGTCTGAAATTAAAAAAAAAAAAAGCATAGCAAATGTATTTAATCAAAGATTTCTGTGGTGGGAGCCTTTGAAGTAAGGCCCAAAGACCAGGGGTGAGCTATCATTTTTATGCTTTGTTTTGATGAGGCATCGATATCACAGGTATTTAAACTGCTTTTGCTAAAAAACACTGACTCCTTGCTTGGTCCCATGAATTAATGAAAGGCAGGAGAAAAGCTTGACATCTATCTCTCCATTTTGTATCCATCTTTGCTCTGAACCATTCACCTTGCAGCCACTTTAGAATTCAGGAAAGACAAGACTGATTGATGACATCTTTATGACAAGGGATTAAAACTACCCCCAAAATAAAGATCCACAGAGCTTTGCAGGACAGACCACCCCCTAAGTGAGACAGTGACCTATGGTGATGAGGCTGCACCCTGGAGCAGGGGCAGTCATCCATGGGGACCAGGTTGATCCCCAAGTGGTGACAGTGCCAACTTCTCAGGAACCCCTTGATAATGATCATCCAAGCCACACTTTGCCTGTTGAATACTTACGCACTCCTCACATTCCCTGTCTTAATTTTTCCTTTATTTAAACCTAAAGTTCATACCTGTACCCTGAAGATGGCTGAAGTGCTTACCTCTGCCTCTTCCCAAGCTGCCTGCGTCCTGCCTTATCCGTCTCTCACCATTCTTCATCTCTTTACTTAGCGCAATGGGTGAGGGGCATGTGGAGCCCTGGGAGTCGGGCCTGTGGCCTAGAACCCCGGTTACAAGGACAGCCATGGAGAATGGGAGTGGACAAAGGGTGCGATCAAGAAAGAGCCTGGGTGAGAGGCCCAGCGGGCCTGGGGCAGAGCCCCTCTGGGATGAGGGTCTCAGGCCTATGAAATGCAGGTAGATCAGCAAGGTCGGGAGCTGAAGTGCGACTTCTGGTTTTATGGCTGGCTTGGGGGAAGAGCTGCTAGCGTCCATGACCCACCTTGAGCAAGAGGAATGCTCCTTCCCATAGCCTCCTGGGGGAAAAGGCCAGGAGAAAAGAGGTCAGAAAGTCAGAAAGGTCTTCCTCTGATGCTCTTTCTGGGTTCCTTCAGGTCCAAATGCAGTGTGCTGGGGTGTCATATTTTGGGGATCTGAGCCTCAACGCCACCTACTGTGCAGCAGTTACTGCTTAGGCCTTAGGGCCAGACAGATGACATTCCTTGGGGACGAAGCTCCTCACGTAAGAAGGGCTTAAACTGCTTTCACTGAAAAGCACTGACTCCTAACTTGGGCCCACAAATTCATTAAAAACAGGGGAAAAGCTTGGCATCTCTGTCTCCATTTTACCTGTTGTCCTTTGCTCTGAGCCCTTCTCTCCTGCAGCCACCTTGGAATGAGGAAGGACAGGAATGATGGATAACATCTTTATGACAAGGGAGTGAAAGTACCCCTAAGGAACAGTGGAACATGCAGGACAGACCACCCCTAAATGAGGACACTGACCTATAATGATGAGGCTGCACCCTGGAGTAGGAGTTATCGTGTCATGGAAACCAGATTCCTCCCTCAAGTGATGACAGCAATAACATCTTCGCCAGAGCCCTCCGAGTACAAGGACTGAGATAGGTAGGGGTCAAGCAGGCCCCACTCGACCACTGGAGCACACTGTGACTGGGGACCCTGTCCTAATTTTTTGTCTATGTAAAGCTGAAGCTCATGTCTGTCCTCCACCGATGGCTAAAGATGGGCTGCGGGCTTCTTCCCAGGGCCTGTTCTGAGCTGTGTAATAAATCTCCTTTCTCTGCTCTTCACCATGTCTGTTTTGTTTGGTGTATAGGGGAGAGGAGCTGGACCTGGCATGAGGAATCCCAGGAGTTTGGGCCTGGGATTCAAAACTCCAGTTTCTCTCAAAACTCACATTTTGGTGGGAGAGACACCAAAACCACCATGATGTAAAGAAATATGGGCTGCTAAGGAGACAAGTTCAGCAGAGACTGTGGGTGAGAGCCCATGTGTATGTGTGGGGAATCCTCACCTTCTCCTTCTATCAGATGAGAAGCCTAAGATTCAGAGAGGCTAAGCAACTTGTCCAAGACCACAAAGCATAGAAGCAGTAAAGTCAAATCTATGTTGTCTTTAAAAATTAACTGGCCAGGTGTGGTGGTGCATGCCTATAATCCCAGCACTCAGGAGGCTGAAACAGGAAGATCCTGAGTTCCAGGCCACCCTGGGCTACTTAGTGGAGACCTTGTCTGCCAACCCCTCGCTCTCCACTAAAAAGTACCTCTGACAGCATGGATATGTCCCTAACTCAATGCAGAACTGTTTGTATTTTATTTCAGCAATGATTCATTTCGGTAATAAAAGCAATGAACAATACGAGCACCCAGTATATATTATGTTACCGCGTTTATTGAGAGATGCAATAAACATACACATCCGTCTCCTGCATAATTTTCATGGCCTGCCAGGGCAGAATTTAGCACCCAGTCAGCTGAATGGTTGAGTTTAGGAGGAAAACGAACCCAGATGAGGTCAGTGCGGTTCTGCAAGGTCCTACAAGGTGACTGGAGGTCACTGTCAAGGTGACGTCTATGCAGAACCGGATTCGCTGGATTCTCGGGCCTCAGACAAGCTTTAACCCTTCCCAACACAGAGCCGCTGGCGACAGAGAGCAACTGACCAGGCTCCCTGGCGGGGGTGGAAAAGGCTGGTGGGAGGTCTACGATGGAGGAAGAGACGGAAGAGGCTGTCCTCCTGCCCCCGCAAATTGCAGCCCAGGACCAACTCTCTGGACTCTCCGGCCCATTCATGAACGCATCTTCCCGCTCCTCCCCGAATAGAATATCTGGTCAAACCAGATCCACCTGGAGAAATCGACTGTCCTTCAGCTAATAATACCTCACTGCCTCTGTGAACCCTTTCCTGGCAAGACCGCCCCGCTCGCCCTGCGGCCGCCACCCCGAGGGCTTCCCATCACCTTGTGTGATAAGTGTCTCCTCCAGGGCCGATAGCAGAGCAAAACAAATGCAATGAGCTCATCGAACGATGGCAGGGTAGGTGCAGGAGGCAGTAACGAGTTCAGGTTCTGACATTGCGTGACCCCACACTAATTACACGGCTCACGCGTCTGTGGTAAGAAGTAATGAATTAATGTGTAAAAGGTGCTTAGAACAATGCCTGCAAAATAAAGTGCTAAATAAACGTGGGCTCATCGTCGTCATTTTCACAGCGTCCTCGATACGTCATCGCCCTTTTAAGGGATGCTTCCCACCTTGGCACCTGAGCGGAAGTCGCCCTCAGGGCTCCGGAAGTGACCTCAGAGCCCCTCAGAAACATGGCCCCGGAGAGTTCTTCCGGAAGCAGTCGCCGGCACCTCCGTGACGCTGAACGAGTTAGAGCGTCCCGTGGGGTTTCTATGGTGCTGCCCTCAGTCCCCAGTCTCTCCGCTTCCTCTCCTGCCTGAGCGCCGGGAGCGGGCAGGGCCGGCGGCGCGTCCCACCCGCGACGGAGCCGCCACCAGGGGGAGGGGTTGGGCGAGCAGGCGACGCTCTGGGCTGGCTCGTTCGCGTCTCTATGGTACCCCGCGCTCCCGCGCGTCGGGACGGACGCTGCCCCTTTAATCGACGGAGGGCGGTGCCAAGGAGGTCCCGCGAGAGCTGTAGGGGGCGGGAGGCGGTGCCGAGGCGGGGGGCCCGTGGCGGATGGAGCCAGCGATGGAGCCGGAGACTCTGGAGGCGCGAATCAGTGAGTGTCCGGGAGGGGCGCGGGCCGGACCGGAACCGGAACCGGGGGCGCGAGGCAGTCCCCTTCCCGGCGGGGGCGGGGTACGCGGCGCCCCCTCCTCACGCCCCGCCCCCGGCCCAGGAGGGGCGGTGCCCCGGTTCTTAAGACCCTGGAGTGGAGGAAGACCCCCACCGGCTGCGCAGCCCAGCGTTGAGAGCTGTCGCACCTCCCGCCTTGTCTCTGGGCCTCGACCCCGGGCTGGATTCCCGGATCGAGAGAGCAGCCCCCAACCCTCTCAAGCTCAGACTGCTCCACCGAAGAGCAGCCCCCCAAGTCTTTCTTTTGGGTCCGGGTAGGGATCTAGTGAGCGGCCCCATGGCTGCATCTCAGACCCGGGAGGGAGGGACCCGAATCTTTAACTCTAGGGCCTGAATCTATTTTGGTTGATCCTTATACATGCAGCTGTTCCCAGATTCGCTCATTACCCTGTCGAGGAAGGAGAAGACCCCTGGCCGGTCTTATGCCCTCCCTGTCCCCAAGCTCCGGCCATGCCGTGAGAAACCCCCAGGTCCTAGGCTTGGGAGGATCCCGTCTCAGACTCCATAAGTAAATCCAAGTTCACTGTCACTATCCCCAGCCCACCTACTCTGCATCTCCATCCAAGATTCCTTTCCCATCTCTTGCTGAACTTTTTCCAAAGGCCTGTGCACCTATTTCCTGTCTCTTCAGAGACAACTTAACCACTACTCGGGCTTCTGATTCCCCAGGCCTTCCACCTGCGGCCCCTGTCCTGGATGCTGAGGATCCTCAGCTTTTACCATGTGTCTCCTGGTTTAGTGACAGTTCTCTCCCAGTTGGGTCTCTGTCTGTGCCAGGTCCTCAGGGCTTTTGGGTCTATTCTCGGCTCATCCTCCTGGACCTGGGCACACCAGAGGTCCATGCAGAGTGGTTTGGAGTCACAGCTAGCACTTTTGAAGTCAGTCTTGAGCAGAGTTGAACCTCGAGGGTGGTTGAGAACCATACTGTCCCCGAGGATGTTTCAGAGTCAGGCTAACTGGTGGGGTGGTTGGGGGAGTGAAAGGAGGACATTGACGGTTCCAGATGCCACAAGTGTCCAAGTCTTGGATAACTTGGGGGATGAGCAGGGTCCTAGCTGACTGATCTCAGATGAACTGTAGGACTTAAGCTGTGGTCTTACTGAGGTGTAGATTAGTGGTAGAGCACTGGTCTGACATGCAGAGACCCTGAGTTCCTGTCCCTGGCGGAGGGGGGGGGTGTACAGTCTCAGATTTAGCCAAGGTGGAGAGTTCTGGAGAGGCCAGAGTCCAGAAACAAGCAGGAGTTGGGACCCGGGCAACGGTGGCTCATGCCGGTAATCCTAGCTACTCAGGAGGCAAAGATCAGAAGGATCAAGGTTTGAAGCCAGGCTGGGCAAATAGTTCTCGAGACCCTGTCTCGAAAAAACCCTTCATAAAAAAAGGCTGGTAGAGTAGCTCAAGGTGTAGGCCCTGAGTTCAAACCCCAGTACTGGGGGGAAAAAAAAACAAAGCAGGAGTTAGGGACATCTGGATTTGGCTAAACTCTGGAGATTAAGGCTGGGCTCAGATTCTTTTATCTTTTTCTTCCCCTTTGTGTCCTAGCAAAATCATAAAATCATGAGCGCTTCCCTTGTGAAGGTCAGGGGTTAAGAGTAGCTTCTTGTGGGGTCAGGGATATTGTCACTCTTGTGGACTGTCAGGGTGGAGTCACACCCTGTTGTGAAACACCTCCCTCCCTGAGTGTGTTCCCCTGCTGCCTGCCAGGGAACGTACTCTCTAGGTAAAGCTGGGGGCCAGGGGCCAGGGGGTGGGTCAGGCCCTCTGCCTCACAAGTCCTTGCTTGGGCCAGATGCAGTGGAGACGTTGGCCTTATGAGGCCAGCGCTTCCGCTTCACTGGCTGCTGACTCAAGAGCCAGCTCCAGAATCAGCTTCTCCACCCTCACTGGGGCTCCCATGTCTTCAACACTTAAAGGGACTTCCTGTTTGCCCCCACCCAGCTGGGTGTCATTGAGTTCCTCCCCCAATTCTCTCTTAACTCCATACTGGAGTGCTTCTAACTTCCATTCCCCAGCCTTTAGCTCTATCAGGGACTGAGAGGCAGCACAGATGGGCACCCTTGCCTGAGCAGGAAGGGTATACCTGGGAGCCCTGGGGGTCCTACAGGGTACCCAGAGAGAAGGTGCAGACAGACAGACACACACACACACACACACACACACACACACACACACACAGACATACACACACACACACACACACACAGACATACACACACCCCTAAGCCTTTTCTTAGCAGTGTTCTGTGCTATGAACCTGAGGATTCATTGTTTCTCTTGCTGGGCCAGTGAGCTTCAGGGAGCAGGAGTGTTGTCTTGTTCACTGCTGCAGCCTCAGCACTCAGAATATTTATTGAATAAATATGAATTGAGTGAGTGGCAGCCAGGCACTGGGGAGTGAAGGTCCAGCCCTGGCTCCCCTGTGGCCAGACCATGCACAAAGTCAGTCTGTATTTCACTCCTGCTTTACAAGTGGGGAAATAGAGGTTCAAGGAAGTTATACGACCTGTTGATTGTTGTTTAATCAACATTGGGGACCAAAGAGGTGACTCCATCCGCTCCTATAGACCTGTCTGTCCTTTCCTGGAATCAGACATGGCTGAACCTCACCCCTGCCTGCCCTAAGCGTTCCCTTCATTAATTCATTCATTCATTCGCTTCCTGAGGTGGGGCCGGTGTGTGCACAGGTGACCAGGATGCAGTGGGGTGCAGGCTTGGACTGGCAGCATAGAGAACTGACCCAGCATTGCCAACCTGGGCAGGAGTGGAGAGTTAGGGAAGACTGCCAGAAAAGGTGGGCCTGAGCCACTCCCAGGGGACAGGACTTTCTAAACCCAGCATAATGGTAAAGGTCTCATTCCTTTCTGAGGCCCCTTGTGCTCTGCCTGTGCTGTTATCCACATTTCTCCTGGGCTAGGTGGAGGCCAGCCCTCCCAGCCTAGTTAACTTCTTCAGGTGCCTGCTGGAGGGTCGCTTCTTCCAGGCAGCCTGTCCTGGGCCCAAGCTGACCTAAGTCCCTTCCTCTGAGTCCCTGTGGATCCATTGCCTCCTTCTTCCACACTTCATTGAAACTTAGTTGCCCTGTACCTACTGCCCAGCCACACAGCTCCTTGAGGATGGGACGTGACCTCTTTTCCTTACCCCTGGATCTCAGCACAAATTCTGTGAGAATTGTAGGGACACTGTTCTCAGAAATGGAGTCAGAGGATGTGAAGTCGGGGTGGCAGGGGTACAGCTGCAGAGAAGGGAGTGAGGAAGTGTGGAGTGACCCTGGTGCAGTTTGTACAAGTAGGGCCCTAGGGGGAAGCTGAGGCCACAGGCTCTTTTATCTGGGAACTTCATTGGAACGTTAGCTCTCCAGCTCAGGGCAGTTGGACAGGAAGTGATGAGAAGGCCTCTTCCCTGTGCTCAGCCAAGCCATTTGCTGGGATGGGGAGTGGGAGAGGTGGGATCCCTCTGCCGAGCCACACTGACCCCGTGTCTGCCTACAGACAGAGCCACGAACCCCCTCAACAAGGAGCTGAACTGGGCCAGCATCAACGGCTTCTGTGAGCAGCTCAGCGAGGACTTGGAGGGGTAGGTGCCCCTCTTTCCTGACACACTTGACAGAGCCTGCTGTGTACCTGTTATACGTCCTCCAGAGCCTGGCCTTGGGAAGAAAGACTTAGTGTCCATCCTAAAGGCATTCATAATGAGCCTGCTAGCGGGCCTCTTGCCCCGAGGGCCATGTGGGTGCCACCCTCTGAGGTGGTCTAGCCTTGCTAGGCCTATTTACAGGGGAAGAAACCGAAGCTCCAGGGACTTGGCAGTTGCTTCAAGATTTCACAGAGAGGCAGTGACAGTCATGAACTTGCTCAAATCTAGACCTGCCTGCCCTGCAGTCAGTGGTTTATTGAGGGGAAGTGTACCCTCCCTAGCAGTCCCTTTGTATAGAAAGTACCAGAACCAGCCCTGTGAGAACCACTTGGAAAGCTGTCCAAAAGCACATCTTGGCCTTCTCCCAGCTGGGACCACGCGCTGGGACTTGGGAGGAACCTTTGCAGGTTCTGAAGTTCGGGGACCACGGCTCCATGCGTTCTTGCCCACCCACAGGCGCAGTGGCGGGCTCCGTGGGCTTTGGAGTCACTCGGGGCAAATCCCATCCCCGCTCTTAGCTCAGAAACCTTGGCAAGTAATTGATGGCCTCTGTGCCTCAGTTTCTTCAGCTGTGAAGTAGGAGTGGCAGTGGTGCTGCACTGGGAGGTTATGAGGGTTTTTCTGTCGCCCTTGGGGAATCTAGGCAGGAAAGTGCAGTGAGGCACCTCACACAGCCACAGCACTCAGTACTTGCCATCTGTTGCTGCCACTGGGAACAGGTTCTTTACGATCTGGTAGGCATAGAGTTTTCTCCATAGCATAGGGAAGACACACTGTGTCATAGTTCTCTCTCTTTTTTTCTTTTTTTGTGGTGCTAAGAATTGAACTCAGCACCTCATCCATGCTAAACCACTAAATAGCTAGCACGTCGCCCCTCAGCCCCATGTCCTAGTTCTTTTTTTTTTTTTTTTTGGCAATACTGGGGTTTGATCAGGATTTCATGCTTGCTAGGCAGGTGCTCTACCACTTGAGCCTCCAGCCCTTTTTTTGTGTTGGGTATTTTGGAGGTAGGGTCTAACTTTTTCCCTGGGCTGGCCTAGCCTTGAATCATGATTCTCTTTATCTCTGCCTCCTGAGTAGCTAGGATTATAGGTGTGAGCCACTGGCACCCAGCCTCTCGTAGTACTTAAAGCCAGCCAAAGTGCTGAGCTTCACCTTTTAAAGGTCCTTGCCCACATTCCCTGCCTGACCTTGGTGGTCACTATCCCAGCCCTTTCCCATCTGGAGAGGAAACTGGACATTGTATATGCTCTGTAGGATTGGCAGAGGGCTGAATTCCCAGCAAGCCAATATAGTGGCCTCCCCTGCAGTGAGTGGGGCTCCAGGGCAGTCCTGGCTCTGTGTTCCTCCCACCCAGGCCTCCACTTGCCACCCGACTGCTGGCTCACAAGATCCAATCACCACAGGAATGGGAGGCCATCCAGGCGCTGACGGTAAGGAGAAGGGGAGAGGGTATTATCTGTGCCCAACCAGGTGATGGCATTGGGGGAGGCTGAGTTTTTAAGGGTTCTATGAGGCTCTCCCTAGAGCCCAAGGGAATTGTAACCAGGTGTTCGGGATGGAGGTTTGGGCCAGCCCTTGAGGGTCCACAGCAGCCAGTGGGCTGGCCTCCTGCCCATACTCTGTATGATACACCTTAGCCTTTTTTTTTTTTTGAGGTACTGAGACTTAAGCTCAGGGCCTTCACCTTGAGCCACTCCACCAGTCCTATTTTTGTGAAGAATTTTTCAAGACAGGGTCTTGCAAACTATTTGCCCAGGCTGGCTTCGAACTGCGATCCTCCTGATCTCTGCCTCCTGAGTAGCTAGGATTACAGGTGTGAGCTACCAGTGCCCAGCTCTGGGCCTTTTTTTTTTTTTTTTGAGGGGAGGCTTCCTAAGATCAAACGGTCCTAGGATTCTCCCCTCCAGTTACACGGTGGCTCTCTTCCCTGGAGGCATGTTAAACAGCATGTCTGTCCATGGACATTCCTGTGCACTGCAGGAGCTGCCAGCCTGGCTTGGGTCTCCTGATCCCAGGCAGCACTGTCCTTTAGTAGCACCTGTTATGGGGCTGTCCAGCTTAGTGTGAGGGCTGGTATCTGTGCCAATAGCAGAAGAAGAGGATTGAGATGGAGTCTTACAAACTCCCTGCCTGGGTTGGCCTCAAACCTTGATCCTCCCAGTCTTAGCCTCCCAAGTAGCTTTACCCATGCCTGGCTTTGAATTCGGTTTTTTCTTTTTCTTTTTCTTTTTTTTTTTTTTTGGTGGTACTGGGGCTTGAACTCAAAGCCTCAAACTTGCTAAATAGGCACTGTACCACTTGAGCCACTCCACCAGCCCTGTTTTGTCTCCTGAATTATTTTCCTGGGCTGACTTCAAACTGCAGTCCTTCTGCTCTCTGCCTAGATCAGTTGCTGAGATTATAGGTGTGAGCCTCTAGCACCTGGCTTGATTTGAATTTTAAAAAGAAGAGAGATAGTGAGGAAATCAAGTACACTCGGATGTGGCTCAGGCCTAGAATGTCAGAATCTTATGTCCTCAGGGGTTATTCCCTCCCCCTGGGCCCTGGCAAAGGTGTGAAAGAGCTGCCTCCTGCTCTGATGCTCCTAGGACTTCTCACCCCCACCCCACCGTGCTTCCCTGCCCAGGTGCTGGAAACATGCATGAAGAGCTGCGGCAAGAGGTTCCACGACGAAGTTGGCAAGTTCCGCTTCCTGAACGAGCTCATCAAGGTGGTGTCTCCCAAGGTGAATCACCCCAGCCCGAAATATATCTGCTCTATTGGAGGTGGGTTAAGGATAGAGACCCCCAGACGGGGTTCTCCCAAGGGGCCGCCCGGCCTCCCCATTAAAAATCAGACCCAGCACAGACACAGAGCCTTTCTCATGAGCTCTTCCAGCTACACCTGGAACAGCCTAGGCTTCTGGGAAGAGAGCTTCCAGGCTGATGGGTGGTGGGTAGCCATGGAACTGCTCTGTGCTCAGGAAGCACTAATCCCAGGGAATGCACACAGTATAAACATCTTGCCCAGCTCCAGTTGCTCTTTCTCCACACCTGGCTGCGGTGCTTCGCCTGGTCTCTGGCAGAGGTTTTCCTGTCCCTACCACCCAGGTGTGGCCTCTTTGGGGCCTTGAAAAAAAGCCACAAGCTTAAATGACTGAGATTGGCAACATCTCTACTGCTGGCCCTTAGCTTGAGGCATCCTCCTGTGTGATGGCACCCTGCCTCATGCACAGCTGCTGAGTGACCTGTCTGGTCCCCATTCTCCCAGGTGGGGACTCTGAAGTGAGAGCTACCTCTCCAGCCCAGGTTGCTGCTGAGACAGTTTGTGAAGCTCAGGGCCTCACAGTTGCACCCTTGCCCCTTCCTTGGTCAGCCTGGAACCTCTGGCTCCTCCTTGCTGAGGTCTCAAGCTTAAGGTCTCCATGAGCTGACTATGAGCTGGTACTGTGATCTGACCTCCCTGTGCCAATTCTCCATGCCCACCATAGTGGGGAAACTGAGTCACAGAGGGCTGACATTGCCAATGAGTAGCAGAGTTGGGTGATGAACTCAGCCTCCATGGGGTTGGTTGGGTGAGGATGAGCAGACCCTGGAGGCCACAGGGCTTCTGAGGGAGTTGTGGGGAGGCAGCAAGTTGAGGCTGTGATGAGTGAGGCTGAGAAACCTGAAAATGTCCCCTGTGCCCCTGAAGTACCTGGGCTCCCGGACATCAGAGAAAGTGAAGAACAAAATCTTGGAGCTTCTCTACAGCTGGACAGTCGGCCTCCCCGAGGAGGTGAAGATTGCAGAGGCATACCAGATGCTGAAGAAGCAGGGTGAGGCCCCCAGAGGTGGGCATGACCAGCACTTTCCCCCCAGCTCAGACCCCAGAAGCTTCAGGGGCTCTGGGCCAGCAGGGTCAGGTATCTGCCTTTAACATCTCCAGAACATATGGCTACTGGGGCCTCTTGGCTGTGCCTGAGACTAGCATGGGTGGAAAAAAGATTGGTTTGGGTCAAGCTTTCCCTCAAAGGGGGGCCTTAAGATAGGGGTGTCCAAGCTGGGTACTGGTGGCTCATGCCTGTAATACTAGCTACTTAGGAGGCAGAGATCAGGTGGATCGTGGTTCAAAGCCAGCCCAGGCAAATAGTTTGTGAGACCCTATCTCAAAAACACCCGTCACAAAAAAAAGGCTGGTGGAGTGGCTCAAGGTATAGGCCTTGAGTACAAGCCCCAGTACCAAAAAAAAAAAAAAAATAGTGGTGTCCAAACCCTGTCCATGCAGTTCAACATGGCAGGTCAAGGGTAGGCCACGGCACACCGAAGTCCATAGCTGGCATGCTAGAGGACTGACCTCCTACTCCATCCTCCCCTTGCTGCACCATCCTCTTCTCCCTGACCCCTGGGCCTGGGACTGATTGATAGCCTTCCTGACCCCATCTACCCCAGGGATTGTGAAGTCTGATCCCAAGCTTCCCGAGGATGCCATCTTTCCCCTCCCCCCTCCACGGCCCAAGAACGTGATCTTCGAAGATGAGGAGAAGTCTAAGGTGAGGCTGCAGGGATAAGTGCAAGGGGACTCTGGGCCCACCTAGAGTGGATCCTTGGGGCTCAAGGAATTCTGGCTCCTGACTGCCTAGGCCTTTGGAGTAGAGGCTCATGCTGAGCATGGTCACTATAGGAAGTGACAAACACCATTTATTGAGCACTTACTGTATGCTGAATACTTCCCGGTGTTCTTGCATTTAACAAACACAGGACATGACCCTGGGGTTGGTTTGAGGAGTTTACATGTCTTTAATAAGGCTTTTGTTAAAGAAGCATGCGTACATGGGTAAGAAACTTAACAGCCAGGAGAGATACAGACTGCATCACAGAGCAAAAGTTCCTGCGCAGCCTCCGAGGGTGACTACAGTAACGTCTCTCGGTGCCTCTGGAAAGGCTTTCAGAAAGCCGAAGTAATAATATAAGGAACAGTGCCTGTTGATTGTTGACTGACTCCTGCAGGCTCAGTGAGGTGTATCGTCCATGTGGTATCTCAGCTGTCCTTATGGCCGCCCATCAGGCGTCAGTACATTCCACCATTCTGTAGAGCTTTAGCACTTGTCCAGTTCTCATGGCCAGGGGGTGGGGAGCTGGAATGTGCTCCCCAGCCCAGTGCTACCCCCACAGTCAAAATGTCTGTCTCTGCAGATGCTAGCACGCCTGCTGAAGAGCTCCCACCCTGAGGACCTCCGGGCGGCCAACAAGCTCATCAAGGAGATGGTGCAGGAGGTGACGGCTGACCCAGTGCACAGGGAAGAGGCAGGATGGGGGTAGAATCTGGCCACAAATCTGGGGCTGTGTGTGCACAGACAAGACCTAACTAGAGGCCTGTCACGGCAAAGAACTGACTGGCAATAGGGCACTACTGCCTGGAGGGCAGAATTTCTTAGCAGCCTGAGATACCCAGCCCTGGGTGAACTTCTGTGAGGCTGATGTCTGTGCTGTAAATGTTAGGAATGAATTGGAGGCTGGGCATGTAGCTCAGGTAGAGTACCTGCTTAGCATGCACAAAGCCCTGGGTTCAATCCCTACCACCACCCAAAAAACAAAGGAAAAGAGAAAATAAGAATTGGACCTTAGTGTGTTTAAAAATATATATATATGTAAGTGTGCATACATACGTATATGCATAAACACAGTTAATATGTGTTTAGGTAAGTGTATATTTTGGGGGTGCACACTGAAACTTATACTGATAAGGCTAAGTCATCAAAAAAAAATTTAAGGGCTGGAGGCATGGCTTAAGAGCACCTACCTGGCAACTGCAAAGCCTTGAGTTCAAACCCCAGTACCAGAAAAATAAAAATAAAAAAATTTTAGATCAGTAGTTAATAGCTCAGATGACAAGAAACCAAATGTTCCAGCTTGTTCCGAAGGTGCGGGATTAGCAACAGGGAAATAAAAGGTCACCACAAAGCAGACACCCTGGGGCAGGAGGAGGCTGGAGCACTCCCATGTGTCCAAGGTGCTCACCACCTGCAGCCCTGTGTATCTGTGTATCGTTTTTCTTTGAAGATGATCCAGAAATAAGGATTTTTGCACTAAGTCTCCTACTTCCCTAATGCCAGCAGCCATTCCTGTTTGTTTAAAAGCATGTACCACACAGAAGCTACAGGGTCATTCTTCCTAGGAGATGAGTCCACATGTGGGCCAGTCAGCTAGGCACAGGCTGAGGTCTTGGACTGATCCTGCCAAGAGCTTCGCTGAGGTCTCTTGCAACAGGTTCTGAGAGGATGTGTCCAGAGGCCCAGAGGTCAAGGGCAGGAAGGCAGAAGTTCAGAGTCTTTTTAAAGGGCTCTTTTTGTCTGTGATAGCCAAAGGGAGGTAGGTTCAAGGAGAGTGATTCTGTCAGACAGCACAGCACTTGCCCACCATTTGTTCTACAGGGGAGGAACATGCCTAGTAAGCAGAATGTGAGAGGAGAGATGGGGGGGATCACTTCTACAGCTGCTTTTTTTTTTTTTTTTTTTACGGTACTGGGGCTTGAATTCAGGGCCTACCCCTTGAGCCATTCCACCAGCCTTTTTTTTTGTGTGTTAGGTATTTTTGAGATAGGGTCTTGCAAACTGTTTACCCAGCCTGGCTTCAAACCCCAATCCTCCTGGTCTCTGCCTCCTGAATAGCTAGGATTATAGTCGTGAGCCACCATGCCTGGCTTCTTCAGCCACTTTTAAAAGCTGTGAGACCCCCACATTTGCCAGGTACCAACAGACACTGGAAAGGCATTGCACTCATTTCTAGGCTGTATGTGGTTGACCACAGCAGTCCTCTTTCACTGTCAAGTACAGGAAACTTATTTTCAAAGGACAGACACAGGGGCAAGGGTTTCATAGAACCCTGAGTTGTGGGCCTGGGGCTCTGGTCCTTCAGAAATATCTGAAGAGGGCATGGGAAACTGGATGCCAGGTCATCTCTGAAGATTCTGATGCAGGCTCTCAGGCCCTGTCACTCCTCCACAGGACCAGAAGCGGATGGAGAAAATCTCGAAGCGGGTGAATGCCATCGAGGAGGTGAACAACAATGTGAAGCTGCTGACGGAGATGGTGGTGAGCCACAGCCAAGGCGCTGCATCTGGCAGCAGTGAGGACCTCATGAAGGTGTGCTGCCCTTCCCTACTCCTCGCCCCCTCCCAAACCCTAGTAGTCCTGACCTGTCCACTCGCTGCCCTCAGGAGCTGTACCAGCGCTGTGAGCGGATGCGGCCCACGCTTTTCCGACTGGCCAGCGACACAGAAGACAACGATGAGGCCTTAGGTGAGACCCTTGCAAGTGCCAAATCAGGTCCAGCTCCATCCCTCCACCTCCTTCTCCCATCTTCCCCAGGCCAGTCAGGCACACTTGCAGTTAGAAGGGGCCACCACCAGGGGGCCCCTTCTCCAGCACTGACCCTGGGTTTCTCTTCTTGGAGGAAGGAGGGAGCAGAGAGCAGCTGCAGCCTTGCTGCCCTGAAGACCCTGTGAGCCAGGCCCTTGGCAGGCATCTCACTTACTGTCCGCAGGATGCATAGGAGAATAATTGTCCCCATTTCACAGCTGGGGCTCAGGGAGGGAAGTGACTAGCCCAAGTCACAGAGCACAACAGTGGCAGAACCAGGGTGGACCGAAGTCATCTTCTCCCTGGTAAGATTGAGATAGAAACCAAGAGTGAATCCTGAAGCCTGAGCAGTTCCAGAGCTGAGCCTGGTGACTTCTGCAAGAGCCACATACCAGGTCCTTTTCCTTATCCTCAGCCTGCACATCAGGCCTGGTGACAGCAGGGGGCTGATGTGCAAGGAGTTTCCTGAGCACCTCCCACACCCAGGGCATCTGGTCCTGTGCGAGCTTTACTGCCCAGGTTGCTCTAAGTCCTGACCCCAAGGAGGCCAATGTTTGAGGGCCTCTTTGCACCAGGCACTGTCCTGGGCCCTGGGATACAGCTGTGACCAATGTTGACCAAAGCCTCCTTGGAGAGCTTTGTGATCTAACGAACAGAGGCAGACAATAAGCCCCATCCATGAGCAGTAGCAAGTTTGTCAGACAGTGGTGAATGGCTTGGAGAAAATCAGCAGGGAAGGGATGATATGAGGTAGGGTGAGGTCAGAAAGTCCCCATGAGGTACATTTTGAGTAAAACCTGAAGGCAACAAGGCATGAAGCCATGCAGAGGTCAGGGGCATCCAGACAGCAGAACCAGAGTAGAGACTGTGGTGGGAACAGCCCAGGATATTCAGGTGACCGCCAAAGTGGAACAGGGAGGTAACAGAGGACCTGAACCTGAGTAGATGAAACCAGATACCCCTGGCCTTCCCCTCATGCACAGCTGGGTTAAGTGTGGGATGCTCATCTCCTTGACCTAGAGACACTACATTTCTTTAACCTGCCTCTTCTTTCCTGCCTATTCCAGCGGAGATCTTGCAGGCCAATGACAACCTCACCCAGGTGATCAACCTGTATAAGCAGCTGGTGCGGGGCGAGGAGGTCAATGGTGATGCCATAGCTGGCTCCATCCCTGGTGAGGAGGTGGCAGGAGAGCTGGGAAGGACCCCTGGAGACTGAAGGGCGGAGTATGGGTGGCAAGCTGGTGCCATGACAGCCAGGGCCCTGGCCCCTTAGATGTGTAAGGCCCCAGAGAGGCTGCTGGGGACAAAGTGTGCCAAGCCTGCAGCTGTAGAGAAGAATGGGAGAGAGGAGGGACCCCGGGGTCTGGTGAGGACAAGCAGAAGAAAAAAGACTTTCCTTTCCTTTTCTGTGGTGTGGGGCTGGATAACACCAGGGCTTGATTTAATTATCAGAAAGCAGGGAGAGGATGAACATTACAGATTTGACTCTATAACCAGGGCAAAATGACAGCCCTGGGGATCTTAGAAGAGGTTAGAATTCACCATGGTGAGATAAGGGGAGGGGGAGGGCATTGCACAGAAGCAGTAAAGTGTAAGCAGGTTCTTCAGGGATGGACAGCCGTGTCCTGCATAATAATGGTTCAGTCAGTGATGGGCCACATGTATGACAGTGGTCTTATTAAGACTATCACCATCAGGTGCCAGCAGCACAGGACTATAATCCTAGCTACTTGGGAGGCTGAGATTGGGAGGACTGAGGTTCCATACCAGCCTGGGCAAATAGTTGTGAGGCCCCATTTCCAAAAGAGCACAAAAGGACTAGAGGTGTGTGACTGAAGCCTGCTTTGCAAGTGCAAAGCCCTGAGTTCAAACTGCAGTGCCACCCCAAAAAAAGTATCACCTAGGGACATCATAAATGTCTTAGTTGATGTAAGTATAGTCTGCAGTATTCACGTCATTTCACATTTCATTGTTGTATTTCTCAGAAGGTGCCCCTGTCGTTAAGCAAAGCATAACTACCTTCTGAACTGAAGTGCCACTTTCTACAGAAAGGGCCTGGCCAGCAGTTCAAACAAGGGCTGGTATGGTCACAGGAGAAGCAGAGGCCAGCGAGTGTGAAAGGTGGAAGGACAGCTGTTGCTTCACCCTCCTGTGTTCCCAGAGCACAGAGTATCACCTGGGACCTGCCTGACTCTCCTTTCCTACCCCAGGGAGCACCTCGGCCCTACTGGACCTCTCAGGCCTGGACCTTCCTCCTGTGGGCACCACATACCCAGCCATGTCCACCTGCACTGGCAGCCAGGCCAGCCCTGAGCAGCCTAGCTCCTCGGTTTCTCTGCTTGATGATGAGCTCATGTCTCTAGGTGAGGAAGGGGCTGGACTGGAGGAGGAGGAGGATGGGCTTAGGGGCAGGCAGAACATGGTGCCCAGGACACACCTTGCCAAGCACCTGAGTTCTGCATTCCAGATGACTCCACTGGAGGACCTGGGCTGGGCATTAGGCTTATCTCCTGGCTGAGGAAGCCAAGGCTTAGAAGTTCAGGAGGAAGGTCACCTAGCCAGCCTCTAGTCACCCTCTGACAAGCCAGCTGCACCCAGCTCTGGCTGCCTGGGGGAGCTGAGGGACTCCCTGTAACTGGTTAGAGCCTAGAATGGGGAGCTGGCCTGGCAGAAGTCCAGCAGTTTCTCCCCTAGAGGATGAGTTAGGGCCAGAGCTTGACATGCTGTGTGACCTATGGTGAGTCTGGCCAGCCAGACCTGCTGTTTCTGTAGGGCAGCTCAGGGCTCTGGAGTCCAACAGGGAACCAGGCTCAGCCTTAAGGAGAGCAAAGCAGCATCTAGGAGCAGCAGCCCAGCCAAGCTGTGAAATAGCAACCTCTCCTAACAAGCTGGAGTTAGAAAGAGTAGACGGGCCAGGCCCAGCAAAGAAATCTGAAAGAACTGATGATTGTCACACTGGGAAGAAGTGAAAACTGAACCTGAAGCTGAGAGTGTATCTCAGTGGGGGTGTGGACTTGTGCTTAGCACTGGAAATAAAAATGATGGCGTCCTAGGCACCCCACCCCCTCACACGTCTGCCCAGTTTTCCTGATGCCTTCTTCAGCACAGTGCCTGCTGCTGCACTGTGAGCCTGACAATCCTCCTCCCACTTTGTGTGGCAAGGGCTACTCTGGCCAGTCTTACAGATAAGGAAATCAGCAGAAAGGGCCCCAGGGTTTGAAGCAGGCGCTCTGGTTCTGAAGCCACACCCAAACACTCCACTCTTTGGAAGAAAAGGAGAAGGAGGACTTGGAAGGGGGAGGGAATGAGGAGGGGGAAGAAGGGAGCAATGAGCCAACACCTGCCTGAAAGGCCTAAATTCAGGCCACATGCATGTGCCTGACTTTATTCAGAGCCAGGATGACTAGGTAGGACCCCCAACCCGCTGTATGGAGAGCTAGAGGGCAGCCCAGGGCAGGAATGCTCATGCAGGTGCATCTTGCCCAGCAGAGCCAGGACCAGGCCATAGAGGATAGAAAAGTAGCAGCCAGACCTCCGGCCCCCAGAGAATGGTGGTGTCAGAGCCACTGTCTCATGAAAAACAAGTGTGCTGGGCACTTCCTGTCCACAGTTGTGCCTGCAGAGCCATGAGCCTCCAACTTCCTTCTAGTTTCTTCTGAAAGGCAAAGTGTGGGAACAGGAACCGGAAGTGGCAAGCAGCAGGCAGCCCTGGGGGGACCATAAGAGCAGCTGGCCTTAATTACTCTCTGTGGCAGGGAAGAAGAGCTGTCAGGCAGGGCTCCCACCTGTCAGAGGGCACTTGGCACTGTCCAGGTGCTTTATTGGATGTGTTACAGTGCCTGTTTATTCCAGCCATCCTCTGATACAACTGCTGCTGTGACCTCTTACAGGTGAGGCCCAGGGAGACTTAAGTCACCAGCCCAAGGTCTCCCAGCTCCGTGGAAGAGCTATGTTCAGACTCCCAACTCTGGGCTCTGCCATTTTCCAGCCATGTGACCCAGGGCAGCTTCTCTGAGCATCTATCTTCTTTTCTTTTTTCTCTTTTGACAGTATTGGTATTTGAATTTAGAGTTTTATGCTTGCTAGGCAGGCAATCTACCACTTGAGCTACACCTCCAGTTCAATTGTCTATTTTCTCATTCCTAAAAGAGAGCTGAGAACCCTATACCTACCTTAGAAGGTTATATGAAGGTTGAATACTTGTAGGGTGCCCAGCATATGAGGGATGTGACACATGTCAGCGGTGACCACTGATCTCCATGGTCTCAGGAATGTGTTAGAAGAGACAGCAGTCCCAGCTTCCTGGAGCCCTTATCCTGTCTGCTAGAGAGCACGTCTGTTTATACCTTGCTTCCTCAGGATTAGCTAAGGAAACGAGGTAACTCATCTTTTGTAGGTCAAATCCAGTAGGATGAACTTTGCTGGTGTCTGCAGGGAAAGCAGTGGTCAGGCTGCTGACCAGTAGGTCAGTAGGTAGTTCCCAGGACCACCCAGAGGGCCCCAGTGTGTCTTGGCACCAGTCAATTGGTATTGGTGACCTATGCCAGGGCCTTCAAAGTCTGTCCAGTACATAGTTCACACCATTATTGTATACGTGGGGACTCTAAGGCTTAGCCAGCACAGTGCCTTGCTTATGGTCACTCAGAGGAGATCCATAAATTGGTCATCAGGTCAATACAGTGCTGTATTGACAGCACGGGTAGGGAGGTCTTCCCGTTCTACCACCTCAGCACCTCCTCTTAGTTGCCAGCTGAGGAACAGAGACCAAAGTCTCAACTTCTGTTATGCATTGGCTTCTGGGGGCCTTGCTGGGAAGAGAGGAAGCATGTGTGGGCTGCAGCATGGGCTGTCAGACTTCAGTTTCTGTTTCTCCTCTGCTGCTGGTTCTCTCTGAAAGTCTAGGTTTCTCCCTCTGAGCCAAGCCTCTCAGAAAACAGGGGAGCCAGGGACCCCAAGTCAGCATACAGTTGCGCCTTGGGCCCTTGTCTCTGCCCACTCAACCCATCTCCTTCTGTGTCCTGGTTTCCACTCAGGCCTAAGCGACCCCACACCCCCTTCAGGCCCAGGCTCGGATGGTGCAGGATGGAACAGCTTCCAGGTAAGAGGGGCTGGAATTAGCCCAGCTTGTCCCAGTCCCAGACTCTGGGACCCTGGGACCAGGAGCCTGAGGGGACAATGAAGGAACCGGTGGGCTCTGTATAGGACAGGAGGTAGCCCAGGGGCAGGGGTGTCCACCCCTGGGAAGAGGAAGACAGCATCTTTGTCTTCAGCTAAATCTTGCCAAGCCTCACCCTTGGACCTCCCTTAGGGCCATAGCCCATAGCCCAGCTTTGTGGTTGAAATGGGGACTCCCCTTTCCTTTCCCTGAGGATGACTAAGGAACTCTGGCCAGGCCTAGCTAGCCTCCCCGCCTCTGGATGGGTCTTCTGTTGTCCTGTCTGCTTTCCCAGATGTCATCTGCAGGGTAGGAGGGGCCTCAGGGCAGGGCTAGTGACCCTGTTACCTCAGTAAGCCTCCCCCCAACAACACCTGCTTCCTTTGTTCACAGTCTTCAGATGGCACTGAATCCCCAGCCCCTGCTCCAGCCTCAGCCCCCAGCATGGACAGCCGGCCCCCAGTGCAGGCACCACTACCAGTAGCAAGCAGCGGCCTGGATGACCTGGACCTCCTGGGGAAGACCCTTCTACAGCAGGCATTGCCCCCAGAAGCTCAGCAAGTGCGGTGGTGAGGGCTGCCATGACTGGGGCTTTCCTGTCCCCATGGACCATAGCTTCCAGGCCCAAAAGGGAGACATTCACTGCTGGCTGTTGCCAGGAGCCTGGGTGCCAGATCACTCACTCAGTACCAAACACATTTGGCTCTGTGACCAAGGCAGGCTCAGTCATGATCCCAGAGAGTGTAGAGTTTTTGAGAAGGGGGACCTGTGCCCACTCCCACACCACTGGGAGTTCCCAGTGCCCTAGAGAAGGATGAAAGGGGGGACACTAAGCTTGAGTGGGCATGTGGGATGGGGTGAGGAGGGGAACAAGAGTCGCCCATTCTAAAGGTGAAGATATCCATGGCCAGAGAGACAGTGATGTGCACTGGACCCTGACCTCTTGGCCACTGAGGAGTCACTTCCTAACTAACTGTCCCCACTAAGGGAGAAGCAGCAGCCAGCTCCCCGGCTCACACTCCGGGACTTGCAGAGTCGGAGCAGTTGCAGCTCGCCCAGCCCTGGTGCCTCCGGCCTCCTCCACACCATGCCCTCAGAGCCCCCTGGGCCTCCGCAGCAGCCCATATCCACTGAGCTCTCATTGGCCAGCATCACTGTGCCCCTGGAATCCATCAAGCCCAGTGAGTAGGGTGGGGTGGTAGGTAAGAGCCAGATCAGCTCCTGTCCCTTGTAGCCCTACCACTGGCTTGACTCCACAGGGAGGCCCAAACAAGGCCCTCCCCTTCTCAGTGATCACAGGGAGGGGGACTTCTTAGAAGACAAACCCTGGACCTCTCCCCTCTAGAAGTCAGGGGCCAGGACACAAAGGTCTGGGGCTCCCTGAGATCATGAAACCCAGCCTGTTAGAAATCCAGATCCAAGGCTGAGGCATCTTGCCTAGCAGCAATCAGGAGCCACACACCAGCACCAGGCCCTGAGCAACTAGGTGAGTTTCAGCTTGTCCTTTCACCATTGTCCATCTCTGTGGACTCACTGTGACGGCAGCACACACCCTCAGTGTCCCTACCTTACCAGAAGATCCCTCAGCTCAGAAAGGAAAAGTGACCGTAGCAGTGTTACATAGAGTGTAATCCAAACTCTACCAGTCCCTGACTCCAGCATGGGGGCAAACCTGGCTGTGACTCAGCACCAGGGTGGACATCCTACCTCCATCATCAGACCTGGGTGCAGCCACCCGGGGTCAGGCAAGGCTCTGGGTGAGGAGTTTGGTTGCTGGGTCCCAGCAGAAGAGCAGCATGTGCCTGAGGGGAACTGGGTGAGGGTGCTGGGCTTTGTGCTTGGGCTCCATTGCCCACTACCCTTCTCCCTGCAGGCAGCATCTTGCCCGTGACCGTATATGACCAGCACGGCTTCCGTGTCCTCTTCCACTTTGCCCGAGACCCACTGCCGGGGCGTTCCGACGTGCTGGTGGTGGTGGTCTCCATGCTGAGCACTGCCCCCCAGCCCATCCGCAACATTGTTTTCCAGTCAGCTGTCCCCAAGGTGACAGGCAGGGTGACATGGGACTTGGTGGGTCTGTCTGGTCAGGTGGTATGGTCTCTCTCCCTTGCTGGGGTGCTGAGGGGAGAGGGAGGGTATAGAAGAGAGACAAAGGACAGAGCCCCAAGACCCCCGAAGAAGAGCTGGTTCCTTGGGTACTGAGGATAGCAGCTGTGATTGTTCTGCCCTTCATCCACAGGTCATGAAGGTGAAGCTCCAGCCACCCTCAGGCACCGAGCTGCCAGCATTTAATCCCATTGTCCACCCCTCAGCTATCACCCAGGTCCTGCTCCTGGCCAACCCCCAGAAGGTGAGGACCTAACTGTGACAGGTTGGTGTTGTGGGTGGAATGGCTCTTCCGTTGTGACTCTTCTGACTCCACCATCTCCTCCCAGGAAAAGGTTCGTCTCCGCTACAAGCTCATCTTCACCATGGGCGACCAGACCTACAACGAGATGGGGGATGTGGACCAGTTCCCCCCACCTGAAACCTGGGGGAACCTCTAGAGCAGAGGGACTGGGGAAGGAAGGGAGCAGAGGGAACGGCCACTGTCCAGCCTAGGTGGAGGCTGTGGTGGCCTAGGACACTGTCTGTTCCCCATGGCCATGTACCCCCAGCCTGGTGCTTCTCTTCTCCCCTATGGCACCCAAGTGACTCTTCCCCCTCCTGCTTTGCCTCCTCTCTGCTGAGCCAAATCCAGCAGGATGCTGGGCCTGGGTTTGTTGCCAGGCACTCTTGGCACCTGTGGGAGCCTGGAGCAGGGAGGGGCTGTATGCCCTAGAGGACTTGATTGCGGGGAAGAAGCATGGTCATTGGGCCCGGCCGTGACCCCATCCTGGGGTTGGGTCTTCCCCACCTGTCTCTTATGCCTTATGGGAAGGCTCAGCCATAACTCAGAGGCCATGCTGGAGTGGGACCAGCCCAGGCCTCTGTAGGAACACAGTGACGGGGTGATGCCTGCACCCCCAGCTGTTTGCACTCTGGTGTGTGGTTTGGCTCTTTGCTTTTCATTTAGAGTGGCCCTGTGGTCACAGTCTTAGGAGGCCAAGTTGGGGAGCCAACCCTCCTCCTAGGGGCTTCCCTTTGCTTAGGGCCTCCTAAGGGGCTATGGGAACTCAAGCATAATGCCAGAAGGGGTGGCTCCAGGGTAGGCTACAGAGCTCCCTGAGTTCTGTGTGTCTTCTTCATTCATCGGCCTCTGCTGGGGCCTCCTGTGAGCATCTCACATCTGTCCATCCATCAGTCCGTGGTCAGAAGTGAGGTCAGTGTGTGAGTGAGAGCAGAAGTATTTATGAAAATAAAACCACCTTTTTCCTGAACCAGCTGCAGCCATGGCTTCCATGTTCTCTTAACTTCACCTGTAACCTGCAGCCGGGGCACTAGGACGTGCTGTGCTGAGCACCACTCCCCAGCCCATCTGCCACATAGCTCTAGAGTCAGGTCTGGGGGCTTCCCTGGAAGCCTCTGCTGCAACCTTTGGAGAGGAGGCCATGGGTCCTCTCTGTCCTACTCTTCAAGCCCTGTACCAGAAGAGGCCCTTCTCAGGGGCCTGCAGCTGCTGCTGAGTCACCAGACCTATCCCATCTGGAGATGGGGAGTGTTCGGGAGCCCCAGCTGCTGGAGAGGCTGAGGGGGAGGCCCCTGGCCACTTGCAACTTCCTTCTGTCGAGCTCAGCCCTCAAAACACAACTTGCACAGTTACACCACTCCCAAGCCCCAGCTACTGCTCCAGGAAGCAGGACAGCATGGCAGCTAGTGTCAGGACAGGTCCATGAACCTCCCAGCCATGTATGGGCTGCTCAGAGCCTTCTCCGCATGGGTGGCTGGGATCCAGGCCTGGCCAGGGCAGAGAGGCCACACAGCTGGAGCAGCAGGGGAAGGCCAGCTCCACACTGCTCTTTAGGGAGGGACTCCCCAGGCAGAGAAGTGGGAGGAAGGCTGCCCACCATTTCTTCTCTGAGAAGAGAAACTGTTAGACCCTGGGAAGTTCCACATCTAAGAAACCATTTCACTTTGTCTAATTGAGTGTTGCCCAATCTGAACTTGGCTGCAGAAGCCCTTTCTCTAGATACCGTGGAGCCATCCTGGAGATGGTCCAGCTTGCCACCTCCCCAGCCTAGCTGCCCTTTTCTACTCATTCACAGACAAGCGACCCCCTCTGCCAGGTCCACACTGAGGGTGCAAGATGAGGGCTTTGTGTGGCTGTACTACTGAGGGGATGAGCGGCACCAGCCCCACGTGAGCCTCCTTTCACTCAGACCCTCCTGTATGACTTTCCCTGACTCCTGCCTGGACACAGCCCCATGGCCTTGTCTAGTTACCCCTTCCCTGAATGCATGTGACACTCCCAAAGCATGTCCAGTGGAAAGGGGAAGGGGCCTGTAGTGCCCACCTGGTGTCAGAGTCATGTATGGAACAGTCTCCTTACTAGCCACTGCTGGGGTGAGGCTGGCGTGGAGAAGGGACCAGGAGTCTGGGTGCTGGTCCAGCTGGATCACTGGCTTGCTCTGTGACTGAGCAAAGGGCTACCCTTTCTAGCCTCTAGGTTCCTTACTTGAAAGGGACCCAGTGAGTCAATGAGATCCCTTCCTCTGAGGAATCCCAGGGCAAAAGGGCCAGGCTGCCAGCTGTTACAGGGATCCCTTCAATCTCTTGGACCCTCTGCCCTCCCTTGTCCTAGCCCATCCTCCCACCTCCCTCCGCTGTCCATCATGCTAGTCCTTCTTGAGCAGTTCCCATGTCAGGCATGGCCTGTCTTCAGAGCTCACAGGCTGGCAGGAACTGAGGGCCTGGAACTCAGCATGGTGCCTGGGAGGAGGGAACATGAGGTACCACGGAAGTCCTGCATCTGTCTGAGTCAGGCAGGCTCTAAGAAGCCCTGGGTATCCACTTCCTGGAGGAGTCCTTCCATGAATACTGTGTGTTCATTCAGACAGGTCTGGAGTTCTTGGCTGAGCCCCAGTGCCCTGGAAAGGCACTTTCTCTGTCTCCTGAAGAGTGACTCTCACCACCACACCAAGAGCAGTGGGACTTCCCAGACCTCGAAGCCACACTTCCACTTCTATTTGTTTGGCCACCGCCAGACGTTAATTTTTTTAGTAACCACAGCCCACTGTGCTCATCTGTTCACAGAAGCCAAGAGTGATGGAGAGGCCTCTACTGCCCTCCCCCAGTCTCCGCAGGCCTCCAGGCCAGGGTGCAAGCTCAGTGAGGCGGAGGAGGGGGAGCCTACCTGGCCTGGCGCAATGCTGGGCTTGCAGCCTGCAGTCTCCCCATTAGTCCTCAGAACTGCCCTGTGAGAACCAGACTGAGGTTCAGAGCTTGGATAAAGTCCTGGAGGTCACAGCTGAGGATCCCAGTCTTGTCCACCATGGTAGCACTCATTGTGCCATCTGAGCCCTCCCTCTCCAGCCCTTGGCAGCCTGACCTGCTCTTTTCTGGAACTGGGGTCAAGGGTACACACTCCCAGCACTACAAAGAGTACAGCTGGCATCCTCCCTCAACCCCACCCCAAGGTTCCTGGAAAGGCCTACTGACTTGGGACGATGGGAAGGAGTCACTAGAGCCCAAGAAACTATGCCTGTGCATAAGCCTTCACTCAGCTGTGCCTGTGTGGACACAAACAAGCAATCTGTGTTGCTGGACACTGGTGGCTCATGCCTGTAATCCTAGCTACCCAGGAGGCAGAAATCAGGAGGATCAAGGTTCGAAGCCAGCCTGGGAAAAGAGTTTATCCATCACAAAAAAGGGCTAGTCGAGTGGCTGAAGGTGTAGGCCCCGCGTTCAAACCCCAGTACCGCAAAACAAAACAAGCAATGTGTCAAAGCATAGGAGAGGAGATGACAAACGCCTCTACCAGCTCCTCAGCGCTGGCCGCCGCCGGCTGTCCTGCCCATGTCCTGATGCTGCACTAGCAGACGCTTCCCAGAATGCTCAAGTTTTCATAGACAGATCTGTGCAGAGGCTGCTAAGCCCCTCAGTGGCCAAAGGCAAAGGCAGGGGCAAGGGCCTTGCCATCTGACACAGGAGAAGGAGAGCAACTGTGGGCTCTGGGGTCATCAGATCTGCCATCTGACTTGGCCTCTACCATTTAGTCAGCTGGGGCCCTTGGGCCAGGAGCCTCTGTCTGCTCACCTGCAAAAATGGCAGGGCTTGGGTGGGGTGAAGATACCAGCCTCCTCACTGACAGATGTGCTAAGGTACATGACAGCAAGTCTCATTGTCCCAAGGCAGCTGGATACATCCCGAGAGGAACTGAGAAGGTAAAGGGATCTTTCTATGCTTGACTTGGTAGGCTGAATAGGAACGGTAACAGGAAATTGTTAGGCACTTCTCTAAGCATTTTACATATTAATTTGTGTTATCTTTCCTCGTGGTTCAGCTTACTGAGTCTGTCTGGCCCAAGGTCACACAGCTAGTGGGCTAGTGAGAGGCTAAGCTGGGCCTGGGGAGGGGTTGGCTGGTGACCTTTGAGGTCCCCCTTTCTGCATCTACATTTCTAAAAAGTTATAATCCCAATATTCGTTGATTGAAACTTCTGAGTCCACAAGACTGATTACGACATCCTTTGAAGGAATAGCCTATGATCCAACCTTTGGGGCTTCTAACCTTCTATGAGTCAACATCCAAATGTGACAAGGGAGAGCCTAGCCCTAACTACACAGATCACCCAGGCGAGAGGCACAGTGGCCCCACCTAGGTTGGACCCATAAGTCCCTGGGTCTGGCTGGAAGGGAGCCTAGAAGTAGGGAATGGGGGATGGGCAAGAACTTGGGTGGCCTGATAATCTACTCTGGTTGTTTCTACAGAAGCTGCTACACAGTTCACGTGGATGGACCTCCGCCTCCCAGGCCAGAGCTGGAGCTTAGGCCTGACTAAACCTAGGCAGGACAGAGGTACAAGCCAGGCCTTACCCTCAGGAACCTTCACCAGCTGAGCAATTGTACAAGCCAGCCAGGGTGGTATAGGCTGGAGGGCAGGAGCACCTTGGAGTCCAAAGACCTCCTGAACCTGGGAATCTTCAGTTTTCCAAGGCTGCAGTTCAAGAGGGTGTTCCATTACAGAGATAGGAAAAACTGAGCCACAACGAAGTTCTGGAACCTTGCCAGTGGGGAAGGTGGAGCACTAGACCAAGAACCAGGCATTCCAACCCCAGCCCCACATTTTAGGAAGCTAGGCCTAGAAGACTCTGGTGTTTCAAAAGCTCTGCCCCCAAGCTGGACTTCCTTGCCACCCATCCCCCCAAATCACTGGTCAGCAGCCTTCTGGTTGGGGAAAGGGATGTAGGGAAGGAATCTTGTCTGACATCTCCTCACCCAGGGGACCAGAATTCCACACAGGTGGGCTCCCAGCTGGGCTGCTGGCTTCCCTCTCCATTCCTCCCAGCCTCTATAGGGACTGTCTGACTCTCCCTTGAGGGTCAGTCACCTTGGCCGCTGAGTGCCAAGCCTGTATGGTACAGAGGAACATGAAGCCAAGGTGGCCTGTTCACCCACACACAGTAGGTGCTCAAGTGGTCTGGCAGTGAACAGAAACTAACAAAGAAAATGCAGGGCAGGGTTCTCCTGCAGCCCCCACCCCACCCCACCATGACTCCTGATGGGAAAAGTGGGGAAAGGGCAGGCTGGGGTAAGATGGGAAGCTGGAAAGGAGCGTTTATTGTCGGCCAAAGGCTCTGGTGTACTAACTAGTAGCACTTCCTGAATGCCCAGCTTGATTTTCAGCAGATGGCCAAAGAGAGAACTCCTACAGTTTGGGGACTCAGAGTAGCACCCTTTTCCCTTACAAAAGGAAGAGCAGGGACTGGGGACTTTTGCCAGGAGGAATGAGAGATGGAGGAAATTGTCCCTGCTAGGGCCCCTTTAAAGGGGGGACATGAGCAGGCAGGGGTATATTGTCCACCTTGCAGAATCAGGCCACTAGAGACAGCCAGTGCAGAGTTCCAGGGACTTGTCCAAGGGCACACAGCTGCCAGTGGTCCCAGGAAGCCAAAGTTCCCTGGAGGTGGCCTTTAGTTCCAGATGGCCAGAGGTTTTCTGGAGGAGGGAGCCCCCGCAGGCGGCATCCTCTTGCTGATGGGCCCCGCACAGGTCAGGAAGGCCCGTCCTAAGCAGGGAGCCTTCTTTCTCCTTTAAGAGGGGTGCAAAGGTTGTTCGTACCGAGGGTGCCGGCGGCGGGAGGGCGCTGGCAGGAGCCGGCTTACCTGCTTCCCGCCACGGCGGCGGGGCGGGGCGGGGCGCGGGGAGGAGGAGCCGGCTCACAACCTGTGGACCGCAGTGGACCGCCGCGGCCCGCACGGCCGGACTGTCGCGGGCGGGCGGCCGGGGGTCGGCGGGGGCCCGGAAGCCGGGGAAGAGAGAGACGCCAAACTTGGAGAGAGGAGTGACCTGGGGGCCGGGGGCGGAGTCGTGAGCGGGGGAGGAGAGCACAGCGCCAGCGAGAGAGAGGGAGAGAGAGCGAGCGAGAGAGCGAGAGCGCGGCAGCCCAGGAAGCGCGAGCGCCGCCCACCCATCCGGGGCGAAGCGGCGCCGGGGAAGCAGGCTGGGCCGGGGGGCTGCCGGCCCTCGACCCCGACCGTGACCCCGCGGCCCCCAGCCCGGCCCCAAGATGATGAAGAGACAGCTGCACCGCATGCGCCAGCTGGCCCAGACGGGCAGCCTGGGACGGTGAGTGTCACCCCCTCCAGCCCCTCTCTCGCCCCGCGGGACCTGAGGGGGCGTGAAGAGTGGGGGGACCGCTGCCAGAGGCGGGGGACACGCGGGCAGCCGCTCTCCGGCCAGCCAGCCAGAGTCCTGCTCTGTCTTCCTCCCCTTGAAGGCCACCCCGTCTCCCAGGCAGAGCTTGGCCTTTAGGGGAAGGGGCGCCCCAAGCCCTGGTGAGAGGGGCAGCACGAGGGAGAATAGTCTCTGATCAGGGTCCAGAGCCTTCCCTCTCCGTGAACCTCTGAGTGGACAGTCCTCCCTGGCCTCACTTGTTCCCTCTGGACAATGGGGACAGTTAACCACCTCTGACTGTTGGGACCAAGAGGAGGAGGGTGGGCCCCCTGATTAAGGTCCTAGACCTTGGGGGAGGGGACAGGCTGGGTGTACACTGGGTTCCGTCCCCTCCCCCAGCCCAGGAGCCTCCTGTTTCTCTGTCCTGCTTCTGCTTTTCCCAGGCTCAGGTGGAAACATCTCCAGTTCTGTCCTCAGCACCCCCCAGCTGGTGTAGCTGAAGGAGGCCGGAAGTTTAGGGAGCCTCTGGGGCCTGTCTTCTCTGCTCCTCTTCCTTGGCCTCTGAGTTCCCCATTCTTTGGGCCAGGGGAGGGGACTTGGTGTCCCAGAGACCTGTTCTAGTCTCACAGTGGCAGAGAAGCCTGGGGGCGCCTAGGCATCTAGGCCACCTTGCTCTGGGTCTCCATATGCCATGGGTTCCTGGGCAGGGACCCAGGACCTGCCCACAGTAGAGGCCTGAGTGCCGGGACTGCCCAGGAGTCCCAACTATCACACTTCCCATTCTAGTGGCCAGACTAGGCCTTGTTTTTTCAGGGGCAGGCTGACAATTTGGGGGATAGAGAGAAGCAAAGGTTTTCCCTTGTGTCCCAAAACTGGGCCCCCTTCAGTTTCATGGTCCACCCTCTCTCAGGACACAGCCCTGGGTGGAGGAGGGAAAATCATGCTTTCTGTCCCGCCCTTGGAATGTGCTCCAACAGGGATGAAGTGGACATGCCACCAGGGCGGGCCCCACCTGGGAGGGGCACTGGAAACAACTGGGGTCCAGGTGCCCCACACGGGGGTGAGGGGCAGGGGGTTTCTAGCCCAGGCTGGCTCAGCAGAAGTCCCCCTCCCCCTTTAGCACCCCGGAGACTGCTGAGTTCCTAGGAGAAGACCTGCTGCAGGTACGTGCCTGGGCGGGCAGGGTAGGGAGACAGGCCTGTGCAGGCTGTCAACACAGAGACTGGCGGGTGGGGACAGTGGCTGGGGCCCTCAGAGGAGGGAAGAGAAGGTGGCTCCCTCTCTGGGGGGGAGACAACAGAGTGGTAAGGGGGGACAACCACCTCCCACTTTCTGCCAATCCCACACTTCCCTCTCAGGTGGAGCAGAGGCTGGAGCCAGCCAAGCGAGCAGCCCACAATGTCCACAAAAGGCTGCAGGCCTGTCTACAGGGCCAGACTGGGGCCGACATGGACAAGCGGGTGGTGAGTGAGGGCCCAAAGAGGAGAGGCCTGGGCAGAAGGCTTTTGTCCAGCGGGGTAGCAAGGTTGGGGTTGGGGCCTCCTTGCCAGTGTGAGCCCTCTACCACCAGGTCCCTCTGGCCCCCAACTCCTGAGGCCCCATGGCGTCCCCATTCCCTTCTTGAGCCCTCTTCCCTTTGCACCTTGAGCCAAGGCACACCCGAACTTCTCCGCCAGTCACAGGCAGAGCTGGCCCTCTAGATGGGCGGCCTTCTGAAAGGAGCAACGTTTGAGCTGAATTGACTAACACTCACTGATATTAACCAACAGGCAGCACTTATTGACGGGTTACTGCCCATCTGTTGCTAAGATGTGCCAATGCATTGTCCCCAAATGCTGGCAGCAGCCCTAGCAAGAGACACTGGTTTTCAGATGAGGAAACAGGCTTAAACTTACTCACCCAAGGTCACACCACTAGCAAGGGACACATGAGGTGTAACCCTAGTCTCTCTAATCCCAAAGTTAGTGTTCTCCATCACTCTAGTTGGGAATGTGGGAATCAATCCGTCAACAGACGGTTTGTTGTGGTGACTGGGGGTGGCGCTCAGTGGCAGAGCACTTGCTTAGCATGTGCAAGGCCCTAGGCTTCATCCCCAGAGCCTCAAAGGGAAATCCAGTGTGGCCAGAACATGAGGTGCAATAGAGGGCCATGGAGGTCAAACTCAGCGGTAGCCAGGTCAGTCTCCTCGGCCCTGGGGCAGAAGTCGAAGTGTCCCAAGGCCATCTCCTCCTTCCTTTCTTCCTCCAATTGTGTGACCTTGAGCAGGTTCCCTGCCCCCTTCACATGGCAATTTCCTATCTGAGGTGGGACTTGGTCATTCCTTCCTCCCAGGTGGGTAGGAGATGTCACCTCTATGCCTTGTAGTCATCCAGTTTTCACTCCCTCCTGTGACTTGTGGTTCGCTCTTCCCCTGCCCTGAGTGCTCACGTGGGGTGAAAGGAGGTAAGTGCCCTCATGCTCACCTGTATCACCCACCTCCACCCACCCACTCCCTTTGCAGAAGAAACTTCCTCTCATGGCTTTGTCCACCACAATGGCTGAGAGCTTCAAGGAGCTGGATCCTGATTCCAGCATGGGGTGAGCATGGATGGGGCACAGCCCTTACCTGAAGATGCCCAGGAAGTGATCAGGGATGGGAGGAGGTCCTGGTCAGCAAGGGTATCTACATCAAAAGAATGACTGGGGCCTGGTGTAGAGGCTCACGCCTATAATCCCAGCTACTCAGGAGGCAAAAAAGTTAAACAAGACCCCATCTCATCCAACAAGCTGGGTGGTGACATGTCTATGATCCTAGCTAATGAGAGGTACAGGTAGGAGGATCGAGGTCTGAGGCCAGGTCCAGGCAAAAATGAGAGGCTGTACTTGAAAAATAACTAAAGCAAAAAAAGGGCTAACTATGGCTCAAGTAGCACTTTCCTAGCAAGCGTGAGGCCCTATGTTCAAACTCCAGTAATGAAAAAAAACAAAAAGGACTAGGCTGGGAACATGGGCCAGGTCAGTGAGAAAGGCCAGGCCTGGGAGACATCAGCTCACTTCCTGGAGGAGCAGGAAGTGATGGGGAGTGGGGAAGCCCACTGAGTGTCTCCAGATGGGGCAAGGGGCGACGGAAGCCTGGGCCCATTGGCAGTGTGTCCACAGGAAGGCCCTGGAGATGAGCTGCGCCATCCAGAACCAGCTGGCCCGCATCCTGGCTGAGTTTGAGATGACCCTGGAGAGGGATGTCCTGCAGCCGCTCAGCAGGCTGAGTGAGGTGACCCTGCCTCTGCCCCCAAGCCTCAGCTTCCCCAGGCTCTGGCTCCCCTCCCAGCCCCCTGAGCCCTTCCCCTGCCTGCCCCCAGGAGGAGCTGCCAGCCATCCTGAAACACAAGAAGAGTCTGCAGAAGCTGGTGTCCGATTGGAACACCCTCAAGAGCAGGTAGGAGCCCAGGCCCGGGTCAGACTCAGAGAAGGCCTCAGAGCCTTGAGACCCTTGCCACACCAGGACACTAGAGGGCCCCTGGGTACATGTGTGTACTTGTGCCCATGCTGATCCATGGGAACATGTGGCGAGGGTTACATGCAAGGGTGCTGGTGACGGCTGGTACCACAGGTGACCCCAAATCCTAGGATACCCACAATCCTCCAACATCCCTGGGTGACCTGAGCTCCCCACTCCCTCTCTGGAGCGGGGGTAACTGTTACTACCAAGTTTGCCACCAGTGGCCGCCCAAGAGCCCTCCGGCCTAGGCTGAGCCTCTGCTCAAGGGTTTTGTGGGTCTGCACATCCTCCAGTCCTGTGTGGTCAAGTGCAGGAAGGGGACACTTGGTTGTGGACATACAATGTGATGGTGACCACCTCACCTTGGGATCATTCCTAGGCTCAGCCAGGCGGCCAAGAACTCTAGCAGCAGCCAAGGCCTGGGCAGTGGTCCGGGCAGTTACAGCCACACCACCATGGCCAACAAGGTGGAAACACTGAAGGAGGAGGAGGAGGAGCTGAAGAGGAAGGTGGAGCAGTGCAAGGTGAGGGGACTTGGCATCCACTGATGTGTGGAGGTGGCAGGGCTGGGTACTGTCCTCATTTCACAGATGAGGTAACTGAAGCTTAGAGAGGTGACTTGACTTGCCCAAGGCCACATAGCTAGGAAGCAGCAGAGTTGGGCTTTGAATCCAGGCAGTTAGACACCAGAACCTGTGCTTGGCCATTACCTTGTAGCATCTTCTGTCTACACCACATGTGTGACCCCGGGAAGCAGGAACACAGTCTGTTCACTGGACTCTTGGGTGTGTGTACTGAGTGAATAAGTAAATGAAGGAATGGCACTTGCTGAGTGAGTGAATGAATAGCGTTTGAAGAGTGAATGAATAAGTGGACAGTGTTTGCAGAGTTAATAAGCCAATGAATGAATGGTGTCACTGAGTGAGTGAATGAATGGATGCTGTTGGCCCAGTGTGTGAATGAGTGAATGAATGGATGGTGTTTGCAGAGTGAGTAAATGAGTGAATAAATGAATGTGGTTGGCTGAGTGAATGAATGAAGGGTGACTAAAAGAATGATTGCATAGTAAATAACAAGGCACTGTGCTAAGGATATGAGGACCCAGATATGAGGTCCAGTTGCTGCAAAGCTCCTAGATCCCTCCTAGGATCTAGGTCCTGTGGCCTGGTCCCAAGAATCAACCTTGGTGGAGAGAGAAGAGTCAGCTGGGACCCTCCCTGTATAGGTGTGTAGCCCTAGGCAGGTTAGCATCACCTCTGAGCCTCAGCTTGCTGCCGGATCCCCAGCTCACCTGGTATAAGCTCTGCCCTCTCTATCCCCAAGGACGAGTATTTGGCTGATCTGTACCACTTCGCCACCAAGGAGGGCTCATATGCCAACTACTTCATTCACGTGAGTCCGAGGCCCAGCTCCAGCCCTCTGAAACTAGGGGTGGATGCCAGAGGGAGGGGCCGCTGGGACCCCTACATGAAGTGGGACATTTGCTCTGTGGGCTCTGGGGAAGGCTCAGCTGCCCTTGATTCCCCCGACTTGTCCCTTTGTCCTCACAGCTCCTGGAGATCCAGGCTGATTACCATCGCAGGTCACTGAGCTCACTGGATACAGCCCTGGCTGAGCTGAGGGACAACCACAGCCAAGCAGGTAGGGACATAGGTGGGCCAAACCCTGACCTGCCCTGCCCAGGGCCTGTTAGGTCACCTGAACCTCATCTTGAAAGGCAACAGGGAGCCATGAATGAGTTCTGAGCAAGGGTAGGCTTGATTAGGTTTGCGTGGAGAGATTGCTGTGACTGCTGCATGGAGTATGGAATGAAGGGGGCAAGACGAGTTGGGCAATCTGGTAGAAGGAAGAGGGAGGTGACAGATCTAGGGGCAGAGAGGCAGGGGAGGTGGGCAGATGGGAGAGGATTGGATGGTTTCAGATGTGCCTCCGGAGTGGGAAGGAAGGTGGCATTACCTGAAGACACCTACGGTAATGTCTGCCCTGGCCTGACTGCCCAGGGCAGGAGGACCCTGGACCACTGATGTGTCTTATCCCTGCAGACCCCTCCCCCTCGATGACAGCCGCCCCCTTCTCCAGGGTGTATGGGGTGTCGCTGGGAATCCATCTACAAGAGCTAGGCCGGGACATCGCACTGCCCATTGAGGCCTGTGTCCTGATGCTGCTCTCTGAGGGCATGCAGGAGGAGGTAGGACCACTGGGGCAGGTGGGGAGAGAGCACCAGCCCCCCATAGGCTGCCCTGTCCTGTGGTTCCCGTTAGAGCATAGGTCCTCTGGGGGGAGACACGGCCTTCTATAGCTGAACCAACACTGCCTCCCCGCTAATGGTGCTTACAGGGCCAGGCTCTGTGCCAAAGGCACTCTGTGTTCCCTGCTCCGCTTAATAGTCCCAAGTAACCCTTGGAGGAAGCCTTCATTGGCTCTCTTGTGCAAAAGGGAGACAGAGGCAAAGAAGTAAATGTGCCCAGAGTCACATGAGAAGGTAGCATTAAAACCATGGTAAACAATACAGGCTCTATGTGTCCATTGTACCTTCGTGTTGGGATACATTGGCCCTTTTCCCAAGGAGAGAACTTAGGTGGAACATCAAAGGATTGCAGGCCTCCCATCAATCCTGCTGGGCCTCTTCTACTCCTAACCAGAGTCCTGTCACCCCATGATTTATTTATTTACTTATTTATTTATTTATTTTGTGTGCGTGGTACCAGAGGGTTGAACTCAGGACTCAGGGTCCTGTGCTTGCTAGTCAGGCACTCTATCACCTGAGGCACTCTGCCAGCCTCACCCATGATTTTCCTAGCTCCCCCACCCCACTTCCTAGCTCTGTCCTTTGTTTAGAATTCTAGACCCTGAAACTTGAGAGGGCCTATGGACACTGGAGTCTAGAACAGTGGGGACACTGAGTCCTAGTGAGAGCCAGCAGCCTGCCTTATGCTACAAGCAAACTAGGCTTCCCAGCCAGGGTGCCTTGCCCTGTCCACCTCTCCTTGACCTCCATCTGTGCCCTCTTGTTCCCCAGGGCCTCTTCCGTCTGGCCGCAGGAGCCTCAGTGCTGAAGCGTCTCAAGCAGACAATGGCCTCTGACCCCAGCAGCCTGGAGGAGTTTTGCTCTGACCCCCATGCTGTAGCAGGTACCTGATCAAGGGAGCCCCAGGCAGGAGGTTGGGGAGCAGGAAGCAGATGCTTGAAATAATCCCAAAACAGATTGGCTTTAAGGCCTGATACTCTGCCAAGGAGAACACCTGAGAACACATGGGGAGGGGTTCCTAATGTAGGGTCTGTGCTGAGCCCCCTGAAATGTGTGCACATTTATCTGGGAACAAGATGGCTAACTATTTTATCAAGAGAGACTGTGGTCCAAAGAAACTACCAGACCTCACCATGTTAGTGTGAACAAGAACTGGAGTTCCTTCATGTGGAGAGAGCTGAGTACTGGGGATTCAGGGGCCAGTTTGGGGGGCCACCTCTGACCTTCTCCCTGCTGCTTCAGGTGCCCTCAAGTCCTATCTCCGGGAACTGCCAGAGCCCCTGATGACGTTTGACCTCTATGATGACTGGATGAGGGCAGCCAGGTGAGGAAGTTAGGGATGGATGGAGAGAGGGAGTGGGGAGGAAGAGGCCCTGGCTATGGCCCCAGGCTGGCTTACTGGTCGCTCTCCCTCCTCAGCCTGAAGGAGTCTGGGGCCCGGCTGGAGGCCCTCTGCGAGGTGTGCAGCCACCTGCCCCGAGAGAACCTCAGCAATCTCAGGTGAGCCCAAGCCCGCCTCCCTGGCTGCCCCAGAGCCCAGTTGGGACTGAGAAGCCCTGGCTTTGGGTCGTGCCCTGCCTCTGTGTCCTACGCAATATTTCTGAAAATGCAGCTTTGACACCCTGGTCATATCTTTTTATATTAAACATTAAAATAAACACATCTCTTGACCCTTTGAAGCCACACTGCCTGGCTTTTAACCCCACTCCTGCCACTACATGGCCCTGGATAGACAACTCGGTGTCATTACCTGGAAAATGCAGGTCATAATGGTCCCCACCCCATATGGTAGCTGGGAAGATTCTCAGTACAGCTCTGTGCCCGACACACAGGTGGCACTCAACAGGTTAGATCAGCCTACTCACTATTAAAACTTAAATCCAGCTGGGCGCCGGTGGCTCACACCTGTAATCCTAGCTACTCAAGAGGCAGAGATCAGGAGGATCACGGTTTGAAACCAGCCCGGGCAAGTAGTTCGAGAGACCCTATCTCATAAAAACCCATCACAAGAAAGGGCTAGTGGAGTGGCTCAAGGTGTAGGCCCTGAGTTCAGACCCCAGTATTGCAAAAAAAAATAAAAACAAAACAAAAAAACTGTAGTTCCAGGGCTGGAGGTGTGGTTCAAGAAGTAGAGCACTTGCCTAGCAAGCAAAAAGTCCTGAATTCAAACCCCAAATACAACCAAAAAAAACCTTAAACCCGGGCTGTGTGCTATCTTTCCCACTTTTTGGAAACCCCAGGATGGGAATTTCTCAGGCCATGGGTAGGGGAATCCAGGATGTCCTAGCCCTGTCCAAGCCCTGCTCCTACCCAGGTACCTGATGAAGTTCCTGTCAAAGCTGGCTGAGCAGCAGGAGGTGAACAAGATGACACCTAGCAACATCGCCATCGTCCTGGGGCCCAACCTGCTGTGGCCACCACAGAAAGAAGGGTGAGGAGCCACGAGGATGTCCCCAGCCTGCCATCTGTTGCTTATTTATTAGGCCTTGGTTTCCCCATCCCTTGAGTGGGTTGAGGAACAGCCTGAGGGACCAGGAACCTCACAGGGCTTTGGAGACAGGCATTCTGGGTAATGGCCTGGTGTGGGACTGGGAGCCTGGAGACTGGTTCTTTCTCTAACTCCATCCAGAGATGGGCCTTGGGAAGTTACTGTCTGGGTCTCTACTTTCTTATCTGTAAATTGGGGAGGGGTTTTGCTTTGGGAATTAGATGAGATAATGAATGGGGGAGTGTTTTATAAGCTGTGAAGTTCTGTAATCATCAGTACCTACCAGTCACAAATAACACAAAAATTTCACCCTCTGTCCTGAGTGCTTATAAAGAACTGTCAGGAAAGAGCCTGTGATTGACTAGTGATGTTTGTCATGGGTGAAGGAGGCCAGCACACAGTGTCGCTTTAAGGGTTTTTTTTTTTTTTTGGTGGTACTGGGAGTTTGAACTTAGGACCTTTTGCTTGCTGGGCAAGTGCTCTACTGGCCTATTAGTGACACATTTGCCATCAACTGTGCCCAGCACAGGGCCACACAGAATTGGGGTCACTAAAACACTGCCAAGAAGATGACTTGCCTTGTCTCTCCCTTTTGTGCCAGGGACCAGGCCCAGCTGGACGCAGCCTCAGTGTCTTCCATCCAGGTGGTGGGCGTGGTCGAGGCACTGATACAGAACGCAGACACTCTCTTTCCTGGAGGTGAAGCTGCTGCCTGCATGTCACCCTCACTGTCCCTTCCTCCTGCCCAGCTCTGAGTCCCCCATACCCAGTCTCAGCCCCTAGTGGCCCCAGAAACTTACCATAAGGCTTGGAGGAAGCTGCTCCTCCACTCTGTGCCTCAGTTTCTCATCTGTGAAACAGGCACAATCCTGCCTGCTTTGTGAGACCATTGTCTGGTTCACGTGGAGATGGGAAAGCAAAGCAAAGTTCCAGTCATTTGAGGAAAAGAAAGGAAGCCTGGGGTGGGAGACTGGCAAAGGCTGTGAACTGACACTTGCTCCTTCTGTCTGTCTCCAGACATCAACTTCAACGTGTCAGGCCTCTTCTCAGCCCTCGCCCCTCAGGACAAGGTCAGCAACAGGCTAGCCTCTGAGGAGCTGCCACCCACTGCCGTGCCCACGCCAGCTACAACCCCGGCCCCAGCTCCAGTTCCAGCCCCTGCCCTGGGCTCAGTGGCTGGGAAGGAAAGGTGAGGACTGAGGAGCATGAATGGGTCTATCCTAGCTCCACAGACACCAGTTGCATCTCTCAGGAATGTAATTGATAGCATTTTTGTTCCAGAGACCTGGTCCCTGGTTCAGAGTAGATGGGGTAGAGACCTGGAGGTGACACACCTCTTAGTCTTAGAACAAGTCTCAGTCTTGTTCATTGTAAGGCTATTTACTAAGTACCTACTATGTGCCAGGCATTGGTCAGACAGACCCTGGAGATTTAGGGAGCCTGGGAAGTGACTGTTTTGGAATGTGGAAATACCTCCCAGTCTCTAGTCCGATAAGTCTGGAAAGGCTCTGTGGGACAGTGTTGCCTCCATACCAATCAGGTATTGCTCAGTGTTGCCCAGACCTCACCATGAGTTTCTTCAGATGAGCCTGACAAATGCTGCCCTCGGAACCCGCCTCCCCACGGGCCGGGGCAGTGTCTACGCAGATCCACATGGGCACCCTGCCATGTCAGGTGGGGCTTGTGCCCTGCAGAAGATGAGGCAGTGTACAGTGTAACAGATGAGAGCTGCAGTAGCTGTGGGGACAGGAAAGGTCCCCCTGGGGAGTTGACTGCCAAGCAGAGACCGGCAAGGAATAAGCTGTGGACCCCTTGCTGCTTCTTATGGCTTTCTGGCTTCCAGTGGCAGAACATCCCAGAAAGATTACATGAAGGCCAAGAGCTGAGGCAGAGGGTTAGCCTTGTTTCCCACCACCCATCCTGGACACGGGATGATCCCTGGCACAGGAGGTGGGGAGCAGATCCTGGGGACCTCAAACTCCACCTGACAGCTGCCATTAGTCCAAAATTCCAGGCAGCCTCTGGGAGATAATCAAGCCTGCCTCTGCCCCTCTTCTTTCTTGGCAGGACAGAGCCTGAAGCACCACATAGACCAGCCTCCCCCAAGGTCAGCAGGAGTCCCCCAGAGACAACTGCCCCAGCAGAAGACACGACTCGGAGGAGTGAGTGGACCATGAGGGCAAGAGGAACAGAGGATGGGCAGGGACAGGAATTGGACAGCCTATCCCCATGTTTTTAGATCACCAGGGAGGCCAGGAATCAAGGTGGTTAGAAGCCCAGGTTTTGCTGTCTGGCATTCTGCTCAGATTCCAGCTCTGTGATGTTTCTTCTTCTAAATAGTGGAACAATAATTGCCCTGACCTTGGAGGGCTGTGTGGAGAATGAGTCGAGGCTATGGGGAGCCCGCAGGGCTCTAGCACACAGAAAATGCTGGAGATGAGTGTGGGGGCATCCAAAAGCAGGGAGACCACAGAGGGTAGGGCAAAAGACTCTTCAAAGGGAGGAGTCCCGGGTCTCCTTCTGAGCCTGCAGGCCCACTCACCTGTCATCTTGGCCCACAGCCAGAAAGATGAGAGGGCCAGGGGTCAGGGTGGGGTGTCCTTACCAGGGTGACCGGCACACTGGGGAGACCCCACCCAGCCCTGGGTGCAGGGGAATTTCCACCTGAGTGTAAGCTACATAGGCCACACAAGGACCTTGCTGAAGGAAGGGGCTTCTAACCACCTTTGGGGAGGAAGGCATTTGCTCAAAACACTGTCACAGCATCACCCAAGCTGGTCCCCACATCAGCTGTGGGAGGTGGGGGTTCACACCCCATCTTATCAATGAGGAAACAGGCCCCAGGGGGCAAGTGAATCACCTCAGGTCCTCCAGCTAGTGGAAAAAGGGTGAATCCAGAAACCCACCACACCCACTCCATCCGTGACTGCCTTATGAGGTTGGAACTGCTCTGGGATCTTTGAGCACTTGGACGGGGTAGTCTGGTGGGCTTCTGAGAGGAGGCAAGCAAGGCCCAAGTGACAGCAGAGACAGACACACTCATATGTTCAACGGACATGTACACACACCTCTCCCCACCCAGCACTGTGCCACATGGAGCTGCCTCACCTGGTCCATGTTCTAGGGAAGCAGTGGCCAAGTAAGATAAGAGTGGACAAGATAATTTCAGAGGACAGGCCTGTGAAAGCAACAAAAGTGGAAAACGTGACAGTAACTGGGGTGGGGTCTGGGGGTGCTACTCCAGCCTGATCAGTCTAAAAGACCTCTGAGGGGGTTAAGAGCATAAGAGACACCTAAATGATGAGGGGCCAGCTGTAGAAAGTGTCCCCAGAAGAAGGGATGGCAAATACAAAGGCCCTGAGGTGGGACCAGGCTTGGTGGAGACACCACAAGCAGTATGGACGTCTGACCTCCCTTCTCTTTCCTTCTTCTGCAGCCAAGCGCCCAGCACCCGCCAGGCCCACAGTGCCACCCCCTCAGCACTCTAGTGCCCGCTCCTCTCCTCCAGCCCCACCCCTGTCCCCTGGCTCTGGCAGCCCTGGGACCCCCCGAGCTCTGCCCCGCCGTCTGGTGGGCACCAGCCTTCGAGCCCCTACAGTGCCACCCCCATTGCCTCCTGTTCCTCCACAGCCCACCCGGCGTCAAAGCCGGCAATCACCTGCCTCCCCCAGCCCGGCCTCCCCCAGCCCAGGCTCTCCAAGCATTCCTGCTCAGGTGGATCTGGGGCCAGCCCCAGAGGGCGGAGGGGCTCCTGAAGCTGCAGGTGGGGGTCCCACTCCCCCTGCATTTACCCCTCAGCCCCGGCCCAGGGGTCTTGCCTCTGAGACTGATTGAGGGGGCAGGTCCTCCCTGACTAGCCCTCAGTGTCCCTTCCCTCCCCACTATGTCCTTCCAGGATAGCCCTGGCCTCTGTCAAGGGGCTGGGCCTCCAGCCTTCACCCGCAAGTGCCTCTGCGCCCACTGGGTCAGCCTCCATGGCCAAGAGGGCTCAGGACAGCCCCCGTCTCCTGGCCTTTTCCTCTTCCACACTGGGTTCAGAAGCCCCCGCACCTGACTCCCCACTCTCTGGCAGGGTCCCAGGGGAGCCACCAGAAGGAAGGGCAGGCTTGCCTGCTCCTACAGGACTTTTATTTTTCTCTTGCCAACATATTTTTGTAAGGCTGATAAATAAATTATTTTGGACAAAACTGGAGCAACTGCCCCAATGATAGCTTTATTTTCTGTCCTGGAAATAAAGAAGCCACTTTCAAAAAGGGGAAAAATGACATACTCTCTGTCTCCTTTCTTTCTTCCAGTCTGAAATGGTAAGAGCCAATGTTTTACATTTTTTTCTGGACCTCACACTCTTTTCTGCACATGTTTCTGTGTAATCTTTACCTAGTGAAGTGAATACCACCACCTTGAGCAGGTGACAGGGCAGAGGTCAGCAAGAAGTGACTCAAGCTGAGTGTGAGCCTGGGATAAGGACAAGGTTCAACCGGTTCCAAAGTCTGAGCTGTTCCTCCCATCCTGGGCAGTGTGCTCAGCCTCTCAGTGTCCTGGTCTCCTCTAGCAATCTCACCCCAAAGTCTGAGCTGTTCCTCCCATCCTGGGCAGTGTGCTCAGCCTCTCAGTGTCCTGGTCTCCTCTAGCAATCTCACCAAGGTGGTGTTCTGAGGACCTGAGCCACTCCTGTAAGTACCAAAGCACCACCCTGGCACACAGAAGTACCCAGTAAGCACTGGCCGCTGCTGCTTCTGTCAGCTTTGGAGAAGGCAGGGAAGCTCTCCAAGAGCAGAATGAATCTATCCACGATCTTTCTGAAGGCTGCTGTCAGCCAGACCCTGGGCTAGCTCCCGACTCAACCATACACCCAAGGAGATTCTGGGAACAGACAGGCAGAACAGTGACAATTACAATCAAGTGTCATGGCACTGGAAGCGTGTATTAACCTAGTTAGGGGTGGGTCATTGAATAGACCCTGATGTGTGGATGGGGAGCGGTTGGTAAAGGAAGGCTTCCCAGAGGAGGTGATGCCTAAGGGAGTCTCCAGGAGTTGGCCAGGTGAAAAAGTTGAAAGGAAAAAAAATTGCCTAGGAGACCACCTATGCAAATGCCAGGAACAAAAGGTCTGGGGCAGTGGGGAACAGTAGTTGAACCTCAAAGGTAAGGTTTTTTCCAACTGCAGCAACTATTGGGGTGTGTGTGTTGGGAGGGGGAGGCGGTGTAAACATCCTCAGAGCCTTCTCTGATATTGGTCGAAACCACCTCTGCTAAGCTTTTGATTGGCTGGGGACGCGGGACTATTCGCTCCGCGTTTTCTCTTCATAGCTCCTCATTAGTTCAAAAGAACGCCAGTCTCCCAGCCGCCCGCCACTCTAAGAGGCTAGGCGGAGTGGAAACTTGGCGGCTACTGGCCCAGAAGAACAAGAGGGCGGGGCTAAGGGCCCAGACTGGTTCTTCATTGGTCCTCTCTCCTCGCGCGGCGTGGCTCCGCCCTCTGGCCCTTCCGGCGCTGTGCCGATTGGCTCGGGCGCGCAGTGCCCGGGGAGGAAGAGCGGTGCGGGCGTGCGAGCGGCCAGCCGGCTGCATGGCGCGCTGCGAGCGGCTATGCGGCGCTGCCCTGCGCGACGTGCTGGGCCGGACGCAGGGGGTCCTGTTCGACTGTGACGGGGTGTTGTGGAACGGCGATCGTATCGTACCGGGCGCTCCGGAGCTGCTGGAACGGCTGGCGCGGGCTGGCAAGGCGACGCTGTTCGTGAGCAACAACAGCCGGCGCGCGCGGCCCGAGCTGGCCCTCCGCTTCGCGCGCCTGGGCTTCGGGGGGCTGCGCGCCGAGCAGCTCTTCAGCTCCGCGGTGTGCGCCGCGCGCCTGCTGCGCCAGCGCCTGCCCGGGCCGCCGGACGCGCCGGGAGCCGTGTTCGTGCTGGGCGGCGAGGGGCTGCGCGCCGAGCTGCGCGCCGCGGGGCTGCGCCTGGCGGGGGACCTGGGCGAGGACCCCGGCGCGGCTCCGCGCGTGCGCGCAGTGCTCGTGGGTTACGACGAGCACTTCTCCTTCGCCAAGCTGAGCGAGGCGTGCGCGCACCTGCGCGACCCCGACTGCCTGCTCGTGGCCACCGACCGCGACCCTTGGCACCCGCTCAGCGACGGCAGCCGGACCCCCGGTGAGCTTGGAACTGGGTGGAGGGGCGACCTGCGCCTTCGCCCCCACGCTTGGGGCGGAGGGTGGGGGATGCAGGTGGAACAGGATTGATGCGAGGGAGGCCCCCACACGCAGCAAGAGTCCAGGGTGCTTTCGTGTCCGATTCTGCCAAGTCCTGCAGCTGCCACCTGTGAGGGGCCGCGGTGAGGCCCCCGATTGGCCCAGGAGCACGCTGAAGCCCTCTGTGGCTCAGAGTTGCAGGCTGAATTCTGGGCTCCCGACTTCCAGAACTGACCTCTTGCCATTTTGCCCTACCCAGGTTGGAAAGTGGAAGGGCGGTCCTCCAGAGGAGGGTTGGAACAGCATCGGAGGCAGGTGGAGTTTGATAGAGTGCCAGCTTGCTGTGTAGCGTGTTGGGTTACATAAGCTCCAAGCATCTCTGCTGGGCACAGGGAATTACCCATCATACCAGTGTCGCTCCAGGGACAGTGATGAAGGACAGTGCCTCCTGGCGAACTTGTAGCCCTCCCGTGCTTAGAGAGCGGCACCAAACACCTCAATGCCTGTTCTTACTTCGTTTCCAAATAACTCAGGAGATGGGAGTATTGTCTCATTTCCCTCCTTTGTGTGTGTGTGTCTCTATCATTTTTTTTTCTTTTTTTTGTTTCTCTCTCTCTCTCTCTCTCTCTCTCTCTCTCTCTCTCTCTCTCTCTCTGGATTGGAACTCAGGGCCTTGCACTTACTAGGCAGACTCTCTACCACTGGAGCCATGTCTCCAGTCCAGTATTATCCCATTTCCCATTTAAAGAAAGTGAGGCTTTAAGAAAAGAAAAAATGAGGTTAGGCCAGATGAAGTGGCGCACATCTGTAATCCCAGCTACTTGGGAGTCAGATTGGGAGGATTGAGGTTAGAGGCCAGCAAAGGCAAAAAAGTTGTCAAGGCTCCCATCTCAATAAACAAGCTGGGCATGGTGGTTTGTGCCTGTAATCACAGCTAGTGAAAGGCCTTAGGTAGGAGGATCACAGTCTGAGGCTGGCCCAGGGAGAAATATCAGACTATCCAAAAAATACCTTGACGCACAAAGGTATGGCATGGCTCACATGGTAGAGTACCTACCTAGCAAGCACGAGGCTCTGGGTTAAACCCCAGTACCACCAAAAAACTGAGGCTAAGAAAGAAGTGAGCTGCCTAAGGGTACACAGCGAGGCAGGGGAATCTGAATTTGACTTGTGACGCACACACACACACACACACATTCCGTTTCCAGGGCACCCTCGGCTGCCATTATCTTGGGTATCCAGCCCTGCAAGGAAGGCAGACCCAGGTGGGGGCCCCACCATCCCAGTGTTTAAGTTAAACGAGACCTGGAGACAGCAGAGGCTGACAGGCCATGATGAGTGTGTGTGGACAGGTCCATACCTCAGCCAGTAGGCAGGGTACGGACACATCTTCATCACCCCTCTCTCCTGGTGCCATGGCTCAGACAGTCATTGATCCCAAATCTTGGGGGCCAGGATGGTACTGAGGTGAAGTAAACACATGATGTGCAGTGAGGGTCTGGGAAGGCTTCCTGGAGGAGACGTGTTACAGCGAATAGGAGAACAAGGAGTGTTAGGATGGGGTGGAGGGAAGGACTCGTGTGGACCCGTCCTGGCTCTGCCTGGGACCTACTTGCCACTTGACAGCGTCAGTCTCAAGGGAGGGCTGTGGTGGGTGCTAGGGCTGCAACAGCTCCTACCTGCCCTCAGGCTAAGAAGGGAGGTATTCCCTGGAGATGTCAAAGCTCAGCTGGGGTGGGGCGGAGAGCGTCCCCAGAACTGGGGAGAGGCCAGGCCCTGCCCACAACCGCACCCAGGCCTCTGTAGGAACCCAGGCTCCAAAGGGCTCCACACCCACCTGTCTGTGTCCACCTGCTCTGCTGGTCACTCCCACCACCTCAAGGGGGAGGCAGAGGCTTACATCCAGCGCAGCAGTGCTGTTTGGGCCCAGCTGAGTGATGCAGCTTTCAAAAAGTGGTATAAAAAATAACAAAGCCTCCCCCACCATGTAAAATCTGAAATGATGCAAATCTCCCACCCCAGACGTCCCTTCCCCCTCCCAGGAGGGCCTCCTCAGCATTTATCTTGTTGTCAGTGGCAGCCAGGAGCTGGCAGACAGAAATGCCCGACAGAAAATGCCCACTGACTTAGATACATCATCACGCAAGTAGCAGCCTCAGAGGTCCCTGTGTTCACAGGGACCCTGCGGGGACGCTTGCCCCAGGGTAGGGAGCTTCACTGTGTTGACCACTCTGTCTTCAGTGTCTAGCTTGTAGCTGGGCCATAGCAGTAAATCTTAGGCGAATGAAGAAAGTAGGACATGGGGCCCAGGAGTGTCAGCTATGCCCTGGCCACTCTTTTTCGGAAAAAGCCGACAGCATTGGGCCTTTCCCAAGCTGAGAAAAATATTTTGGGGTGACTCAGTGAAGTCCTTCCCATTCTGAGTGGAATCTCCAAGAGGGAGGCAGTGGTTCTTCCCTACTCAGTTCTGAAGAAAACCACATGGACTGGGAGTGTGGCTCAGTATGCATTAGGCCCTGGGTTCCATCCACAGCACTCAGAACAAAAGCAGCAGGTTCTGGGAACTTGTTCAGAAAAAACCTGCCAGTGGTGTTGCTGTGGGCCAGCCTAGAAGCCCAGGTTCTGGCCTGCCTCTGCCCTGATCATGTCTTGCTGAGGAAGTTTATTTACTTATTTTTCTTTACTGAGTTTTTTGTTGTCCCTCCCACTGTTTCTCTGTGCCTTTGGCTTAACTGAGTGAAACGTCACTGGCTGTGAGAAGGCAGAGGCCCAGAGCGTTTTGTGTCAGGCCCAAAGTACTGAGAAATGTTTACTAGCAGGGAGAGGCTTGATTTATAACATGGACTGATTTCTGGTGTAAACACTCCCACTGTTGCTGATTTGGATGCTATGCGAGGTCCCTGAATGCGTAGTGGACACCTTCCAGTGGGATTTCCACTGTCACAGGTGTCAGTAACCTCATCTGCAGAGATAATCGTAAAATGTGGTATGACCGTTAGAAAGCGATGAGTTTTGAGGACATGTTATCTTTGTTTTAAGCAATTTACTTAGTTGTGCGTTCCTAAATTGACTTTTTTTTTTTAAAGGATACAGGTAATTGAACCTGGGACCTGTGCATGCTGGGCAAGTGCTACAGCACTGGGCCACACCCCCAGCCCTTTTGTTTTTACTTTGTTTTTTGAGACAGTCTCCCTAACTTTGCCCAGGCTCGCCTTGAGCTCTTGGTCCTCCTGCCTCTGCCTCCCAATTAGCTGATACTGTGCCTGGTCACATAAGCTGACCTTTTTTTTTTTTTTTTTTTCTTTGCAGTGCTGGGGCTTGAACTCAGGACCTTCACCTTGAGCCACTCCATCAGCTGTTTTTTGTGATAGGTTTTTTCAAGATAAACCCTATTTGCCCGGGTTGGCTTAGAACCACGATCCTCCTGATCTCTGCCTCCTGAGTAGCTAGGATTACAGGCGTGAGCCATCAGCGCCCGGCCCGTAAGCTGACTTTCATTAGCAGCTTCATTTAACAACCAGCTCACGAAATTCCTGAAAAGGCAACCGTCCTCACTGCTGAGCCAATATAAGCGTCTGAATCAGTGCAAGCCAGCCCAACCCACGACCAGGTCAGACCCACTTGAACGAGTGTCCTTTCACTGCCCCTGAGAAAGCTGTGCACATTCGGGCAAGTTACTTAAATGTCACGGGGCCTCAGCTTTCTCATCTATCAAAGGGGCTTCTAGGAGTGCCCCTGACAGTTTAGAATGTGCTGGTAAACAGCAGTTCTCCTCACCATCATCTGGTCAGGGACATCAGTGTGAAGGCAGGGTGTTTTGGCACAAAGCGTGCCTGTGGGAAGGCACAGTGGCTTCATTGTGCTGGCGGGACAGCACTGGGATGGGAGGCAGGCCTTTTTCCAAACAGGCCTCCCATTGTTAGAATTTGGGCTCCTTCCACAGTTTGGCCTGTGATGGTTCCTGTGGCCACAGACATCTTACAGCATGTAGCTTTTTGTCTGCAGTTGGAATTCTGTCCTTGGATCACTTTCCCTGTGGAGGCTCACTGGATCAGAGGTCCTGTGTTTCTGTGCCCTGCTCCATTCCTGGTGGGCTGTGCCAGTTTCCCATGCCAGGAGCACAGCTTCTTGGAGCAGTAAGCTCAACTGCTGTTTGCTAAGTGCTTGCCTCCACAGTGTCCCCTTGGGGGACCCATTTTGCCTTAGGTCCAGGGAAAGTCAGGTCGAGTGACTTGCTCAAAGGCATACAACCACCAAGTAAAATAGTGAACCTCAGACAAGCTGATTGAGGCAGCCCTTATTTTTATTTCTTTTGGCAGTACAGGGGCTTGAGCTGAGGGCTCGCAGTTGCTAGGCAGGTGCTCTGGTACTTGAGTCAGTGCCTCCAGCCCCTAAAGCAGCCCTGTTTACATTCAGTGATTCATTGAGTCTTTACAGGGCTTAGAGGAGGTAAGTAGCGTGGATACCTTCATTAGAGATGGGGGGACTGAGGAACAGAGCAAGTAACTAGCCTGTCCAAGAACAGTGGTGATGGTGTCTCAATGCAGGCATCTAGTGGCGAGGTCTGCGTCATCTAGCAGCACACAGAGACCTGGAAGCAGGCCTCTGACGCGGGGCCTTGCTGTTGGATATGCCAGGCCCAGCTCCTACCCTCTTGCTGACCGAGTGTTCCCTCCCTACAGGCACCGGGAGCCTGGCCGCTGCGGTGGAGATAGCCTCGGGTCGCCAGGCCCTGGTGGTGGGCAAGCCCAGCCCTTACATGTTCGAGTGTATCACAGAGCACTTCAGCGTGGACCCGACCCGCACACTCATGGTGGGTGACCGCCTGGAAACCGACATCCTCTTTGGCCACCGCTGTGGCATGATCACCATGCTCACACTCACAGGCGTCTCCCGCCTGGAGGAGGCCCAGGCCTACCTGGCAGCAGGCCAGCACGACCTTGTGCCCCATTACTATGTGGAGAGCGTTGCGGACTTGATGGAGGGGCTGGAGGACTGAGCCCACCTGAGCTGCAGCTGAGCCCCTCTCTTCCCACCCCTCATCCCCATAGACAGAGGCCATGGGTCGTGGTTTTGTGAGTGCACCACAAGCACTCTGGGGCCTCGGTTTCTTTACCCTGGTGGGGTGGGACCCAGTGAAGGTTTGAGGGCAGTTTCAGAAGCTGCCCATGCAGCTTGAAGGTTCCCCTGGCCTGACCCAGCCAGGTGGCCTCATTTCCTGCCCTGTTACCATCCCTCCTTGGATGTGGGCTTTGATGCCAACTGAAGATTCCGCCAACCCTGAGCACTTGATCTCCACCCCTCCCTGGGGCCTCTAGAGCCCTGCCCACCCTCCAGTCCTGCCTTTGGGCTCCTGTTGGCCAATCAGAGATCTAGGTAACCACAGCCCATTATTGTCCCAAGTGGACCCCTGGAAGGCTGAGTGACAGTGACTTACTGATGTACCCTGAGTGGACCAAATATCCTAAGGAACAATGACCCTTATGTGTGCTGGAGCCCCAGTGCACCAATCAGAAGTTAAGTAACATGGGCCTTGTATGTCCTAGGTCCTGAGTGGACCCATCAGGATGCCAAGTAACAATGACCCACTGGTCTCTTAGATCTCAAATAGAACAATCCAGAAGTCCAAGAGACAGTGACCTGTTGACAATCTGCATCTCACTGGATCAGCCAGGGGTCCAGATTTCAGTCAATAAGGAGGGCCCAAGTAGGAAGACACCCCTCCTCCACATAGCTCATGGTCTTGGGGCTGCTGTGGAGAGCCGTGCCCCTCCCATCACAGTACCTGCCCTGTGTTGATGGTGGCCAAAGCTTGGAAGGGGGTTTTTGTGCCCTCCCCCGTGTGGTCAGTGTTTTATGTGCCACCTCTCCCCCATGCCCAGCTATTTATTTATTTATTTATTATTGTGTGCCAGTGCCCGTGGGTGTGGAGCTGGGCCTTCCTGCCACCATGCCCCTGTTGTAATCAGTCCTCTTGAGCTTAATAAAGTGCCGGTGGGAGTGTCTGTGTGTCCCAGTCTGTGGCCGGGAGGGAGAAGAGCCCCTTCAGGAGCCTGGAACTGGCCTCCCATGACCTTGTCATTATACATCCTGGTTCCAGAGTGTTCTCCATGTGCAGAAATACCTTGACTCAATGCACTTAATTCATCACTGACTCCTTATATTCCAATCTCAGTCCTTTAGAAAAACCAGCAAGTTTGTTATCCAGCTTGGATTTTCTGGTGGTACCGGGGATTTGAACTCAGGGCCTCATACTTGCTAGGCAGGTGCTCTACCACTTGAGCCACTCTGCCAGCCCTGTGTTACCCATCTTAAAAACAGGAGCAGATGTGATGTTAAGGCCTGGGGGCACAGCTTCATGGTAGACTGCTTTCCTGCATGTGAGAGGACCTGGGTTCCATCCCAGCACCATAAAGAAGTGTACTCGCTTGCCAAGGGCACACAGTTGTATGGTGATTTAAACCTGGGTTGACTTGAGGTCACAGTCCCATCTTTGGAGAGAAAGGACAGGAGAGTGCAGGATGAAATCCCCACCCTTCAGAAGCTCTGCTGAGATGTTCTTGAGGTCATCCACCTGGGGAACTGCTGGTGAATGTCGCCAAAGGCCAGCCCTGAAGGCCCAAGAACCTTGAGGAAGTACAGAATCCGCTCTAGGCCTTTCTGGCTCGCTCACCACTTGTTTCACTAGCTGCTTTCCACTCTGCTTCTCTGTCATCTGCAGAGGTTGGCACTTGGAGGGCTGGGAGGTCCTCTCTAGTGTGGCTCCATTTGGGAAGAGGGTGGGCTCAGCAACCCTGGCTACTTCATGAAGTCAGAGCACAGAGAGTGCTTCTGTCTGTGAGGAACTCAGCTCAACTTGACTGAGGCATAACAGAGTCACTGGCTGCCCCTACTATGTGCTCTGGTACCTGCTAGGCACTCCCCTCACTTCTGCCTCCCAGTGGATACCTCCCACCCATCCAACTTCCCAAGGCAGATTTTCATTGACCTGGCTTGGGTCACAACCCCACCTGGAAACCTGTACCCAAAGGGATGGGACACAGTGGTTGGCATCCCTGGCCCCACCTTGGACCTCACAGATATTTGCTACCTTCCTCCTTGCCAACAGAATCCTGATGTCCTTCAGGACAGCATATGGAGGCATGTGAGACATTCTAGGCCCCAAGCAGTAAATTTTTTTTTTTCACTACTGAGGTTTAAATTCATCTTGAACCACTCCACCAACTCCACCAGCCCTTTTTTGTGAAGGGGTTTTTTGAGATAGGGTCTCTTGAACTATTTGCCCGGGCTGGCTTCGAACCACAGTCCTGGTCACTGCCTCCTCAGTGGCTAGGATTACAGGCAGTGTATCTTAATTGATTTAAAGCTTGAGTCTAAACCAATCATGGTTACTTGTCTCCTGGTCACTGCCCTACCCATGGTTATGTGATACTCTTCTGACTGCTGAGACATCAGCCTTTTATGTCTGCTGGGAACTTCTGGTAAGGCTTACCTCACTTTAAAAGAACATGGAGTAGCAGGGTGCCAGTGGCTCACACCTGTAATCCCAGCTACTCAGGAGGCAGAGATCAGGATGATCGCTGTTCAAAGCCAGCCCAGGCAAATGGTTCACAAGTCCCTATCTTGAAAATACATAACACAAAAAAAGGGCTGGCAGAGTGGCCATAGTGTATTCCCTGAGTTCAAACCCCACAAACAAAGAAAATAAAAAAATACAGAGGGGCTTATTCTTCTGGGGTTTGGATATGATGCTAGAAGCTGTTGCAGTTGCAGCCATTCTGTGATTATGAGGTGTGATCTAGCATGTGACTCTGCTTTGCGATTTGGCTACAGGTGGCAGAGCAGAAAGATGGGAGGAATTTGTTGAGGTCTCCTGAAACTTTTAATTTAGAACAGTTTCAAACTAACAGGAAAAAAAAGTATAAGAATGATACTATGTCCTCTGGTGGATTCACCAGTTGTTAGTATTTCCAATTTGCTTAGTAGCTCTTTATATGTATTTAACTGAACCATTTAAAAAAAGCATGTTACCAATAACACAGTTTACTCCCCAATCATTCAGCTAGTGTCTCCTAAGCAAGGATCAGTGACACAGCTTTTATTCATTACCCTAGGACCAGATCTTGGATGACTTCATTGAACCACTAATTCATCTGCCACCAGAACCGTGTGGCTCCAGACTTCTTGCCATGCGAAAGCTTCCTTGATTTTAAAGCACATTCCCTTGAGGTTTCCGGTTCTTGAAGCCACAAACTCTCCTGGTATACAGGCCTCACGCACACAGAAAACATTAAGAAACACGTACATCTCATCTGAAAGATACGTTTATTCTCAATCATGGATGTGACCATGGGTGAGGCTGGAGAGGTGTGAGGCAGCCATTTTTTGGTATAGAAGCAGGAGATGAAACCTACACAGGAGTTCAAGGTCAGATTAGGCATACTTTCCCTTGAGAATTCGCCAGTACTGCTACTTCCTTAATTTTTCACATTACATAGCATTACCTGCTCCTTAAAAATCAGACTGCAGGACTGGGGCATGGCTCGGGGTAGAGCACCTGCCCAGCAAACACCAAGCCCTGAGTTCAAACTCCAGTACCAGAAAAGAGAAACTAGACTGCAGTTTCTTTGAAGGATGAATCATTCCTCACTCTCCCACCCCTTCTGCCTTCAGATCTATCTGTGCCGGGTGGTCATGGTAGAGTCAAGTAGCCCACCACCCATTTGACTCTCCACCTGCTGTATATGACACATTTCAGGATTTCTCTGAGAACTTTATCCAAATTCAGGAGAGCAGGCTATTCCTAAAGATCTCAGACAGCTCGTGGCTATTCTGTAATTAAACCGTACTTCAAAAAATGAAGTAGTGGCTGGATGCTGGTGACTCACGCCTGTAACCCTAGCTACTTGGGAGGCTGACATTGAGAGGATTGTGGTTCAAGGCCAGCTTGGGCAAATAGTTTGAGAGATCCCCATCTCCAAAATAACCAGAGTAAAATGGACTGGAGGTGTGGCTCAAGCAGTAGGGCACCAGCTTTGCAAGTGTGAAGCCCTGAGTTCAAACCCTAGTTCCACCAAAAAAACAAAAAAAAAGTAACAGTCATATTTAAAACTAAATGAAAGCCAAACATAAGAGTGCTTCGAAACTTGTGAAAGTACAGCTTGTGGAAAAAAAGACATATAGAGATGAGAGAGAGAGAGAGAGAGAGAGAGAGAATCTCGCTATGTGTAGCCCAGGCTGGTCTTGAATGCAAGATCTTCCTGACTCTGCCTCCGGAATGCTTGGATTACAGACATTCACCATCATGTCTGGTGATACATTTTTTTGGCAGTACTAGGGTTTGAACTTGGGGCCTCTTGCTTGCCTAGCAAGCAGGTTACCACTTAAGCCACAACCCCACCCACCCCCTTTTTTTTTTTTGCTGTAGTTATTTTTCAGATAGCAACTTGAGAGTTTTTGTCCCAATCAATCTTAGACCTTGATCCTCCTACCTACAGCCTCCCACATAGCTGGGTGGCAGGCATGCACCACCATTCCCAGCTTACTTGTTGAGACAGGGTCTTGCTAATTTTTTGCCCAGATTGGTTTTGAACCACTATCCTGATCTCTGCCTTGCAAGTATCTGGGATTTACAGGTGTGAGCCACCCTATCTAGCCCTATTTTTAAAGGCACTTTTTTGGTTTTGTTTCAGACATGATTTGGCTATCAGATCTAACTATGGCTAACTGACCTCCTGGAATACTGAAACAATTCCAAACTAAGAAAAACCCAACCTACAAACTTGTTTTCAAATGTAATGAGTTAATGAGTTTTTACGACTAGCTGAGTTAATATCTCATTAACTTTGAGCACACTAAACATTTATTCATTTCAATTTGGCAGTTTGAGATTTTGGTTTTTTGGTTTTTTTGGGTTTTTTTGCAGCACTGGGGCTTGAATTCAGGGCTTCATACTTGCTAGGCTTGAGTAATTCCACCAACCCTTTTTTTGTGTGATGGTTTTTTTTGAGATAGGGTCTCAGGAACTATTTGCCCAGGGCTGGCTTTGAACCTTGATCTTCCTGATCTCTGCCTCCTGAGTAGATCTAGTTACAGGTGTGAGCCACCTGCACCCGACAGCAGTTTGAGTATTTTGGAGCCAATACATTTTTTTCTTCAAGTCCCAAATATTTTCTGAGTTTTTAAAAATCTCTTGGGCTAGCAGAGTGGCTAAAGTGATACAGCACTTGCCTAGCAAGGCCTGAGTTCAAACCCCAGTGCCACACACACACACAAAATAGTCTTGCTTCCTGTGAGCCTGTAATTATTTCAAAATAAAATGTTAAAAAAGAAAAAAGTAGGACCAGGTGCAGTGGCTCAAATCTATAATCTCATCTACTTAGGAGGCAGAGATTGGGAGGATTGATGTTTGAAACCAGCCCAGTGAAATCTCCATCTCAACCAATAACTGGCAAAAACAAGAGACCTATCCCAAAAATAACTAAAGCAAAAAGGACTGGAGAGTGGCTCAAGTGGTAGAGGGCCTGCCTATAGCAAACATGAGACCCTTAGTTCAAACCCCAGTACCACCCACAAAAAAATCAAAAAAGGTAAAATTCCACGGCTGACCCCTGGAGGGTTAATGACCAAAAAGGGCTGGACCCCACCCCAACCTTATCTGAGAGGAGGTCTTGACTGGAAGGGGCAAACCCCAGGTGGGAGACAAACCTGAAACCCACTGTGGGGGGATAGGGCTATCTGGGCAGGTAGACCAACACGGGTAACAAGTGGGGAGGTAGAAATGAGACAGCCAGTTAAGTGGAGGACAGGCTGCAGCACAAACTGGTCAGAAAGTGCCTGAAGTGGGGGGGGGGTATCCCCCACTGTCCTCCCACCCTCCCTGGAGCAGTTACAGAGGTCCAGGGCTCCAGGACCCCATTGTTTTCTTTGGATCAGCAGAGAGGGTTTGGGCTGCAGCTCCTGGTGTGCGCATAGACAAGTGACCCCGTTTCTGGATGGTTTCTACGTCATGCAACTGCATCACTAAATGGGGAGCTTCTAAGGCAGGGGGTGTGGATGGCGCCCCATGGGCCACTGCCCTCCCTAGCAGGGCCAGCTGCAGGAGGCGAAGCCTCCTTGGGCAGGGTGGGAGACATGCTGGCCTGGGTAGCCTGTCTTGTCAGGGAAGGAGCCAAGGTCCATCTGCAAGATGAAGGAATTCCAGAGAGCTCATAGCCTCTGTTGGGAAAGGTAGGCAGTGAGGGGAGCCCCGGGGTGGGGGCTTGGCCTTAGAGAATGGAGGAAAACTTCCTTACACATCACACAGATAATCCTCCAAGCAGTTGGGGAGTGAGGGAATGACTTCACTGCCATCTTCCAGCCAGAGGCTGGAGGATCAGTGGGCGCCACTGCAGGAGGCCCTGAGGACTTGGGGGAGGGGACACAAGGCACCTTGTCCCTGCCTGCCCCCACTCTGAAAACCAGAGTACTTGTTGTCAGGGATACTGGGAGCCTGGAGACTCCGCACAGCGGCTGAGGCAAGGACCAGTGCTAGGAGAGGAGTCCTTGCAGAGGCAGAGGGGCTGCCAAGGCCCCAGGAAGGCACATTCAGCCTGGGAAAAGGGAGTAGAGGGAGGTCAAAACCTGATACCCAGGGCTGGAGGTGAGGCTCACGTGTGGAGCACCTGACTAGCAAGTCTGAGGCCCTGAGTTAAAAAAAAAAAAAGTGATCACTTACTCAGTACTGCAGATCCAAGTTCCCACCCTGTACTACCATCTGAGGGGAACAAGATTTCACCTGCCCCCACACCCATTTGCAGATGGGGAGACTGAGGCAAGCAGGAGGTGAGGCATGCCAGGATGCCCTGGAAGGCAGGTGGCAGAACCTGAGTCCCCAGTGCCCAGTGAGGGCCTTTCGGGGGACCTGACCCCTATTCAGTGCTACCACACTGGCAGCCTAGGCAGGCAATCCTGAAGACATAACATTCCCTCCACCCCACTCCCCACTCCCAGGCACACACCTCCTGGTGCTGGGCTCCCTGTCCAGGTCAGGACAATGAGAAGTGGCTCCTTGGCCTGCAGCGCCTCTGGTTCTTGTGTAGGACTCCGACCAAAATACCCATTCCTTTGGTTTTTTCTCTTCTATTTTGCTTTTTTTTTTTTTTTCCTGAAATATCCGTTCCTAATGTGGCACAGGGGCGTGCCCAAGGGAAAGACCAGGAGCTGGGCCGGGCCCCGCCCACCCCTCCTATGATTGAGCTTTGGGGAGGCCTCCACAGGAAAAAGTGAAGCTGCTGTGGTTGGTTTGCCGCTGCGACCCAGAGAAGGAAGAGGGCTCACGGGTGCAGCCCAGCCCCTCTACACACTCCCTCCTCATCCTGTGCCAGGCCAGGGTGGGTTTCAGTCATCTGGAGGAAGGAGCTGGGGGTGGGGAGGGGCTGAGCTAGGGAGGAGGGGAGGCCAGAGTAGGTCTGCTGGCCTGGTCTCCAGATGTGAGTCACTCCTAGCCCACATCTTCCTCCCCCTTCGTGCTGGCAGCTTCTGAAGGAGGGGTGGCCATCTGGAGCCCCTTTGCCCTAGCAAGCCCCTCGCCTTGCCTAGTGCTCCCCATGGCCTTCTTTCCACCTAGTTTCTAAGTGTGAGGTGACACCCATCCAGCCAACCTTCAACTCTTGCTACAGTGATTTTTCTCTACAGTCCAAATCTGGCCTCAGTACCAACCCACCTACAATCTTCTATGGCTCCCCAGCATCGTTGGCTGAAACAATGCCCAACCCCTTTACCTAGTCCATGAGGCGCTTCATGATCCAGGCACTGCTGCCTTCCCAGCCTCACCCTCTGTCTTTCTCCTGCCTCCCCAGATGCCGTTCCCCAGGCTGCACTTTCTATCTCTGAGCCTCTGCCATGCTGGAACACCAGGCCTTTCTTCAATCCTCCTTCAAGACCCTCCTACTTCAGTCTTCGGTTTCCATCCCCGCAGCACCCCACCACTGTGTTTGCTCATGACTTCCCAAGAACCATCCCACTGCTATTTCTCAATTAGGTCCAAGGTCAGATTCCGCCCCAACCATAGGCTCCTTAAGAGTGGGGACTGGGAGGGGTTTATCTTTGAATCCTCTGAGGCCAGCTCAGAACCAGGCACATAGCAGGTTTTCAGGAAGGCTGTGTCTGACCTCAGAAGGAGAGATGTAAAGAAGGAAGTAGAGCCGGGCACCGGTGTCTCGCATTTGTAATCCCAGCTACTCAGGAGGCAGAGATCAGGAAGATCACAGTTCAAAGCCAGCCCAAGCAAGTAGTTTGAGAGACCCCCATCTCGAAAAATCCCATCACAAAAAAGGGCTGGTGGAGTGGCTCTGAGTTCAAATCCCTATACTGCCAGAAAAAAAAAATGACGTCAGGGTGCACAGAGAGGGGAACCCAGCCACCCAGGCCTGACACTCTCAGACAGGCCGGAGGCTGTCAGGCCCCGGCTGAGAATCCAACAGGCCTTCCAGGAGGGTGAAGCCCGAGGTGCACGCCAAGGCCGCAGCCTCAGGCCTGGCACCCGGCCCGGTCTTTCTTTAGCCCTGGTGCTCCCAGCAGTCACAGCCCCGGCTTCCGGGGGCGGCCCAGGCGGGGGCCGGGTGGGGCCAGGGCTTTATGGTAACGGGTGCTCAGCCGTCTGCAGAGGCCCACAGCGGTTGCCACCCCCTGGCCCTGCCAGGCTGTAGCGTCTCCTCCACCAGCTGATTCCCTGAAGGACTGTGCGCCCCTCAGCCATCCTCCCTGAGCACCCCCGAGCTCTGCCTGCTGGCCCCAGGCCCTTTCCCCGCCAACTCTGAACCTAGCTCATCCTTAAACTATTTTCCATTTGCTTCCCCAATCTCTGCCACAGCACAACTTTTTTTTTTTTTTTGGTAGGGGGAGAGGCATGAAGGAGGACAGAGGCGGAGCTTAGGGCCTGGGGGAGTGGGTAGGAAGGAGGGAGGGGCTCGCTGCTCTGATTGGTCACCGCTGCTCCAGCACTGCCGTCAAAATTCCATTTGACTCCGCCTCCCGTGGCCCCCATCCCCGTCCTGACTTGCAATTGGCTCAGTTTCCAGGGGGCGGGACTCACCGGGTCTGGTCCTCTTAAAAGGGTGGGAGCGGCCTGGGCTCATCTCCACTGGTGTCTTCAGACGGCTGGTGCAGCGGTTCCTGGGAACATCCTCTTGGCCTCAGTCATGGCTTGTGTGAGTGTGGGACCCCTACTCCAAGGACTAGGAGATAGGCTCCCGGAAGCAGATGGGGAGAGCCGGGCAGTTCAGGAGCTGAGTGCTAGTCTCAGCTGTGTGGCCTTGGACAAGTGCCTTTTCTTTTCCCATCCTCAGTGCTCACATCTGTAAAATGGGGGTGGGTTGTCAAGGCCTTCTCTGGTATAAGAACTTTCTGGATTCCTCCAAGGTCTGACAATAGTTTTCTGCCAAGGCCCAACATTCTGCCACTGAGAAGTTGGAGTAAGAAGGGTGTGGCCAAGGGGGGGGGGAGGTGGGTGGGAGGGACACACTAAGGGCCAGGGCACTGTCCCTTCCCCCTCGTCCATTCTAGAGAGCCTCCTGTCCCATCCCCCCTGCAGCTGTCCGCAGTCACAGGGCCAGGGCCTAATCACCCTCTGCTCCAGAGAGCTCTAAAGAGTGGGCAGGACCTGCGAGAGGCTGCCTGCCACAGCCTGCCTGGATTAGGAGGTGGAGGGCAGTTCTGTTCAGGTGGGAGTTGGGGGAATTCCCCCCACGCTAACTGGGGGCTGGGGGGGGAAGGGAGGGGGAGGAGGCAAGGATCTTTTGCAGGCCCCTAGGGAAAGGGTTCAAGTTTGTGGCAGAAGGAACCACTCACACCAGTTAACTCTTGCCCACCTGCCTCAGCAGGCATCAGTGCCCACCAGTGCCCTGTGTGCACCCGGTCCTGCTCGGTCCTGTTAGCCCTGTCCGCAGCCCTGACCTTTGGCTGCTCTCCCTTCTGCAGAGGAGCATGGCCAGTTTCCTCAGACTTTCTCCAGCCACTGCACCTTCTGCAGAGAGCAGCTTGAAGGGGGCAGGGGAGGTCGCTGCTGCCCCTGGCCACTTGAGGCTGACTCATTCCGAGCCTGATCCTCTCCATCTGCTAATGAGGCAATGGGGTGTGGCACCTACCTCCAAGGCCACTCTCGTGTCCAGATTCCCAAGCCAATGTCAAATCTTCTAGAGCCCACATGTTTCAGACTGAAACATACTCCGTGGGGTAGCAGGACTTTCTCAAGACGACACAAGAGAATCAGAGGCTAGAACTTGCACCCTGTCCTGTCCCCCAGGCTTCCCCTTGGCCTGGTCGGAGGACCCAGGGTGGGAACAACCCCACTCCCACCCTCAATCACCCCAGGTCACTGCAGGCAGCAGAGGGCACGTCCTCCTAACCCAGCTGGGCGGGTCTTGTCTGCACAGGGTCTGGTCGCCAGCAACCTGAATCTCAAACCTGGGGAGTGTCTCAGAGTGCGGGGCGAGGTGGCCCCCGATGCCAAGAGGTGAGGTGCCACTTGTGGGGTGGCAGGCGACAGGGGCAGGGCTGGGAGGCCGAGGGTCCAGTTGGGCGGGTGGGTTGGGTGTGGCCGGTGGCAGCCCACTTCTCCCCAGCCTGGAGGGGGTTAATGGCCAGCTGCCCGATGCTGCGTTTTCTGGATGAGTCACTTCCTCGCTGGGTCTGGGCGCCCCCGCCATGGGCACCCCCTCCCTCTTTGCTGTGCCTCTTAAACTAAAACAGCTGCTGCCTCCCCAGCTACCTTGGCCTGCCCCCTCCCCTTCCGGCTCTGGGCGGGGTCTGCCCAGTGGTGAAGCTGGGACGAGAGTGGTGTCATCCGCTCTGTCCCTCTGAGAACCATGGGTGCTATCTTGGTCCTTCGGTCCGGCGCTCATCATTCATTCAGCCAGCTGGCCCATTTTGTCAGCAGCCATATGACCTTGGACAACCAATCTCACTGAGCCTCAGTTTCTTAATCAATAAACAGGGGAGGAGGTTGTGATGTGGAGGAAGTAAGAGGCAGGGTCAGGGGTGAAGATGGTGACCAGCTGATCATAAAAGCTGCCCACTCTCATTTCATTCTTACCAAGCCCTCACAGATAAGATTGTACGTTATTATTACTATTACTATTATTGTTTGTGGTGCTGGGGTTTGAACTCAGGGCTTTGAGCCACTCCACTAGCCCTACTTTTGTGATGGGTTTTTTTTTTTAGATAGGGTCTAGCTTCGAACTGTGATCCTCCTGGTCTCTGCCTCCTGAATAGCTAGGATTACAGATGTGAGCCACCAGCACCCAGCTTAACAAATGTATTATTATTATTTGTTCATTTGCCCCACAATTGATCATCTACTCTGTGCCCTGCTCCATGCTGGCCTCCAAGATAGGACACTTGCCCTCCCAGAGGTCACCTTTGGAGGGAATCCCCAACCTTGACCAATGGGGCTTGGACCCAAACTAATGTCTTTGAGAGTCTTGGGCTGTCAACATAGCAAGACCTTCTTGTGCTGGCTCCATTGTACAGATGAGGAAACTGAAGCCCAGAGAGGGGCAAGGAATAGCTCAAGGTCACACAGTAAGTAGGTGGCAGGATCAGAACTAGAATCCAGGTTTCTGGTCACCCTGTTGACTGAGCACCAGCAAGGTGCATTAATGATGCTCTGTGTGGCAGACTGGCTAGCCTTGGCGGCCTAGAGCCGGCTGAGCTGGCCTCAAGTGCACCTGTTACTCTAGCTTTGTGCTGAACCTCGGCAAAGACAGCAACAACCTGTGCCTACACTTCAACCCTCGCTTCAATGCCCACGGGGATGCCAACACCATTGTGTGCAACAGCAAGGATGGCGGAGCCTGGGGGGCCGAGCACCGGGAGCCTGCTTTCCCCTTCCAGCCTGGGAGCATCGTGGAGGTGGGCAGGGCCCTGGGTGGGCTGGCTTTAGTGACCAGAGACCTGGGCACCCCACCATTCTCCCCCTCCCTGGCTGTGTGATCCCCTGTGTCATCCCCTCTGGCCTCACCCATGACCCAGGAATGTCCTCTTTGTCACATAAGGGAAGGGCTCTGGGAGGGCCCAGCTCATTGGCATTCTCTGCCCCCAGGTGTGCATCTCCTTTGACCAGGCTGACCTGACCATCAAGCTGCCAGATGGACACGAATTCAAGTTCCCTAACCGCCTCAACATGGAGGCCATCAACTACATGGCAGCCGATGGTGACTTCAAGATCAAGTGTGTGGCCTTTGAGTGAAGCCAGCAGTGGTCATGACCCCCAATAAAGGCAGCTGCCCCTGTTCTTTCTGAACCAGCCTTGTATGTGTGTGTTTGTGTGCGCGTGCGTGTTACAGGGCTCCCCACCCAGCCAGGCCATTCCCTCACTTCCATTCATTCCCCCATGTGTCCCTCCTACATCCCAGAAACATATCTTCTGCCCCTGGGTTCCCCAAGCCAAGCAGAGCTCAGCACACAGTAGAGGGCTTGGGGACCACTGAGTAAGTAACAGTCCCATGGTGACAGGAACAGAACAGCGGAAGTGGAGGGAAAAACAACTCAGGCTCTCTCCTTTGTCTTGAGAGCTAGAGAGCTCTTAACTGGGCATGGGGTGTAGGCCTGTAGTCCCAGCTACTCGGGAGGCTGAGGCAGGAGGATCATTTGAACCAAGGAGTTCAGGGCCAACCTGGGCCACATAGCAAGACCCCACCTCAGGGGACATAAGAGAAAGCTCTGGAGTCAAAGGAGGGCTCCTAGCTGTATAGCCTTGTGCTTATTAACTGATCTTTCTCATTCTTGAGCCTCAGTTTATTACTTTGCTTTTTTGTGGTACTGGAGATTGAAATAAGCTAGGCAAGTGCTCTACCACCTAAGCCATGCCCCCAGTCCTTTTCATTTTAGTTTTTCAGATAGGGTCTTGCATTAACTTGGCCTAGGCCAGCCTCAGACAGAGATCCTCCTACTTCTGACTACTGAGTAGCTGAGATTACAGGTGTGCACCATCATGCCCGGTAGGGAATAATACATGTAGCCATGCTAGGGTTGGTAATAAATGAGATGTTTTGTGCAGGAGGCCAAGTCCAGCCCTTGGCACGTGGTAAGCGCCCAGGGGATGGTGGTTTCTCGACTCCGCACTACATTTTGTGATGTTATCTCTCTAATTCGAAGGGAAGGAAATGGGTTCTGAGTGATGAAATGACTCTTCAGGCCCAGCTGAAGGGGGCACCCTGGCTTAGGGACCTCCTGGTATATAACACAAGGGCAGCCAGGCTGGAAGCAGCTGGCTCTGTGGCTCTGGGCAGGTCCCCCACCCAAACAATGGGAGTATGGGCTTGAGTGCCAGCCCTGACGCCTCACTGCCAGCCAGTGACTGTGGTAGGAGGAGCTGGGGGGCACAGGACTAAGTGGGTCCCTGTGGAGAGTCAAGAGGGAGAGGCTGGCCAACTTGAAGCCCTGCCTTCAGGCTCCCAGAGGCCCCCCACTCCCTGCATGCAGCTCTTGCTGGGAGAGCAGAGCAGGTGCCTCACTGGGCCTGAAATGGACCTTCCCAAGCCTCTGCTCCCTGGCTTCCAAAGGCTTCTCCCCCAGACCAGCACAGGCTCTGCTACCTTGGAGAGCAATCCTTAGCCCCTCTCAAACACCCAACCCAAGGGAAGAGATCAGTCAGATGCTTGCTGTGGGTGGTGGGTTTTCCCACAGCCCCTCCTACCTTCCTGGGAGACAGCTGCAGGAACTGAGCCAAAATCCTAGAAGGCTTCAAATCAGAATGTCACTGGGTTCCCCCCAGGCCCCAGGGCACAGTCTCCTGAGGCCTAGTGGGGGTCATTTTTTGGATGGCTGATTCCCATGTTGGTGGAACCACTGGGAGCTGGAGGCCCACCTCTATGAGAGGGTGGAGCACCCAGGCCGGGTCTCCCATGAGCCACACCCAATCTCCATGTTCTTCTGGGGCTCCCAAATGGCATCCAGAAAGCTTTGAAAGCCTGGCTGTGGAGGGGCGCCCTCTGCTGGACATAGGGAAAAGCGTTCTCTAGGCTGTCTCTCCAGGTCCTCAAGTTCATCCATTGATTCTCTCCACACTGGCTGAGTACCCACTATACACCAGAGACTACAACAGGGCAAAGGAGAGTCTTGAGGAAGATAAGGAGAGAGGCCACTGGGCATGGAGTCAGACCTGTGTCTAAATCCCAGCCATGTGCTCTTAGACCAGTTACACATCTCTGAACCTGTTTCTTCAACTGTCAAACTGAGTTAAAGCTGATATCTTCCTGTAGGGTTGTGAGGATTAGCAATGTGTAGAAATGCACCATACTTGGCACCCTATAAAGGTTCTGTAAATGCTGGCTTCCCTCACCCCTTTTAAGACTCAGCGTGTCACGGGAGCCTAGCAAACTGGGTCCAGAAAAGATATTAATACCTCTGTTTCTAAGACCCCTTGAGTGTCACCTTCAGCACCTGCTCTTCTTGATTCTGTGACCTCAGACAAGTGACTGCACCTCTCTGGTCCTGTTTTCTCCTCAGTGAAATGGAGGCTATACCTCTCCAGAGATAATCACATTAAGAGCCAAATAAATGGCAGCAGTTGTGATTTTTCTGGCTTAGTACCTTCATCATTTCTGTGTGCCATCCTTTGGGGCACACAGCTGCTCAAAAAATGCAAAAATCATTTCAAGCAAGAATCCAGCCAATAAGGGTGGTAGCTGGTCCCTTGGCCTCTGTCTTGGGGCAAAAGGACCTGAGACTCCTCAGGAAGTTTCAGGGTGGCCCTTGGCTCTATTTTGGGAGCTTTTATAGATGGGTCTCCCTATCCTGCAGGACCAGCAGCTAGGTCTGGGTTGGGTGAGGGCCAATCTTGCAGAGCTCCCCAGGTGAGGTCTTGTCTGGCAGCTGACTCCTTGTGCATTCCCGTCCCCGTGCCACCAGAAACCCTGGCAAGTCAGGACCGTGCTGCATGCAGGAGCAGCTGTCAGGGCAGTGGCTCAGGTCCTGCTACTTACTGAGTCCTGACACTGATCAAGTCTCCTTACCTTTCTGAGCTTCCTCATTGGTAAAGCAGGCCTGGAGGCAGTGCCTACCTCCTTCAGGAGGCTCTGAGGCTTGGCACATTCCTCAGCACAGAAGGCTTCTATGTGCCCAGAGGGAAGAGGCCAGGAATGGAGCAGACAAGACAAACAGGTTTCTGGCTTATCAAGCCAGGCAACAGGGCCTTCCCTGCTGATCTACAGCCACTCTGGGTAGGACTGGGAGGTTGGGAAACAGAGCAGGTGGCAGCCCTGAGACCTGGTGCCTGGTACTCAGAGGAGGCAGCCCCAGCTGCAGAAGGCAGCCATCTGGGTATCTTCAGGGGGCATTGCTGCAGCTGGGGCGATGTCTTTACCCAGAGGGAAGGTGCCATGGGTAGCAGTATGGGATGGCCCCTAGGGGGCAGAAGTGAATGATCAGAGGGACAGGTGTCCAGCACCCTAAAGTCATAGCGGCGGTGCACTGAGCTATGCAGGTTGAAAAGCAGGACTCACACTTTCAGGACAACTTGTTTCCAGAACCCATCCTGGAATCCCCTAGTGGAATGAATTCAACATTCACCAGGTCGTGTGGCCACTGCATGCTTGGCTCCTTCCAAAACTCATGGTTACTTATGGCAAGCCTGCCATTGGGTATGTTAGCTTCTGGGGGATTGGGCAATCCCTTAGGTCAGCAGCCCAGGGAGCTGGGCAGGGAGGCCAGAGACCCAAGTTCCAGTCCCAGCTTTGCCACAGTCCCTCTCTCTGAAATAACAGAAGATACTTAATACATGTGTGCTTACTTGCTCTCTGGGTTCAATCTCCCCACTTGTCAAAAGAGAGGACTGTGTCCTGAAAGTCTGTTACTCCTCTGATTACCCCGCTGCTCAGCTGGCTCTGAGCTTCCCTCTCCTCCACACTGGAGGAGTCAGCCCTGAGCTCCTGTAGCCTCCTAGCTTCTCGCTGCAGAGGCCTCATTCCTGGCCTGTAAAGATTACTGACCTGGCCAGCCAGTCCTTAAAGTCAAGAGCAGCACCCAACACAGGTCTTGCTGAGATAACATGCCTGCAGGCTTGAGAATGGGGAATTCAGGCAAACACTGAGTCACTAGACTCTCTTCAGGTGTTGTTTCACTGAATGCCTTCACATTGGTGCCCTCATTTTCTTTTTCTTCTTCTTTTTTTTTTCCTTGAACTCAGGGCCTACCCCCTGAGCCTCTCCACTAGCCCCTTTTTTTGTGATGGGTTTTCCAAGATAGGGTCTTGCAAACTATTTGCCTGGGCTGTCTTCAAACCTTGATCCTCCTGATCTTTGCCTCCTGAGTAGCTACGATTACAGGTGTGAGCCACTGGCACACTGCCCTTATTTTCACTAGAAGGTCTGTTACACTCCCTCCCCCTACTTGGGGAAACTGAGGCACCAAGCAGGAGGTGACCTGTGTAACAAATGAGTATGGCATAGTATTTTGTTATACACACTTCATATAACTTACTTATTCCTTACAATTGTAGTCCATGGATCAGCAATATTGAGCATCACCTGAGAACCTTCTAGACATGGAAATTGTGGAGTCCAGCCCACATCTGCTCACTCAGAAGCTCTCGGGTGGGACCCAGTGATGAGGATTTCAGCAAGCCCTCTAGGGGATCTGGTACCCGCCAGAGCTCCAGAATCAGTGTTTACAATTACCCTACAGTCACAATGATTCCTACTTTATATCCATACTTTACCAATAGAGTTAGTGAGGCACAGGGAAGAAGGCAATTGGTGCAGAACCACGCAGTTGTGCGTGGAGCACCAGTCTTCAAATGCAGGCAGTTTGGCACTCAAGACATCCGAACCAACTTAGGATCATCAATTTTTGGCCATTCACACTAACTATTGAGGACCTACTTGTGCCAGGCAAAGGTGTTAAGTGATGGGACCTGGGAGCCTTATTACCCAAGCCAGTTTAGGAAGTGGGCGGGGCTGGGAGTCGCCCAGAAGGCCGAAAGGAGAGGCCGAAGGCGTGGGGTGAGGAGGTGGAGGGGGGAAGAACAAACAGGTTACGCGGCTCCTTTAAAAGGCGGAGCCTGGCCGGCGGAACCATGGAGTAGTTTCTACGAGTTGTACCCGGAAGCCAGCAAACGTTACGCCCGGAAGTTTCTTAGAGGAGAGGAAGCTGGGCCGCCGGAAGTCTTGCCGCTATGGGCCGCAAGAAGAAGAAGCGAGATGGCGGGGACCGGCGGCCTCGGCTCGTGCTCAGCTTTGATGAAGAGAAGCGACGGTGAGTTTCAAGACCAAGCCTAATTCCTCTCGGGCTGCCCGGCAAGGCCACGGCCAGCCCCCGGTCGCGCACGTGGCCAGAATTCAGGTTCTTCATTCTGACCGGCTTCGCCAGCTCGCTCAGATCCATGGCTTGGACCACCCGGCTCCAGTGTCGTCTGTCATGTCTACACACAGTAGGCACTCAGCCTGCTGCGATGATGATGAGAGAAAGAAAGAGTGGTTTACGTTCATTCCTACACTCATCAGACGCCCGTTGGGCTTCTGCGTGTGCCAGGCTTCCTGCCTGAGCCTGGGTGCCCCACAAATGCCCCATGGTAGCGGGACCGCGAAGACGGGTGCAGAGCGCCGGAGCAAAGCTGGAACAGAGTGTCAGGGACATGAGAGGGGCAGAGATCAGACGGGGAGGGAGCGAGATGCGGAGGCACAGTCAGGAAACTCCCAGGGTGGCATTGATAGGCCCCACAGGTGGGTTCAGGAGTCAGGTGTCCCGGGGAAATGGGTGTTGGTCCAGTGGAGGGTTTTTGCAGGCCTGGGTGCAGAGTTTTTGTTTCTCCCCCTTCCAGTACCGAGGGCTTGAACTCAGGGCCTTGTGCTCGCTAGGCAGGTGCTCTTACCACTTCCGCCACTCTGCCAGCCCTGGGTTGAAGGTATTCTTAAAAGCTCTGATGGAAGTGACTTGATTCCCTGAGAAAAGAAGGATCCCAGCGTAGAAGAGCCCCCACCTGTCTGTGTGTGTTCACCACCTGGCTTCGTTTGGCCCACCAAGAAACATAGAAACCAAGGTTGAGAAGGTACAGAGCTCAGAGTCCTGGAGAGTGCAGAGAAGACAGAGGAAGCATTTCCCTTATTTTTCTAAACTTACACCGTCATGCATTATATAATGATATTTCTGTCATTGATGAACCGCATAAAGATGGTGTGTCATGCAGCCTCAGTGTGTAGTAGGGTATATCGTCTAGGTTTGTGTCCATGCACTGATGTTCAAGCAAGCACAGTCACCTAACAACTCATTTCTCATAATGGTGTCCTTGTCACTAAATGATGTGTGATTGTACTCTTTGTGTCCTTGGGCAAGTCCCCTCAGCTCTGTGCCTCAGTGTTCCTGTTTGTAAAATGGGAATTGATAGGTCCTACGCAGGGTGTTGTGAGGGTTCAGTAAGTTAACAGGTGGATGGTGCCTGGAACATAGTGCAGCATTGGTGGATTTTCTCTTTCTAGAGCAAGCCCTTCTTTCCTGTATCTCCTCTCCACTTTGCTGCCTCTCTTCTTCCTTCTGGTAGCGAGTTCCTGACCGGCTTCCACAAGCGGAAGGTGGAGCGGAAGAAGGCTGCCATTGAGGAAATAAAGCAGCGGCTGAAGCAGGAGCAGAAGAAGCTCCGGGAGGAGGTGGGGGGGGGGCGGGGGCGGGTCTCCAACTCCCTGGGGACTCCTAACTCCTGGGTGACTCACAGCCTCCTGTTGGAGGTGCTGCAGGGGCAGACTAGGGAGCAGTAGAGACACTGGGTCTGGGGAAGGGGAGAAGGGAGGATGGCAGTTCTCCTTGACCGCGTTCCCTAAGACATGGTCACACATACCATGGAGGTGACTAGTGCCCCTGCTTGCGACTAGACTGAGGCCATACTCACTGTGTTCCCTTCCCATATGGCTCCAGCGCCACCAGGAATACTTGAAAATGCTGGCAGAGAGAGAGGAGGCGCTGGGTGAGTCCCCTTCTTGGCCTGGGTTTCTGTGTCCCTTGGTGGGTGGGGAGGGCGTGGGGGAGGGGGTGAGAGCTTTGCAGAGGGTGACTCCTTAGCTCTAGGGGATTTGGTGGTAACATGGGGGCCAGAGACGGTCTAAGTACAAGTGAATAAGAAATGAGAAGGGGACTCATGGTAAACTGAGTCTCAGCGGGAATGCCAGGAGGACTGGAGGGACTGGGGCTAGAGGGAGGGGTATCGGCTTCTGGTATCATGCAGTTTGTCCAAAGTGGGGATTAGCTGGAGCACAAAGGGACAGGTGGCTTATTTACACCATCTTCCTATGGGCCAGGCTCTCGGCCAGCACCTTTGTGGATGTAGAGGGCTGTTGCTCTCCAGAGCTGGGGTGAGGCTGGAACCTGAGGGCATCTTCTAGGGCTGAGGACTGATCTGTACCCACTCTGTAGAGGAAGCAGACGAGCTGGAGCGGCTGGTGACAGCCAAGACAGAGTCGGTGCAGTACAGCCACCCCAACCACACAGTCACTGTGACCACCATCAGTGACCTGGACCTCTCTGGGGCCCGGCTGCTTGGACTGCCCCTGCCTGAGGTGGGTCCTGGTCCCAGTCCTGGGAAAGAAGGGGCACAGGAGCAGACTGGCTTGTTAGGAGTGCTCAGTGCTGGCTCATGTGATAGGTCTTCTAGTGCAAGGGGCTCTTTCCCTTCTGGACCCATGGGGACTGCTGAGGTCACTATGGAGCATCCCTGAGCTTGGGCAGCTTTCTTTGCCTGCCTGCCTTGGTTGGTAGTTGCAATGTTAGTGCCTGCCTGGGGGCTGACTGTGAGGATGAGGAGTGAGGCCCTGGGAATCCCTTAGCACTGAGCCCAACCGTAGTAAGTGCTCCACAAAAGATCACTCTGTTGTGATTGTTCCCTTTGCATGACAAACAGCAATAACAGGGCACTTCTGCGTGCTGATTGCAAGTTCACACCTGTGAGTTGTGAGGCATCAATAATTTGTGATAGCATTGAAAAAGAAGAAAAGCATGCAATTGAAAATATCAGACAGCATCCCAGTAGGTATTATTTGCTAGAACATCCACTTCTGTTAAAGTTGTGCCTGACTGGTTTGTGTAAGAACTTACATACGGAACAGTCACCCCTCGGTATCCACAGGGACTGGTTCCAGGGTCCCTTCGGATACCAAACATGCAGATGCTCAAGTGTCTTATATAATAGTGTAGTCTTTGCATGGCGCCTGTACAAATTCTGCATACAAATCCTGCATACAGATCCTGTATACAGATCCCGTATACACATCCTATATACAGATCCTACATACAGATCCTGTGTATAAATTCTGTATACTTTAGGTGTTTGCTTTTTTTCCCCTTCATACTGGGATTTGAACTCAGGGCCTTGTACTTTCTAGGCAGATGGTCTACCGCTTGAGCCATGCCTCCAGTGCCTCTCCCGTATACTTTAAGTCGCTATAAAACCTAATACACTCTGTAATGACAAGAAATTCGTACTCGCTCAATACAGTCAAAATCTTTTTTTCTGAATATTTTCATTCTGCTTTGGTTCAATCTAACTGCACAGAGAGGGTGGTCAGAAGTCTGTAAAGCCTGGACTACATAGCAAGACTCTGTCTTAAACCAATCAATCAACCAGTCAATCAATCAATAAACTTTTCTCTCATAGTAAGCCACCGCTTTACCATGCCCTGACTGAACTCCGCTCATTTTCCACTTTATGCTCTTCCTTCCTTCCTTCCTTTCTTCCTTCCTTCCTTCCTTCCTTCCTTCCTTCCTTCCTCCCTTCTCCTCTTCCTCCCTCCCTCCCTCCCTTCCTTCCCTCTCACTAAGTAGCCCAGGCTAGCCTTGAACTCTCAATCTTTCGGCCTTTCTGCCTCATGAGTGCCTGGGTTATAGGTGTGCACCACCTTGCCATGCCTGGCTCTTGTTGTCTTTTTGCTCGTTTTTCCATTCATAAGTGTTGAGTGTCTGTATATCTGCTAGTGTGAGGCAGACTCTGGCTGTAGGTGGACACAGCGTTCTGCTGCCCAGGGCATTTGTTGAGCCCCACCCAGGGTGCAGGGTGACAGATCAGGCCAACTGGACAGAGCCAGGACTGCTCAAGGTGCTCAGCCCAGATGCCTATCTGCTCTCTGTAACAGTCCTTGTCCTATGCTTCTCTAGCAAGGGGCTGGGGACCCATCCAAGGAGTTGTCATCCACCGAGAAGCCAACCAGAGCCTTTCCCAGAAAATCCAAAGACCCCCTGCTGTCTCAGCGGTGAGCCCTGGCCTGTTGTCTCCTGGGGTCCCACTACTCGTGGCTGGACTGTGGGATGGCATGGGCGGGTGTGAGGCTGGCAGGCTCTCTTGAGTCAGACCAGGCCAACTCTGGGATGAGTTTGGTGCTCCTGGTGTTTGGGACCTGTCCTGACTTCCCCTCCATGAACCCGATGATCACTCATCCCCACCTAGTCTTCCACCCACTGCCCTGTTCCCCAGGGCAGACTGAGGCCCTAGGCTCATGGCCTCACCCTCCCGTAGGATCTCCTCCCTAACTGCCTCACTGCATGCACACGGCCGGAAAAAGGTCAAGAGGAAACGTCCCCGCCGGGTGCAAGACTCCAACAAGAAGCTTCCAGGCGCCACTCGGACCAACAAGACCCAGCGCCGGCGACTGACAGGCAAAGCCGGGCCCAGTGGGGAGTGAACCCCAGAACCCAGTGCTGTCCCAGCCTTGGCTCTGGACTCCGTCCTGTGTCACCTGGACTGTTCTAGTAAGCAGCTGCGCCAAGGAGTCATTCCATAGCTTGAGGTTAGGCAGCTGGCTCTCAGCACCTGACCCTTTTGGGCTCAACCCCCCAGGGTGTTTCTCAGGCAAGGACAGCTACCCCCAAGGGTCCTGCAGAGTCAGGCTGGGTGTGTTCCCAAATGTAAACCTTCAGACTTAACACATTTGTGAAACTCATCAGATGTGTGCGCTGTGGTTTCTTTGTCACTGGCCTTGACACCACACACCAAGGCCAGGCTTCTTGGGTGCTGGAAATGGTCGGGCCCATCCTCTGTCCCTAGCATTTTTCCTGATGGAATGATAAGGTGTGTTAGATCTGGGTCCCCTAAACAAGATTGAAGACCAGCTTGTCCACTGGTAGAATCCAGAGCCCACCCACCACTCTAGAAAGTGGGCGGTTAGGGCATTGTGGGCAAACTTCCAGGCCATGCCCTCCACTGGTGGAAGCCGTCAAGTCCTGGAACATTCCTTGTGCCCAAACTTGGACAGCTTTTGCAGGCTTTCAGCAGCTTCCAGAGCCCAACAAAGAATTGACCTTCACTTTTTTTTTTTTTTTTTTTTTTTTGGTGGTACTTGGGATGGAACCCAGGGCTAGTGCACATTGGGCAAGTGTTAGGCCACTGAGCTACGCCCCTGCCTTTCACTTTTTTTTTCCTTTTATGTCTTATTTTTATTTTGTAAATTTTTTATTAGGATATATTAATTATACAGGGGGAATTCATAGCGACAATTCCAGTTAGGCTTATATTGTACATTAGTTACATCGTCCCCATCATCTCTCCCCGCCCCACTTAAAGCAATGGCAAAAGGTTTCTTTGTTCCAGTTCATGCAGGTATATAAAGTCCATCAACCTTATACTATCACTTTAATCTCCTTCATTCCCCCTCCCCCTCCTACTAGTACCTCTCCTCCCTCCCACACACTGTACCCATATTACAGTCTGTCTTTTGTTATTAATATTTAAGTCAATGTAGGGGTTTCTTAATGTATCCCTGCTGTGGGTGTACTTTCTTTTGGTCCATTCAACCCCTTCCATTACTCTCCCTTATCTCTCTACCTCTCACTCCCCATTTCTCAACAGCTCATATCCTTATGTCCTCTACCTTCACAGATGTTCTGCTTGACAATATTGTTGATGCTCTATCATCCTCTTATGTTTCATTATTTTTTTGAGACCAGGTCTCGCCATGTAGTCCAGGCTGGCCTCAAACTCGGGATCTTCCTGCCCTGGCTCCCTTGTGCTGGGATTACAGATGTAAGCTGTCTGTCTTCAGTTTTTTAAGAAAGTACATTGTGACTTAACATGAGTGTGGCCCCTTTAGAGCTGAGCCCTGGAGGCCAGCTGCTCTCACAAGAGCTGCTGTTCCTTCAGGCTCTGCAAACCAGACTTGGCCCTTTCTTTTCCCTGCATGTGAGTCCAGGGTAGGAGCATAGGAATTTTGAGTTGTTCCCTGCTTAGGGGAGCTGTGTTAGGCCCTAGACGTGAGACTGCACAGGAGATGAGCTGTGTTCTCAGCCCCAGTGAAGCCCATGGACTAGCCTGAGAGGGTTCCAGAATAAGTATGTGGTTGGGGGACGCCTGCCCCAAGACAGGTGGTTGGAGGGAGCCTGGAGAACAGGGCAGGGGTTGGGGGACAGGCCTCCCTACTCCAAGAGGGCATGACTGGAGCAGCCACACCTGTGCACCAGGCTCAGGTTCAGGAAGTATGATTCGGGACAGACTGTCCCCGAGGGTGTACAGGTTTTCCCACCTCACTGTCAAGGTTCACTTTCTGGTGATGGTTGACAATGGCTGTGTATATTTGAAGGCCACATGCAGGCATGGAACACAGTTCAGGGCTTGCTGGGAGGCCCCTCGGCCTGGCCTCCACGCCTTCCCCGCATTTGGGCTGAGTGACTTGCTACATGCAATGCCAGCCTGTTCCTAGGCAGAATGGTACCTGTGTCTGGCTCTGGATACTTTTGGTCCTCAGCTTAGGGCAGTGGGTGTGGGCTTCACCCTCAGGACCACAGTGAGCAGAACAGTGGGCCTGGGGAGGAGCACGCACAGCAGGCATAATGCATGAGCTTCATGCTGTGCAGCCCTCTGTGGGTGTTTCCACGCGTGGATGACAGCATAGGATACCTGCCTCTGTAGCTGAGTGGGGCTGTAGGCATGAGTCACTTCCTCAACCACCTGGCCCTCCTGGAGACCTTGGGCGTGTGTTCCCCACTTCTGCCTCAGCTGAGAGGTCTGTCTCCAGTCCCCTTCTCCAGTGACAGGTCACTTACAATGTGCATTTGTAATTTAGCGTGTTTGCAAGTACTGGATTCCCATTTACCACTCCTGTGGGTGCCATTGTTTTTTCCAGCCAACCAGGAAAATCAAGTCAGTGACTTGCCAATCCTAGGATCAAGGAAGGCAGAAACAGAATCCTCTAGAGAACTTCTCTCCTGCCAGGAGCGCCTCTCTGTGGTCCATACCTGGACTCCTCTAGGACCTTTGTCAGAAGTGGTGAGGGTTAGGGCCAGGGGCATGGCTTAAGTGGTAGAGCACCTGTGCATTTCAGCCATTGGAAAGGAGGAAGGGATGAATAAGGCTTTTTTTTTCCACCTGTACTGGGGATTAAACCCAGGTCTGTGTATGCTAGGCAAGTGCTCTACCACTTGAACCACACCACTCTCAACCCCCCCCCCTTTTTTGTGGAACTGTGGTTTGAACCCAGGACTTTGTGCTTGCAAAGCACTACCACTTGAGCCATACCTCCATTCCCCCTCTCCTTTTTTTTTTTGAGATAGGGTCTCTCTAACTTAGGGCTGGCCTCTAACTCAAGATCCTTTTATCCTCTACTTCTGAAGTAGCTGGGATTACAGGAAGAAGGCCTTCTAAAGCCCTTGATGCTTGTCATGTTCTCTTGAACAGAAGGTAATGGCCTGGGGCAGGGGGATGAGGGAGCACCTAGCTGCAGAGGCGCTGGAAACTCTGCCCTATTCTGGAAAGCAAGTGCCCAGACCAGAACTGATGATAGTGTTACTGACAAAGTGGGGAGGAATGTTGGGCACAGCCAGCAAATTCTTCCCCAGAACCAAATGCACAAAGGGCTGTGGTGAATTGAGGGGGTCAAAAAGTGTGAAACTGAGGACCCTGAACATTGACCTGTCCTCAGTTTCCACACACAGCTCCCTGACAGGTCAGGCTCTATGCTGGAACAACAGTGAGCCAAGGTCATGGTCACTGGGAGCCAGGCTAAACTCACCAAAGGAAGAAAGCTCTCTACATCTTTTGGGGTGACCTGACCCTCTCCTGTGGTGAGAAAAGGTCAGGAACTGTGGAGAGTGTTCCTGTGTCGGAGAGCTTAAGCTTTATCATCACCAAGGTCCGACTGACCTCTGAGGGCTCAGGGCCCTGGCTTTGAGCTGTGTTGGTGGCTCTGGCGAGAATTCTTGGTTCATCCTGAGCACTGGCCACTCACTGCCTGTGTTGGGAGGTGGTCATTAGAAAATTCTCCCTTGTTCTGAGGCCACATGTTGCTCTCAAGAGTGTTGTTCACCCTCTTCACTGGGGGCCACCTCCTCAGAGAAGGCATGCTCTTAACCTTGCACTAATCATCTGCTCGGAACCCTAGATAAGCACATCCTGAGGGAATAGCTCAAGAAACACATCTGGCAAAACTTACTCTTGGACTAAAAGGTTTCCTTGTTAAAGGAAAAATAAATATCTTCTGATGATGGTCTTCTGTGCCCTAAAAAAAAAATCTAAAAGCACCTGGCAGATTCTCAACCATATATCAGCTGTGTCAATTAAGGAGGCTTGATCTCTGGGAATCCCCAGTCTATGAGGCCCAAGAGTGTAAGGGCTGTCATGGCAAATGATAATGCCAGGTGAGCTAAAGGAAAGCATGCCAGAGTTAAGGCCCTGTAGACCCCTAGACTGAGCTATGCCTTTATTTATTTGTTTGTTTGTTTGTTTTTGCTATACTGGGGCTTGAACTCATGGCCTACACCTGAGCCGCTCCACGAGCCCTGTTTTTGATGGGTTTTTTCGAGGTAGGGTCTCGTGAACTATTTGCCATGGCTTTGAACCGTGATCCTCCTGAGTAGCTAGGATTACGGGTGAGAGCCACCGGCGCCCAGCTTGACCTACGTCTTTGTAAATACGCCTTACACAAAGGACTCGGAGCACCACTCACGCACCCACAACGCCAACCTCCTGGGACTAAATAAAACGTTTATAAACTTCTCGCCTAACTAGCACCATGCTTTGATTCTGTTCTGTGACAATGCCAAGAACTCATTGGGCATAGGGGTCATGAACAACAGTCCCACAACACAAGCTCTGCACCCTGGGTTGAGATTATATTCTGGGACCCCTCCCGTATTTGAACTGGTTGTGGTTGTAGCAACAATTCCAGCTACTCAGGAGGCAGAGGCAGGAGGATCACAAGTTTGAGGCCAGTCCAAGCAAAGGTAACAGCAAGACCCTATCTCAAAAACAAACCAACAGCCAGGCCCCAGATGGCTCAAGCCTTCAATCCCAGTCACTTGGGAAACTGAGATCAGGAGGACTGAGACTCAAGGCCAGCCCAGGCAAATAGTTCATGAGACCCCCATGTCCAAAATAGCCAGAGCAAAATGGACTGAAGATGTCATTTAAGTGGTAGAGCACCTGACATCTACTGAGCACCCACTGTATACTAGGGGCTCCTCTTGGGGTTTAACTCACTGAATGCTCACAGTAAGCCCTCAAGGTATGCAGTTCCCTGAAGCCCATTTTGCAGGTGAGATACTTTGAGGTGGCACCCATGCTGGCCAAGATAATCTTAGCTAGGTTCTAACTACTACAGCCTCGCAGCTGGAGCTGGGAGTTAGACCGTGAATGCTCTCTGGCTAAACACACGCATAACCTTAGAGAAGTTCCCAGAGGGTAGAGGTGCCCAAGCCACGGGTTCCTCACCAAGGAAACAGTCCATACCCTAGAAACAGGCATTAAGCCTGCCAAACTGGCTGAGAGCCCAAAGAAATCAAAGTCAGTACCAAGGATCAACATGGGGGCAGGGGAGGGGGACAGAACTTACAGACAACAAGGTGAAAGACACCCTACAAGATATGCCAGCCCTGTCCAGGTCTCTGCAGAGTGAGCCCTTCCCAAGGGCCTGGGAAGCCAGGGAGGGCTTTCTGGAGGGGGTGGTGTTTGAGCCATGATGAGGGGAATAAAAATTGGTCTGTGATTTACCGTCTCAGAGACTGCAAGAAGAGAAGGCCCGAAGATTAGTTTGGTTTTCATCACAGTGTTTAAAAGCAATTTGAAGGCTTAAAGAGGTGACGCACACCTGTGGTCCTAGCTAGTTGGGGTGCAGAGGGAGGAGGATTGCAGTGTGAGGCAAAGTTAGTGGGAGACCTTATCTGACAAACTAAAAAAGGGGCCATCAGGCCGAAGGCCCTGCACCTCTACAGCTGGCCCACGGGAAGGAGGAATGGGGTTGATACCTCCACTTGCCAGGTGAGGAAACAGGTCACGGGCAGAGAGGGGCCAGAACTACTGCTAATCATTCCATTTCCCCAGATCTCTGAGGCGTCCCAAGCCAGGGTGGATGACCTGAGAAAAATCCAAAGAGGCAGAAGGGGATTCAAGACTGCCCTGGCCACCACCATGACACCTTCAGCCCTGAGCTCTCTGAACCATTCACAGGGCTCTGGGAGCATGGTTTGTACACCAGGCTGTGTCATGGAGCAACTGAATGGCGTTGGGTAACTCTCCCAAGCCCCAGTTTCCCTGGAGAAGATGGGGACCAGGAAGGCTGCCTTCCCTGCGCCAGGGATGGCGTGGGCACAAACATCACCAGGTAACATACTCGTGCTTGGCTTCATTCTCTTACCTGAGGTCTGCTTTCCCCCACAAAAGCAGGACAATCACGTGATCTTAGCACATGGAACTGACAAAGAAGCCCCATAAATAATTAATTGAATTACTGAGAGTGCCACCCTGCATTGGTTCTGTTTTACTGATTGGCAGGGGCTATACCCTGCGCTGTAAACTCAATCCAAGCTCCTACTCCACCCTAGAGTCAGAGAGGTCAAGCAACTTTCTCAAGATCACCCAGTCAGGAAGTGCTAGAGGCAGACATTAAACATGGGTCTCTAGTCCCTGTCTTGCTTCAAGAGGGACCAAGCAGGAAGCTCTTGGTCCTTGTTAGGAAGCTGTGTTTTAGCCAGTTCCATACTGGGCCAGGATGACCCACCCAGGGGGTTTTCCCTCCACTGAACTAGGTGCCTTTCATTGGAAGGAGCCACATTTTATTCGTGTTTCCTTTCCTCCGTGCGAGCGCAGGCCTAGACTATATCATGCACTTGTGACTGTCTACGTGACTTCGCAAATGAAGACACTGTTGTGGCCCTCGGGAGTCAGAGACATCAGGGTTGTAGTCCTGGCTGTGCGACTAAGTACTGTGTGATGCTGGGAAGTTAACACCCTGTTCTTCAGTTGCTGTGAAACGGGGAACCGAAGCTGGCATGCAGACCTTGCAGGAGAGGCTGGGGGCAGGGGGCTGTGCATTTTGTGGGTGAGCGCCAAGTCAGTGGAAATGTGCAGTGGGGTCCCTAAGGCCCTGACTGCGGTCCTGCGCATCCACTTGGCGTCTGCTACGTTCCCGGAACTGTTCTGAAACGCTTCTTTCTCACTTGGAACTATTTTTCATCCTCACACGTACAGGCTCGGAGGTTACCTCTCTAGCACAAGGTCTGAGCTAACGCCAGCCTGGATGACGGTGGCCCGAAAGAACCAACCGGAAAGAGAGCAGAAGAGGCGGGATCCACCCGCGCCAGCCCTCCCAGGCCCCTCGGGAACTCCGAATGGGCTATGGCTGAGAAACGCGCCCCGAGTCCCGCGCTCAGCCCAGTCTGGGCACCGCCCGCCTCCGCCCTGCCCCTTGTCCTCCAAGGGTCCAATCCCACGCTACTCATGCAAATGAATCTCTTAGGCAGAGCCAATGCGAGCGCGGCAGGGGCGTGGCCTTCCACCCCCATCCCGGGCAACGTTTTGATTCATTGTTAAAATACAGAGGCGGTGACCCTGGCACTCCCACCTCCGCAGCGCTGGTGCGCGGAAACTCGAGCCGAGGTTAGTACTGGGCGGTGGAAGAGAGCGGGTCGGGAGGGGAGGCTAAGCCAGGGGTGGGGGTTGAGGGATACAGGAGAAACTGGTTGATGAACAGGGCTCCAGGGGTCCATTCTTTGGGTGGGGCATTCATATCTGCTTAAGGTTTTTCGTTATTACAGCCACATCCAAAGTGCATTTTAGGGAAGGTTTCTGCCTGCTGGGTGAGGACACGGGAGCAACCAGGGGCACGTGGAGTAGAGACCCCCCCAGCCCCCTGACGTTCTCCACCCAAGGCGATGCTCCTTTTTGTGGCCGACCCGGAAAGAGCCGCCCGGGTTGGTGCGGACCCTTCCATTCGCCACCGGGAACAGGGAACGAGGCCCTGGGTCACCGAGGGGCTAGTGGGTGCCCCGCCCCCCACCCTGTCCTCTCCAGGGAGAGGAGCTGCCCTATGGAGGATCTGAAATTCCTCAGCTGTCAGCGGAGATGGGTGACAAAGGCCTGGTTCCCTGGGAACTGTGCAGGAAATTCACCAGGTAGGATAGGTATGAGGTGTCTTGGGGTGCCATAAGGTGCTGTGTGCTGGGGGATGTTGGATACCTCTTCTGCACCACCACTCCCCCATCCAGGGCTCCATATGGGCGGGGAGGGCATTTGTAAGTCGCTTTGCCTCCAGGATGTGGCCACTGGCTTGGGTGGAGACATAAGGGTTTCTTTTTGGCTAAGCGGTGTCACAAACTTGCCATGTGAATTTAGGCTGTTCACTTTTGTCTAAGACTTTGTTCTCAACTCTGAAAATATCTGGCCAGCCCTTTGCTTCACTCCCTGTTTCCTGTGCTGGCAGTGTGACCCCTGCGTCCACTTCCATCTGAGAGAGTGGCAGCACATAGCCTAAATTTGAATCCAGCACTGTGATCTTGTGGGCCAGGGAGCCTCTCTGAACCTTACTTGCTTGATTTAAAATTGGCACTAAGTTGAACTACAATGACAGAGTAGCTATATGCTTATAAAGCTATAAACTTTCACCTAGGGACTCGTTTGAATGGTGCACCCTGGAACTCACTCCTGGAGATTTTGACCAGATGGATCAGGAGAGGGAACCTAGAATCTATTTTGTTTTTCTTAAGAGACAGACTCTCCATATGGTGGGTATCTTGCTATGTTGCCCAGGTTGGTCCCAAAAGCTGAGTAGCCAGGACTACAGGTGCCTACCACTGTGCCTGTGCCTGCTTTTTTTTTTTTTTTTTTGCAGTGCTGGGGAATGGAACCAGGACCTTGCTCATGCTAGGCAAGCTCTCCACCACTGAGCTAGCTACACCCTCAGCCCTATGAAATCTGTATTTTTAGGAGCAGCTCACAAGAGTGTAATTCAGAGTCCTTGGAACCCACTCTGAACACTGTAGAAAGGTGATGGAATCACACGTAGAGGCTTGGCAACATGCCTGGCTGCTTAATAGGTGTTAGTGAGTGTTTGTTGAATGAATAAATGAACAGATAAACAAGCAGATAACCTTATATCCTTGGTCCCTGTTTGGCCTGGGGAAACTGGGACTTGGGACTATGTGGGTGGCCCACCAGTCATTTGGCCCTTCCCCTATCCCGTTCTCCCCAGGCCACACCTAGACAGCCATTGGATAGTTGGAACTGCCCGGGCCTGGCTCACCCAATATGGAGGAGATGGCTAGAAATGTCCCAGGTGAACGATTTGAGACCAACATGCCAACCCAGAGTCACTGTCAAATCTCTTTCCACCCGGAGGAGGTCCGTGGATTAAGGCACCAGGTGGGCTGGCTTTCCCAAGTGTGGGTGGTTTGGGATGGGGACTCAGGGTGGACTGGGTGGTGGGCTGGGCTTGGCTGGGCTTGAAGCTGCAGTTGAACGCAGATGCTTCCTCATGGTCTGTGCTTCAGTTTTCCTAGTCAATATTGAAGAGGTCATATAGTGTTTCCTGGTCTTTATTCATGCCCTCCTGTTTCATACCTTCACCGCAGCCCCATCTAACCTACTGTTACTTTATCCTTCTTTAAATTCACATCCTTTCTTTTGAACTCGGGGCCTTGTGCTTGCCTAGGCACTCTTACCCCTTGAGCCACTCCACCAGCCCTTTTTTTGTGTTGGGTTTTTTCCGAGATAGGGTCTCTCCAACTACTTGTCCCAGGGCTGACCACGATCCTCCTGATCTCTGCCTCCTGAGTAGCTGGGATTATAGGCGTACCAATGCCCAGCTTGACGTCCTTTTTTGGGGGGTGGGGGGGAGTGCTGGTGATTGAACCCAGGATCTTGTACGGGCTGAGCACAAATTCTGCCACTGAATTACACTTCCAGTCCCCAAACCAACATCCTTTATTCAGTATCCTGAGACAAAACTTCACCTCACCACCAAGAAAATTAAGATTATGTCCTGTAGGTAGAAGGTTAAAATAAAAGAAGAAAGAACAAAAGAAAGCAAAACTGAAATGTCTTCATGGTTGTTCATGAAGGCTCTGAGTCCAAGTCCTCCTGTCTTTTGTCAAAAGGGAAATTAGCGTGTGAGAGGCATTAATTGATCCCCCCTACCCTCGTACCTACGGGAGACTTCCTTCTGAAGTCATTGAAGGAGTGACAGAGGTCGGTGTCTCACTCTGTGATCCATGTGGTCTCACGCCAAGCGTGAGACACAGCCGGGGTTACACAGAAACCCAGAGCACGTGGCACACACGCCTTGAGAAGCAGGGGACTCCTGAGTTTCCAAGGGCCCTTCCAGCCTTGACCCTCTACTGCTCTGTTGTTTTCAGTGGAATCTGAGATCCCGAGTGGGATCTCAGGAGGCTGGTAGCCAGCTTCCTGCAGGGGGTTAGGCTCGAAGTGGCCCTGGAAGGGGGTTACCATTCAACGTTGGAGCCAGGTGGGCATGAGTTGCAGCCTGAGTTTGCCATTTACCTGCTGTGTGACCTGGAGCCATTGAAGTTCTCCATCTTCACTCTGCTCCTGGGTGAGGGGGCAGCAGCCTCTTCACTCCATGCACCTAGCACTGCTCAGCCCAATCCGAATGTGGCTTATTCAGAACATGTTAGTTTCCTCTGTGTCCCTTTCCTGCTCAAAAAAAAGAGAGCTTGGAGATTCCTTCCAATTGCCTTGATAGCTCCAAGAACAGCTCCCTCTGCTCCTGGGTGAGGGGGCAAGCGCTCTCACTAATGCATCCAGACTGCTCAGCACGCAATCGATATGGTGGCTATAGTTCAGAAAAAGTGTTAGTTTCCTCTGTGTCCCTTTCCTGCTCAAAAAAAGAGAGCTTGGAGATTCCTTCCAATTGCCTTGATAGCTCCAAGAACAGCTCCCCTGTTCTGAAGCTCAGGGAGCAGACCCCCGTCCTGGCATCCATCTCTTATGCAAACGCCTCCCAATGGTTGGGGGTCAGGCCCCTGAATTCAGCCATGTCTGAGTTCTAGTCTCAGTCCCACCATTTCCCAACTGGACCTTAAAAGTCAGCTCCCAAAGTCACACATATTGAGCAAGTGTTTAGAATGTGCCAGCATTGTGCTGGGTGCTGGGGAAAAAAGTGATAAATAAGACCAGACACATCTCTGGCCTCATGAGGCTGCTAATCTAGTAAGGGAAATGGAGAGGAGAGTAAGAAAGGAATCACGCAGGCTGGACATGGTGGTGTATGCCTGTAATCCCAGCACTTGGGAGGCTGAGGCAGGAGGATTAGTGTGAGTTTAAGGCCAGCCTGGACTATACAGTGAGATCCTGCTTCAAAAAAAAAAAAAGGTTGGTTGGCATGGCTCAAGTGATAAGAGCACCTGCCTAGCAAGCTCCAGGCCCTGAGTTCAACTCCCAGTACTGCCAAAAAAAAAAGGGAAGGAACCACAGAAATGATTATTTAATCATGGCTGGATCAGTGCCATAAAGGAACAACAAGTGGCTTGATGGTAAATGATAGGTCATGGGGAAAGTTACTCCAATGACATTCAGCTGCTTGGGGAAGGCTTGCATTGCAATTTGGTGAAATTGGAGGAGAGGAGAGGCAGAGAATGGGCCTGTATGTGCAAAGGCTCTGAGGTAGGAAGAAAGACCTGAGGTAGGGAGGAAGGAAAGTGTCAATGGTAGAAGGGGCAGAGGAGATACAGGATGAAGGAGACAGGATGGGAACAGGTGAGGCCTGCATCTCCTGGGGCCTGTGTGGCTTTGTGGGCATGCTGAGGACTTTGGATTTTATTCTGAGAGTCATGGGGAGCCGTTAAGGATTTTAAACAAGGGAGTGACTAGACTAGTGGGATCCAATTTTTCCAAGTCACTGTGATTGCTGGGCAGAAAATGGGTGCAGGGAGGCAGGAATGAGGCAGGGTGACCAGTCAGAGAAGGTGCAAGTATGTTTGTGCCAGAGATGAACAGGCTTTGAGGTGGAGACACAGGCATTTTGAGAACTACTTGGATAGGAGAACATACAAGATTTGGGCCAGGAGGGGGAGAAGCCATGACTGAATCCGATGTTACTTCTCCCAGCAGGGTGCTTGGGGTGGGAGGTGGGTTTGGAGTTGTTTGAGGCCTGGTGAAGGTCACAGGACACCGAGGGCTGGTTATTGACACCCAGAGGCGTCTGACCTTGGCAGGAGATAGAGGCTGGAAAAACGGACACTGATGAGAATCTTGCCTTGGATGGAGCAGAGTGTGGGGACTGGGGAGCAGTGATGACGAGGCTGATCCCTAGGGCTCTACCCCTGAGCTACATGGCCAGCCCCTCCCCCCACCCCCAGGAATCAGCTTTGAACTGTGGGTAACAGGAGGCAGAGGCAGTGCAGAAGGTGGAGATGAGCAGCCAGAGGTTGGAGGCAAACACCAGAGGCTCCCCCTCCCCCAACCCAGCCTGGAAGAGATGGGCCCTGGGGTCAAATCCTTGAGCTTCCAGTTGCCCCATGGTAACCCCAGGCTATGAAGCAGGCCCCGGAGCCAAACTCTGGGCAGGACATAGCTTCTTGTGTACCAGATGTGATAAAAACTGACCCAGCACCATAAACACCTGAGTCTCAGCCCCAGAAGATGGCCATCACCTCTTCTGGATTTTCCTGTTCGCCTCCCTGCTCACCCCTTTGGCTACCCTGGACCCCATTCCATGTTGCTTCAAGGTTAGGTATGGAAGGAATGGGTGAGCTCTTCCTGCTGCTTCCCCAGGGAGCAGGGCATTTAAAATAGCCAAGTGTGGTGGTGCACAGCTGTAATTCCAGCACTTGGGCAGTAGAGGCAGGAGGATTGAGCATTCAAAGCCAGCCTGGGTTACATAGTAAACCCTGTCTTGAAGAAACAAAAAATAAAATAAAATACAGAAATGGCCCCAGAACCTTGGATGTCCCCAGACCACCAAAACCAAACAACTCTTGACCAACTGGTTAAGTAAAACGCACTGGGGGCTCCAGCTGCCCTAGGCTCTTGGGCACAGTCTGGGAGGTGGGGGCGGGGGTCAACCCTGGAAATCACACAGCCTTGACCAGGTCATGGCCAGGTTCACAGAGAGGGAGGAGGTGCTACATGGGAGGACCCTGCCATAGCTAAGCTCTACACATTCCTTCATCCCTTTTTTTTTTTTTTTTTTTTCCAGTACTGGGGTTGGTACTCACACTTGGCCTAACCACTTGAGCCACTCCACTCAGCCAGTCCTTTTTGTGTGATGGATTTTTTTTTTTTGAGATAGGTTCTCATGAACTATTTGCCTGGGGCTGGCTTCAAACTTCGATCTCTCCTCATCTCTGCCTCCTGAGTAGCTAGAATTTCAGATGTTAGCCACCAGCCCCCAGCTTATTATTATTATTATTATTATTATTTTTTGGCAGTTCTGGGGAGTTTGAACACTTGCTAGGCAGACACTCTACTACTTGAGCCACTCCATCAGACATTTTTGATGTTGGGTATTTTCAAGATAGGGTCTCTTGAATTATTTGCCCAAGGCTGGTTTTGAACCTCGATCTTCCTGATCCTCACTTCCTGGGTAGCTAGGATTACAGGTTTAAAAAATTTTTTTTTCTTTTAATTTTATATATTCCTCCCTTTCACCCCCATACACCCACTTTTAATGTGAAGCCTGGGCCCCCTCATTCCCCCTATACCCTGTGATCTCCCTCACTCCAGCTCCCTCTGGCCTCCTTTTTTTTGCAGTACTGGGGGTTGCACACCGGGCCTACACCTTAAGCCACTCCACCAGCACTTTCTTTTTGTGATGGTTTTTTTCAAGGTAGGGTTTCACAGAACTATTTACCTGGGCTGGGCATGACCAGCTTTTTTTTCCTGTTGAGATAGGATTTCACAAACTTTTGCTTGGGCTGTCCTTGAACTGCAATCCTCCTGATCTCAGCCTCTGACTAGCTAGGATTATAGGCCCGAACAACTGCTGCCTGGCTTCCAGGTCATTTATTAGTTCTTAATTTTATTTAGCATTATTCTACCAATTTAACATTTGTAAAATTCTATCATTTATTTATTTATTTTAGCAGTACTGGGGTTTGAACTCATGGCCTTGGGCTTGCTAGGCAAGCACTCTACCACTTGAGCCACCCCCTACCCACCTTTTCTTCCATTATTTATTATGCTTAAGATGTATGGACAGACACTGTTGTGTCTTACAATATGAATTACAAATATTAACTATTTATTTATTTTTGGCAGTACTGGGGTTTGAACTCAGGATCTTATGCTTGCTAGGCAGGCACTCTCACTTTAGCCACACCTTCAGCGCAATATTAACTCATTTAATTTCCCATAACATCCCAGGAGGTGGTTCTGGTCATCGTGCCAGTTTTGTCCTCTGAGGCACAGAGAACAAGTCACTTGGCTGAGGTTTTGGTCACACCTCCGCCTCGCTTTCAAAGACCACAAGGCCCAGAGAATCAAAGCCACTGGGCAAGGTCTCCCATCTGGGAAGTGGAGGAGGAACCAGGATGGGACCTAGTTCTGTCTGGGGCTAGCAAGATAGGAAATCAGAGCTGGGGAGGACCACTCTGCACTCACATGGGTGGTGGGTAGTGATGTGGCTAGGGTGAAAGCAGGGAAAAGGTGCTGTGTCAGAGTGGGGTCCTCTGGGCCTACGTGCCTTAGAGATGCCTGGCCAGTTACCCCCTCCTCTTTCATGCTGGGCTGTCCCCTGGGTGGTCAAGGCGCCAGGACGGGCCGTGGAGCTGACACCTCGTGCTGCCAGGCTCTGATCGGAATCTGGCTGCAGGGCAGGGGTGAAACTGAATCCAGCTAAGCCTCCTTTGGCCTGGATGTTTTGGCAAACACCTGGACCCCCTTCTTGGGACAGCCTGGGCCCTGCCACTGGTGGTCCTTCTTGGATCCTAAAGAAATTGTGCCCACCTGGAGCATTGGCAAGGCTACAGCCTGGGCCCTGGGCACTGGGCTTGAGGGTCCCCAGGGAGGCTCCCAGCGCCCCACTCTCAAGTGAGCCTCTGGGATCAGATTCCTGCGGCTTCATGTCCTGCATTGTTCTTGGCTGGGCCCTGGCTTATGAAACAGTAATGAGGGGCCCCTGCTCCCAAAGCCGGCCCCTCTAGGGTTTCCGCTGCTGGGCCACTGCTGCCACCACAGCACAGAGTCGGGGCCTGGGAGGGCGGCAGTGCGGGGGCCTGAGCCGGAGCCCCCCGGGGACGAGGGTGCTGACAGCCGCCAGCCACCACTGCCAAGCCTGCTGCCCAGGTAACCCGAGAGGAGGCGGGGCGCAGGGTGCCATGGCCCTGTCTCCCACCATAGGGGAGGGCCCTGCCAGCCACTCCAGGAGCTGGGGACAGATGGGGGGGCTTTGAAGGGAAGCAGTTGTTTCCCCCCAGCGAGCCCAGCACCAGCCTTCCAGCTGTGTCCTGGCTCTGGGCAGGGGAGAGGAACAGTTGGGCTAAAGGCCCCATGGCCACTCCTGGGACCTTGGCCCTCCTGACCTGGAGCCCCTGTCTTTCCTATAGGGCCGCACAACTCTTCACTCTGAGGCTTTCTCATGGCCTCCACCCTTGGACTAGCTCTTTCTCCTTCAGCCTCTCTCTCCTCTCTGGGCCGCTTAACCCTCCTCCTCACCCTTGTCTCTGGCTACTAAAGTCCCTTTGGGCCTTCCTTGCACTCCCTGTTCTCAGGCTCGCACACATACACCCTTGTAAATGAACTTGCGTGCTCTTACAAAAACATGCATCAGTGTATCTTACAGACCTGCTCACGCATGCATGCGTGTGTGCACTTCAACTTCCGTGTGCACACATGTGCCCAAACACACAGGCCTTTGTACACATGTGATACGTGCACATGCCTGCCCACATACATGTGTGTACACATGTCCCCGCCGTGGCTCCCAAGGGGGCCTCAGTGACGGGCAGCTGTCCTTGAGCAGTGAGATCCCAGCTGGGAGGGGCTGTGGGGCGGGGGGGGGGGAGCCCCACGTGGGTCTGAGCTGTCTCCTCTCTCCACTGCCGGCCCAGGAGCCCCGGAGCCCTTCCAGTGCCGAGGCACCCTACTGCGATCTGCCCCGCTGCCCCCCACCTCAGGACCCACTCAGTGCTGCAACCTCTGCTAGCCAGTCTGTGGTGGGCCCAGAACTCAGGCAGGGCCCGAGAGGTGGGTAGAGTCCCAGGAGTGGGGAAGGGCTCCTTGGGGAGGATGTCCCCAGCCCTGGTATGGGTCATATGGTCAGCCCGTGAAGCTTGGGCACAGATGGGCAGGAGGTGAGCTCCCTGGGCCCAAGGGAGAGCTCAGATCTGATTGTCCCTATTTTTTGTGCGTGTGTTTTTTTTCTTGGTTGGTTTTTGTTTTCTTGCAGTACTGGGGTTTGAACTCGGCCTCACGCTTGTGAGATAGGTGCTCTACCACTTGAGCCACTCTGCCAGCTCCAGACTCTGGCACCTGGGTCTCTGAGCTTTCTGTCCCCAAAACTGACTTTCATTCCTGGTGGCCTGCCCACCCCATAATTCTATAGGATCTGACTCAGCTTTGCCCCAGGATGTGGGGTGGCCGCACACATCTCCTGGTCCTGCTATACAGCTTGAAAAGATGACAAAGTCCCTTCAGCCAGGGACATCTGCTGTCACCGCTCCCTGGTTATGCGCTGCTCCAGGTTGTGAGATTGTCTCTACTCCAGGCCTGAGCTGATCTGAGCTTCCTCTCTGGGGTCGTAGGACCTGGGGAGGTCATGGCGTCAGAATTCAGAAACCTGCGGCTCAGCTTCAGTTCTGTCCCTGATGGTCTGTGAGACTGTGGGCAAGTTACTCTATCTTTTTATGTCTCCCTTTTCCTGTTTTTAAAATAGGAAAGGTTGTATCAGGGACTGAGATGTAGCTCAATGATAGAGGGTGTGTATGAAGCCTGAGGTTTGATTCCCAGCAATGCCAAAAAAGGAAGGGGGTTGAATTAAATCAGTATTGCTTTGAGAACATGTGCTTCTCACACATGTGGGAATTTTTTTTTTAAATAAAATTTCTGCTATTAAATATATTTCAGAAACTCTGGGACAAATGATAAATCTCTTTCTTGCAGGACTTGTCAGAGCCTCTGGTCTGCAGACCTGGGCCTGTATTGTAGGGTTTAGATGGGGGAGGTAGAGAAGTGTGTAGTATGTCTCACACTTATTTGATTACAGAGCTCTTTATCATCTTGTATGCCATTCTGTGGGCACTTTGGGGATCCTGCCACTTGTAAGCCTAACTTGAGCTGTGGCCACTCTGATCACCTCTAAAACAGGGCTTTCTCTGCAGCCCCTGCCCTCGGAGCCTTCTGCCTCTCACACCCCATTAGCCCTGCACGTATGAGTCTGTCTTGTAGTCTTGCTGAGCTCAGTGTCTCCACCCCTGCTCCACTGACAGAGCGTTGGGAGTTGGGCAATGGCCTTGTGTACAACTCAGCTCTGCCCTTTCTTAGCTCTGTGACTGTGGCTGGGCTCCGGGCCTCCCTGAGCCACAGTTTCTGCATCTATAAAATGGGAATTGATACTTCGTTCAAAGGAGGCCGTGTCACTTAAGGAGGTAGCCTATCTGAAGAGCCAGGCTCTGGCTCTCAACATTGGCTCCTGTTCTGCAGTAACAGAAGATTCCTGCTCCATGGAGCATGCACATCTGCATGGGAGGGGTAGCTTCCTGATTCCCTGTTACCTTTTTGGGGAAGTCATGGATCTGTCTCCTCTCCCAGGGGCCCATCCCCAACAGCAGAGCTCCCTGAAGAGGGCCCTGCAGTTGTCCCCAGGAGCAGGCGCTGGGACCCCGAGGCAGTGCCCTACTTGGAGGGTTTGGCTTCCTCCTCGTGTGGCAGCTGCGACGAGGACCCCGACTCTGACGCCAGCTCCAGCTCTCATAGGAACGCCCCCGATGATACCAGGAATTCATCCTTTGTGGTGAGCTTGGACCAGAGACAGGAACAAACACAGATACTCCAAGGGCCCTGGTTCTGGGGCCCCTAAACCTCCAGACAGGGCTGGACTTGGCAGCAGGGCACTGAGCCAAGGTGTTGACCAGCACCGGCACCTGAGGCCACCCACCCAACCAACTGGAGGGATGGGGTCTCTGCCAGGTCTCTGGCTGGGAAAAGCAGGCGGAGGAATGAGTTTCAGTTGACAGGGACCTTGTGAGTCACCAGCCAACTCAGACTGCCACAACCTCTCAGGTCATGGAGGGCTGGGAGGTGGGGCATGGTATCCAGAGCAAGCAAGGAGCAGGCCCTGGGCCCTGCCCTGGTCACACTCTGCTGAGCCCATGACTCACACTGACATCCATTTCCAAAGACAGGGGAGGGGACAGGCCATGGGGTTGACAGGGACCGGGACCATTTAGCCAGCAGAAGAGAAGAGCCTGGAGACTCTTCCTGGAGAATTCAGTTGGAGGGGCTGTCATAGGGCAGAAGAGGCAGGCCTGTCCCCTGAAACCCCCACCCAAGAGGAAAGTGATGGGGAAGAGATGAGCTCCAAGAAGGTCCAAAAGCTGACAGTGCCCAGAGGGTCACCAGGTCCCCCACCAGAGGAGATACTGTGGGCCAGAAGAAGGAGGGTGAGTCCTCTGCCAGGCTGGTCCCCATGACCATGGGTGCGGTGATGGACTCGGGTCCCCTAGATAGCCATATTTCTGGCACGCTGGGACCCTGGCAGGGCTTTCTTTGGGAGCCCTAATCATTTGTTGTTGTTTTATTTTGTTTTGTTGTTGGGGGTACTGGGGTTTGAACTCAGGGCCTTGTGCTTGCCAGGTAGGCTCCCTACCACTTGAGCCACACTGGAGGTCCTAATCCTAATGACAGAAATTGTTCCCATATAATTATGGAGCATTCACGAGTGCCATGCTACCTGTTTTATCTCACATCTGGTAGGATATAATGTCTAGGTTCTAGGAGATTGAATAGCAATGGAATGCCTCCCACAAATTAAAGGGCTAGTGGAATGTGACTTGAGGCATGACTGGATCCAGTTGTTCCAATAGCATCTGCAATGTGGTCTCCACTCTTCTTTCTTCTTTGGTGCTCCATTCTTAGCTAGATCCTACCCCAGTAGTGGTGTGATACCTGCCAGCAGTGCCAGGCTGTGTTCCATCTGCTCATCAGCTTCCACAGAAGGAAGGCAGCCTTCCCAATCAAGATCACTAGCATCTCAGGCAGGGTTCTCAGCGGGACCCAGTGTGGGTTATGTGTCCATCCTGGTGATCAGGGTCAGCCTCGTGTGCAAATCTCATGGCCTGAGATGGGGGAAACAAGAGAGTCCCCAGGGAAAATCAGGATGACTGCCCCAGAGAAAGAGGAAAAGCTGCTGTCAGGCCAAGCCCACAGAGGCCAGAGACACAGGCCAGCATCTAGCGGAATGTGAGCCCAGTAAGTTGGGTCCCCAGTCACTACTGCACTGTTGCCTCCTGGTCTCTGCCTTGAGCATGGATGGGATTTGGGGATGTGGGACCATGACAATGGCCTCCTAACCCCATGGTTCATCCTAGCTACTGGTGGCTCATTCGGTACCCAGTGCATCAGCATGCACCCAGGCCTCAAGAGGAGTTGGCCGTGGTCCTGGCCCCTGGAAGTGCATTACCTAGCACTGCCCAGATAGCTGCCCAGATAGAGGAGGGCCAGGAACAGGTGTAAGGGAAGAAGTGAGCGAGGGCTGGTGCATGGGGGGTCTCACAGAGGAGGCCCATCAGGACGGAGGACCACATGCTAGCTGAGGAGCAGCCTGAGAGAGGCTGGGAGGAGAGACTAGGGAGGATGCTGGCATCTATGGCACGAGCATGGTAGGGTGCTGGGTGACCCAGACCATAGTGGGTCTCATCAGCCTTGCTAAGGTATTTGGCCTTTCTTCTCTAAGTAGGAGGGAGCCACAGAAGGTTTGGGAAGGAAAGCAGTGGCATGATTGAACCTGTGCCCTAGGCTGACCACTAGGGCAAGGTGCAAGGATTCACTGGAGCAGGGTGAGGCAGGATGAGAAACTGGGTAAGAGACCACTGCAGCCAGTGTGGCGATACCTGTTCAGGTAGGAGTCATGTTCTGATGCTGAATCCCAGGGTGAAAGTGGTCAGGATCAGGACACTTAGTCTCAAAGTCCCCCCCCCAACCCATACACCAGATTGTGCACAGACTACAGAGGGAAAGGAAGGCATCTTCAGGATGGGAGCTCTGCAGACGCCACCTTAGCCAAGTGACTGCTCAGCGTCCCAGAGTGTGACAAACCAGCTTATGATCCCAGGGAAGGAGGGCAGCACACAGCACCCTCCCTTCCAAATCTTCCTGCTAAGATGCTTTGGAACCCAGTGACCCTTTAGACCAACCCTGACAGAAGGACATTCTGCAGAATAACTGACTGGAACCTTCATGACAGACCGAAAGGGGCTGGGAACCATCGTTCATTAAAGGAGGCTAAGGGACTGGGGTGTGGCTCAGTGGTACAGTGCTTGCCTAATGTGTGAGAGGCACTGGATTCCATCCCCAGCAAAGTTAAAAAAAAAAAAAATAGAGACCCCAGAGCCAGAAATGGCAGGATGACTGACCCTGAGGGCATCCTGGCCAGGAGAAGCCACACTGAAAGATGTTCCTGAGACCGCTGGTGGATTTGAACATGGATAGTGTGTGAGGTAGCAGTGTGGTGCAGGTGCTGTATTTCTTGAGCGTGGCCGTGACGTGGTCAGGAAGGATAGGTCCTTGTTCTTAGAAGTTGCACATGGCAGGGTTGGGGGAAGGGTCCTGTAGCCAGAGCCACCTTTTCCAAACACTAATCAGATCTTGTCATCACCACCCCAAGTCAGACCCTGGAAGGGGGCATGTGGGGAGAAGCAATAAAGCATGGGGGGGAACCAAATGCCTTCTGGGTGTGAATGGTGTGACAGGCCAGGTGGGATTTTACCCTGTGTACCTGCTCTCTTGTTCTTAAACACCCTGGCAGTGGGGTGGGAGCCTGACTCTGTGACCTACTTAGAGCAGTTGACACTACTCACCTGGTGGCAGCTTCCTAAATTGCAGGCAGGGCCCGAGGCCCAGGAGATGCTGACTACTCTGCTATGTTGAGGTTCCTTAACAAGTCCCTCTGTGCCCTTCCTAGTCTGCCTTGTGTACTTCCTGGGCACAGGTCCTGGGAGGGCCAGGTTCACAGGGAGGCTTGAGGTGATGGGGAGGGTATGGATCTGTGTCCTGGGCGTGGTGGTAGGGGACCGGTTCAGTCAACACTGTGCTCAAAGAGACTGCTGACAGACCGGGAGGTGGCAGCACAAGGTGTACTGCACACCTACTGTGTGCAAGCTTGGAGGTACCATCCACAGGGCAAGGCTGAACTCAAACAAAGCTTACTGGGGAGAGAACAGGTAAGCAAATAAATGAGATAGACAGTTGGGAGGAAGAGAGTCACCCTTAATGGGCCAATCAGGAATCCCAAGGGTGAGAAGGAACCAGCCAGGCAGAATGCTTCAGACAGAGGCAGCAGCAAGAGCTAAGGCCCTGGGTGGTGAAGTGCTTGTGGCAAGTCTGAGGGACCAAAAGCTGGGTGCTGGAGCCTGGTGAGTGGAGGAGAAGCTGCAGGGACCAGCCAAGGTAGATTGGGGGCTGGAAACCAGAGTCCAAAAGAGACTTGTCCTTGTGGGAAATCTTGGATTTTATTCCAAATGCAGAAGGGAGCCTCTAGTTTGTTTTGTAATATTTCATTTTAAAAGAATCATAGATTTATAAGAATTGCAAAGATTGTACTGACGACTGCTGTTACACCTTTCACTCCGGTCCCCTGGGTTAGCATTGTACAAAACACGAGAATAACAGAATTAAGAAACTAACATTGGTGAGGCTGAGGGAGTAGCTCAGTGGTAGAGCACTTGCCTAGCATGCCCTGGGTTTGATCACCAGCACTCCCACCCTCCCAAAAAAGTGAGGGAACACTATTACAACACTTTTAACTGACTTACAAGCTTTATTTGAATTCGCTAGTTATTCTTGTAACACCCAGGATCCCACACTGCATTTGTTCACTCATCTCTCTGTGTCCTCTGATCTGTTCTTCTCTACCCCTGAAGGGCTGTGAGCAGGGGCATCTAGTCACTTTGCTTTCCTGGGAGGAAGGATGACTTTGGGCCCAGAGCACACGCTAGGGACCATTGTAACCTTGCAGTCATGACAGTGGCCTAGGGTAGAAGATGGATGCAGAATGTATTTTGGATGCCCGTGGAACATCCGCCCTTCAGGAAATAGTGCCATGACAGGTACTGGGAATTCAGACTTCAGTGACAACAATGTGGCAGGTTGGAGGGGTCCTGAAGTATGACCTCTTGTGAAGGCACCAGCCCAGGAACACGTAGCAGATGGCCAAGGGTCTGAGAGGGTAGAGGGTGACCTCAAGGTCATGGTAAGCCCATCATGGGGCTGGGAGGGCAGCTCCATTCACCCCTTAGACTAGCAGCACTTCTGCCACCGTGAGGCGCAGGTGAGTGAGTCACCTGGAAAGCACATTAAGGGCTGATTATGTGGCTGTGTGTCCTGGCGGAACTGGAGATGCAGACACTCCAGGAGCCCTTGCCCCAAGGAATAGGAGCTCTGGAGCTGTCACATGTGCAAGAGGCTCCTTAGCAGAGATCGGGGCAGTTTCTGGGAATCTGGAGGCAGGAAGTAGAAACGGGAAGGGAAAGTTGGTAGGTAGCTGCAGCCACCTCTCCCTTTTGGGTCACATGGGCTATTGTGGAACCTGCTCTCCTTTGACACATCTATGAACCTCAGGCTACATGCCCTCCTCCCCCATGGAGTCAGTCTAGACCCAGCTGGAGTCTAATCACCCTGAGTCAATTGGAGCCCCTTTGGTATGAACTGGGAAACCTCTCAGAAGCAGGCACAGGGCTGCCAGAATCTTCCAGCCCAGACGACAAAAGACAGTAGGATCTGAGAGCTGCCTGGACCCCTCCACTTACCTCAAGCCCCGTCTCTCTCCAGACACCAGCGGTGGTAGCCAGAGTGCTGGACAGCAATGGGCGAAGCTCCGGGGAGAAAGCGGGTACCTCTCCTTGGAGCGACAACGCTCAGGGGTGCCAACCCAGACTTCCTCTGTGACACCACAGGGCAGACTTCGAGGCACCATTCCCCAGGCTTCCTCTCCCCAAAAGAACACTGCCCAGGCTGCTTCTACACCACGAGAAAGCCCCCAAGCCTCCTTTCCCCCACGAATCACCCAGAGGGACAACCCCAAGACCTTGGCCATCCAACAGGACACCCCTAGGACCTCAGCCACACAGTGGAACACCCCAAGAACTTCCTCTCCTTCAAGAATCTCCCAGCGGGACAGCTCCAGAGCCTCATCCACCCAACGAAGCAACACTCAACCTAGCTCTCCCCTCAGAGCCACCCACCAAGATCACCTCAGAACCTCTGCTGCCCAACAGGACAACCCCAAAACTGCGTTTCCTGTTTGTATTCCTCAGCAGGATAACACCAGGAAATCCTGTGACCAGGGGGACAATCCCAGAGCCTCCTCACCCAATAGAACCACCCAGCAAGTCAACCCCAGAGCCTCCTCTCCCAACAGAACTGCCCAGCGGGACAACCCCAGAACTTCCTCTGCCCAGCGGGACAACCCCAGAGTTTCCTCTCCCAACAGAACCGCCCAGAGGGACAACCCCCGAACATCCTGTGCCCAGCGGGACAACCCCAAAATTTCCTGTGCCCAGCAGGAGAACCACAGAGCCTCCTCTCCCAACAGGACCACCCAGCGAGACAAACCCAGAACCTCCTCACCCAACAGAACCACCCAGCGAGTCAACCCCAGAGCCTCCTCTACCAACAGAACTGCCCAGCGGGACAACCCCAGAACTCCCTGTGTCCAGTGGGACAACTCCAGAATCTCTTCCACCCAAGGAGACACTCGCAAAGCCTCTTGGAGCAGATGGGAGCACCTCAGAAGCGCCTGCTCCCAACGGGCCAACCCACACTCCTCTTCCCTTCACCGAGACAACCCCGGGATCTCCTTTACCTGTCAAATCACCCACAAGGACAACCCTGGACCCTCCTCTCCCCGCCGCTCTACTCAACACAGCAATCCCAGGAATTCCTCTCCCCACCGTACCAACAAAGACATCCCCTGGGCCTCCTTTCCCCTCCGGCCAACCCAGAGTGATGGTCCCCGAACCTCTTCCCCATCTCGCTCCAAGCAAAGCGAGGTACCCTGGGCATCCATTGCCCTCCGGCCAACCCAAGGTGACAGACCTCAGACCTCATCTCCCACCAGATCAGCCCAGCGTGACCAGCCCCAGTCCTCTGGCCCTACCCAGCACAACATGCCATCACGGGCCACCTCATCCTCCCATAATCCCAGCCACCTCAGTGGCTCTCGGACTTCCTCACCTCTGAATCCTATGATACGGGGGGCTCCCCAGACTTCTGAGCCCTCCCAGCCTCCCTGTGCTGTGTGCATTGGGCACCGGGATGCGCCTCGAGCCTCTTCGCCTCCACGCTATTTGCAGCATGACCCCTTCCCCTTCTTCCCAGACCCCTGTGCCTCTGAGAGTGAATCACCCCACCATTACGCCCCCCACATGCCACCTGCTGTGTGCATCGGGCACCGTGATGCCCCCCGGGCATCCTCACCCCCTCGACACACTCAGTTTGATCCCTTCCCCTTTCTCCCAGAAACATCAGATGCTGACAATGAGTGCCCCCAGCATGACCCTCCTCAGTTTCCCCCACCTGTGTGTATTGGGTACCGTGATGCACCCCGGGCCTCCTCCCCACCACGCCAGTTCCCAGAGCCTGCCTTCTTGTTCCAGGATCTCCCCAGAGCCAGCACAGAGAGCCTTGTCCCTTCCACTGACTCTTTGCATGAGCCACCCCACTTCCCCACCCCAGTGTGCATCGGCCACCGGGATGCTCCCTACTTCTCCTCTCCACCGCGCCAGGCCCCTGAGCCCTCCCTCTTCTTCCAGGATCCCCCTGGGACTAGTATGGAGAGCCTGGCTCCCTCCACCGACTCTCTGCATGGCTCTCCACTGCTACTCCCCCAAGTGTGCATTGGCCACCGGGATGCACCTCGAGCCTCCTCTCCACCCCGCCACCCACCCAGTGACCTAGGGCTCTTGGCACCCTCACCTCCGCCAGGCAGCTCAGGCTCCCTGAGCCCAGCACCTCCAGGGGAGACCAGGCACAACCTGGAAAGGGAGGAGTACACCATGCTGGCTGACCTGCCCCCGCCCAGGAGGCTGGCCCAGAGGGAGCCAGGGCCCCAGGCACAGGGCAGCAACGGGGGCCGCACCCGCAGCCCTGGCCGCGCAGAGGTGGAGCGCCTCTTCGGGCAAGAGCGCAGGTGAGCCAGGGCGGGGGCAGCCAGGTGGGCTGGGAGGAGGCTCTGCAACAGGACAGGTGGAAGGTTCTCAGGGCTGGGATGCCAGAAACAAGGGCTCAAGTCCTCCTGTCCTGCTACTCACTGGCTGTGTAACCTTGGGCAAATAATTTCATGTCTGTTTTGGCGTATTAGGGGTATTTTGAGGATTAAGTAAACTACTTACAGCCTAGTGGTCAAAAGCAAGGACCAGAGTCTAGCAGGCTGGGTTCAAACCTGGGGTCAAAACCACGCTGCATCCTGTGTGACCTCCTAATATGATTTCGCCTACTGGTGCCTCAGTTTCCTCCTCTGTCAAATGGAGAAAACATTTGCATATTATTTAAATAGGGTTAAGCCCTCAACCCTTTGTTTGACTCTACACATCTCCCAAAACAAAGATGTACATTTAATACAATGGCCAGAGCCTTGTATTTGATATTTGGTGATACCGGGGATGGAACAGGGGCACTCTACCACTGAGCCATGCACCCCCAACCCCAGACTAGAGCCTCATAGTTTAAATAAGAGCTCACAGAACTGCAGGCTTCTCAAAAGCTAAAACATTACTTTCCTGGTGCATGTTGGGTCTCCCTGGCCAGCAGTAACAGGCCACTGCTGGAGGAGGAAACAGCCCCTTCTTATCTGCCTGAGATTTCTTCCCCCAGCAGTGCCACTCCTGAGTTTCGAGAATCAGAACCCGAGTTCCGTTGGTTAGAATCAAAAGAACCAGGGAAAAAAAAAAAAGCAGGCCTGGAAACTTTCAGTGTATAATCCAAATGAATCTTAGAATATTTACCAAGTAGTACAGCTGTCTCTACAGCCTAATTTTAGAACCCTCAGGGCACCTGCCATATTTTGCACCCACTATTCTCCTCTTTGCAGCCTTGAGGCAGAATTTCTCTGACTCTGTGTGTGAAACCTGATGTCTTCTTCTTCAAATTCCCTTTTCCAGTAAACTTGATGCATTAATATCCCAGTGACAACCTTTGTCAGCTCCAGCAATTAGTGTTATTCTTTCTTTGGCCTTTCTTTTTTTTGGTGGTACTGAGGGTTGAACCCAGGCCCCACAATTCCTAGGCCAGTGCTCTGCTACTTGAGCTAAATGCCCCCAGCGCTTTTGTTTTAGTTATTTTTGAGATAGGGTCTTCATGTTTGCCTGGGCCGACATGGACCACAGTCCTCCTACTCACTCTTTCCTGGGACAACAGGTGTGGGCCACCACATCCAGCTTATTGGTCAAAATGGGGGTCTCACTAACTTTTTGGCCATGCTGAGCTTGAACCGTGATCTTTTGGATCCCTGCTTCCCAAGTAGCTAAGATAAAGGTGAGCCACCATACCTGGCCTTTTCTTTTTTTTAAATACAAAAATTTTAGAACAGTTTTAGGTTTACAACAAAATTGAGCCAAAAATAGGTGAGTTTCCAGCTACTTCAGACCCCAAACACACACACCCTTCCAACTGTCGCCATCCAACCCGAGTGGCACTTTTGTTACAGTCCATGAACCTATATTGAAATACCATGCCCATAACTTTTAGAGAGATAAACAGAAATCAAGACTATGTTCGCACATTTATTAACCATTTAATTGTTCCTAGTTACTTCTATAACATTGTATTCTCCTCTTTGAAGTAGGTTACCTTTTTTTTGTGGTACTGGGATTTGAACTCAGGGCTTCGTGCTTGCTACGTAGGCGCTCTACCACTTGAGGCTCTCTGTCAGCCCAGTAGATGACTTTTAACCAAGGTTTTATAACTGTACTGAGGAATTTCTTCCACTTGTATGGCACTTTTCCCAAGTGGAATACTACTTGTCCTCTGAGGACAATTTTTTAAACAATTTATGCACCTGAGTGAGGGACAGACTGGAGTTTATGAGTGGGGTGGCTTTTATAAAAGAGATGTGCTCTTACTTTCTCTCGTTTATTCATCCAACATACTTATTGAGCATCTACACTGTCTGGCATTGTTCCGAGCCTGGAACATTCTTCTGGAAAGGCCATCACATCAAAGCATTAGGACTTTTGCCTTGATATCGTAACCTTTTTTCCTTAGACGTCTTTGGAAGGTCTTAGAATCATATAGGCATCCCCTGGTCACTTGAACTTAAAAAGATTATACAATCTGAACAGAAACCAGAGTATGTCACTTGAACTTAAAACAGAGCTTTCCTTAGATCGGCTAGACGTGGAGGCTTTGGTTCTTTAATACAATTTCGAGGCCAAAAAGCCCATCTAAGCTTCCAAAGGAAACTCATTTTCTTGGTCACCCGTGGTGCGGCCACACCAGCCCTCAGGAACCCAGGGGACATGTTCCCTCAGAAAAGTTGAGGGAGGGAACCCTCTCTGGGAGGGGTTCTCAGAATTCTTTTAGAGTCCCTCAGTCCTGTGTCTCAGTGCCTGATAGGGGCAAAAGGAAGGAGAATGCTCAGAAGAAATGCCCATCAAGCAGCTGGAGTTTGTACAGAGAATGTGTGTTCAAAAGAGACCGCACATTCGTCTTGACCCTTGCATGGGGCATCTTCCAGCATTATCCTCCCACCCATCCTGTTATAGAGGAATGTCCCCCCGAGTCACTTTGAGGCTTTGCTTCACCCAAGCTCCTAGCCTCAGCTCCGGGGAAATGCACCCAAAGGTCTCAGTTCCACCGACCTCAAATTAGATTAAAATTTGAGCCTCTTCCGGGAGCCCTGAGGCTTAGAGACACTCCAGGGAACTGCTTAGAACTCCAGTTACCTTATGGAACTAGTTTTAATAACATTAGCAAAGGTCACACAGCAGTGACCCCCAAACCCTGTACTTTTTTTCACTCCCTCAAACCTCTGCACCGTTCCTTAGCTGTAGCAGACTATGCAGAGTGGTCCCGTGGAGACCCAGCGCTGCCTCTCACCTGCCTTTCCGGGCTCCCTGGAAGCTTGTCTCTTTCTAGGCCTCTTCTGGTTCAGCTCAGCCTCCAGAGACCAGGCTCCACTTGTCAATTGATTTTACTTCTTTTTCTCAGTGCTGGAGATGGAATCCAGGGCCTGGCACATGCTGAGAACATGCTTTACCACAGAGCTACATCCCCAGCCCATATTCACTTACCAACTTAGATGAAGTCAGTATCTTAAATTCCATGGAGATCAATATTCATGAAGTGATTAGTTCCTTTATTGTGACCTCCTCATTAAGGAGGGGACAGATATGCACAGTCTGTAGCTCTTCCTTTTTGGTGGAAATAGTTTAGAACTCAAGGCCCTGCACTTGCTCGGTAAGCACCTTCCACCTGAGCATGCCTCCAGCACCTACCTAACCCACTGCCAGCCCTGGACTGAGATCATATAACTCCTGCCCAGCAGGGACCACGGGTGCATGCCACCATGCCCAGCTTACTGGTTGAGGTCAGGCAGGCCCTGCTAACTTTTTGCCTGGTTTTGAACCATGATCCTCCCAATCTCTGCTTTCCAAGTAGCTGTGATTACATGCAAGAGACACCATGCCTGCCCACTGCCCATTATTATGCAAGAAAACTATCTGGATCTATGCAGGTTAGTGTTTATCTCTAGGATGACATTTGGCCAGTTTATGTTGGCTTTTCTGGAGTTGTCAGGGGGAAAGAGTGTTTCTCTACTCAATCTCAGCCAAAAGGCTGAGAAGCAATGAGTATTTCTCCTTTTCTATCTTGCTAAGAGCTCTTTTGCAAATAGGCTGAGTGCTGGAATCCTGGTAGCTCCAAGGGGGAGAATAAAAAGGCTTGAGAAATCCCAGTTTTACAATATGGACAGGAAAAGGGCAGAAAGAAGGGAATACAGGGCCTGCAACACTCTGCCTCTCTCGACCCTGCTACATGGTTGCAAAATGTGAAATGTACATGCATACAAGTGCTTGCCATCTGGAACACAGGAAGTACTCAATAAATATTTGCCTAAACATTGTGATCACGTGTGCACAGTGCCTGGTACATAGTAGGTGCTCAATAAATCTGAATTCCCACACGGACCAGTCTAACCTTTGTCTGGGGTGGCTGGTGGGCTGCTGGTCAGTAACAGGAAATACTGAGTGAGACAGGAGGAAGCCATGGTCAAGGCCATCCTGCCTCCCCATCCTGCTGCCTTCACGCACCTCTTTTCTCATGTTTCCTTCACAATAGCTTCATGAAGCAGATTCAGTGGTGCTGATCAACCCCATTTTTCAGAAGGGGAAACTGAGGCCCTTCCTCATTAGGGTCATTCCTCATTAGGACTCTAAGATGAGCTCGGAGGGGATTTCTGGCTCTTACATATCTTCTGTTGGGGTGGGATGGAGGGACTGGGAGTGGAAGAGTCCTGAAGGCCCTAAGGAGCAGTTGCATTTGCTCATAGGAAGTCCGAGGCACCAGGACCCTTCCAGGCTCGGGATGAAGGACGGTCACAGCGGCCCAGCCAAGGTCAGAGCCAACTTCGAAGACAGTCCAGCCCTTCCCCCAGCAGGCAGGTGAGCACTGCTAGCCACCTAAGGGGCAGCCACCTTTGCTTCTCCTTGGTGCCAGGCTGGGATCCCAGGCAAGGGAGGTTCTCTATGAGAGGGTCAGAGCCTAGGTCATGGGTGTCCATCTCTCCCTTCTTTCCAAGGGCCAGCAGCTTTTGGCAAAATGTAAAGGACTCCACATCAGTCCTTCAGAAACAGTCCCTCCATGCTGTCCCTTCTGTCATTGGTTCCTGCTATATTGAGATTTTGGGGAAGATCGGCCTATCAGTCAGGCTTTAAAGGCTCCCTCTCCTAGGGCAGGAATTGGGTCTCTAAAGAAACCTAGAGGGCAAGTCCTACCCCAGTGGAACGGGCACTGGTGGTGGAAATTCGGGCACCTGATAGCCCAGGTTGGATTCAGTATCTTTCGGGGAGGGGAGTCCGGAAAGTGAGCAGCTCTGTGCAGATCTCTCTCTCTAGAACTGTGAGAAGTGGGTGAGAGGGAAGAGCTGAGCCTGGAGAAGGAGCCCAGAATCTGATTTAATCCAGGCTGCTGTGAAGACGAAGCTTTGCCTCTCCCAGGGCCCAGCTAAGACAGACAGCGGCCACACAGCCTGGCCTTGGAGCCTCACCCACCCCCCCACCTCATCCTCAGGTGACCAAGCCCTCTGCCAAGCAGGCAGAACCATCCCGGGGGAGCCGAGCCGAGCCTGCTCATCCTAGGAGTCCTGAGAGGCGGCTTGAGGGGGTCCTGCAGCTCCAGAGGTCCTCATCACCCCTTGGGACATCAGCTAGGACCCCTGAGAGGAATTCACGGACAAAAAGACCTCCGGAAAGAGGTGGGGCAGGCCCAAGGCAGCCTCTGAGAGGGTGGCAGAGTCAGGAGGAGCTTTCAGGGTCCCGGAGACTTCATGGATACCTGGAGAAGAGCTGGAGCAGCCAGGAAGAGGGCCCAGGACCTGGGGGCTGGTCCAGCCTGGAGGGTACACAGAGGAGCCCTCCTGGGAAGTACAGGGAGAGTTGGGGGCAGTCAGAAGCCTGGGAGGAGCATCCCCAGCAGGGCCGAGGCAACTTGTGGGAGCTGTCAAGTTCCCAGCAGCCTGTGAACCCCCCAGAGAACTGGGCAGGCCCAGCAGAATGCTTACACCCCCAGCAGCCTGAAACCCCCTCTGCCATGTGCTGTGGAGCTGAGGGAACAGGCCCACAGCTGCTAGGCCCTGAGAGGCGACTTGAGCTTGACTGGAGGGACCTGCTGGGGGCCTGGGCCCAACTCCCAAGGCTAGACTGGGAAGACCTCCTGGAACTCCTGCAAGCCCACCTGCTTCATAAGAACTCAGCTGGGCCCTGGGGTGACCCAGCCAAGACTTCAGGACCAGAACTGGGTCCCCTAGACACAAAAGACACTCTGGAAAGAGAACGACAGAGCCAACCTGAAAGCTGGGCTGAGGCCACTTTGGTCAATGGACACATCTCTGGGCAGCAGTCCCAGAGCCCAGCTCAATTGTCCAGTCCTGCCTGCACCTCCACCCAGTGGCCAGCAACCAAAGTGACAGGTGGACCAGAGACTGCAACTCTGGCTGGTCTGGAGCAGATGGGCCAGCTAGGGGGCTGTAGCCTGGCAGAAGGCCCCAGCCCACCAGAGCTAGAGGTGAGTTGTCCTACTCTGAAGGGTGGCCAGAAGCCAGTCCCAGACTAGTCTTCTTAGAAAGTCCTCCTATGATATGACCCCAGGTTCCACACCTCCAAGCCCCTCCCCAGTCCTCCCTGTTGACCAGGACTGTCCTGACCACATGCTGGCTCAGTGGTAGTGACCAGAACTGTTTTGATCCCTTACTACATGTATGCTTTTCTCACTTGGTCTCCATAGCAACCTGATGAGAAAGGCACCACTGAGACACTTGAGTTTCCCACAGGTAGAGAGGGCTGGGGCAGTGGTTGACTCAGCATCCATCACTATATGACCTCCAGCTGCATGCTCTGACCAGCCCTTCTCCGTTGCCCTACAATGTCTGATTTGTGTTGGATCTTGGGATCATGCCTGAGACTACAGCCAATGTGGCTATGTCCCTTCTCTAAGTCTAGGACGGCCCCACCCACCCCTCTCTATCCCCTGTGGCTCCTCAGACACAAAAGAGGAAGCAACAAAGTGCTCACTGGGTGGAGTTGGCTGCCAAAAATGTATTCCTTAAATGAGGATTGTGTGCACAGTAGGCCCAGCACCAAGCAAGAGTTCTCCACAAGTCCTCCATGTGCCTCAGTGGTATTTGGTGCAGCCTTTAAGCCCAGAGCATTGATCTGAGGGTGAGGGGTGGGGAGAGCCCTACAACCTGGCTCTAGCTCACTAGGAACACCACGGGTGGGTTTGGACACCAGACTCTCCTCGCCTCAGTCTCTTGCATTGACAGGTGCTCTTTGGTGATACAGAGACTCCTGCTTACTCAGCCAGGCCCTCTGTCATCGGAGTGCAGTCCACTGCCACTGCCTCCACAGATGGCAAGGCTCCAGGCACTGGAGATCACTGGGATGAGTGTCTTGTGTGCCTTGACTTGTGTGCTGCAGATGGACAGGAAGAAGCTGCCACTCTCCCCGTTTACAGTAAAGAAAGCAAACCTCAACTCCAGGGGTCACACCATGAATGTCGTGAGAAATGAACTAAGCACCCACTCCAAAGCCTGGACTTTTAACTACCACAGTGTGAAGCCCCTGAGCCACACAGGCAGGATAGGGAGCTGCTCTCCCCTGTATCTCCCTGCAGCTTGTCTCAGTTGACCCTTTTGTCATTCAGTGCAAAGACACCAGAGGTGCAGGGTGAGCCAGCATGGTCCTGCCCTCCAGTTGCCCTCAGGCTTGTGGGGAGGTAGGGTGACCATAAACGACTCATGAGCACAATGTTGTGTTCCAGTGGCCTGCTTCAGGCTGGCTGGCTTGTCACAAGGGAAGTGGGAGGTCCGAAAGACTTCAGCTGGAGTTACACTACCCAAGGTGACTTAGAGGATGATGACTGGGAGGGGTGGGAACACTTGGTGCTAAGGGCATTTCACAGATGACAAAGCAGAGTATTCACCAGGTCTTGCTGGGGTTCCAACTGCTCCTCTGGATAAAAATCCTTGGTACAGCATCCAAGGCCTCCTTCCCTTCCTTCCACTCCAGATTTGCCTCTTGCTGTGTTGAGCTGGCTGGAGGACTCTGTGCACACATCTCTCTGCCTTTACACATGTTGTTCCAATCACCAAGCATGTCTTCTGCTCCCTCTTCACCCACCACAGTTCTGTTCGTTGTTCAAGTCTTAGGTCAGGTGTTCTGTCCTGAGAAGCTTCCTTGAATACTCACCTCACTCCCACGCTGGCGATGTTCCCCCTTCTAGACTTGGCAGTTTTTTCTCCCTCCATCTGTCACATTGGATTGTCTTTTCCCCATAAGAAACATGAGCTCCACGGGGGAAGGGGCTGTACCTACTATATCTCTACCTCTGGCTCCCAGCCCAGGGACTGACATAAAGGAGGAACTCAGCCCAGTGGACGGCTGATCAGTGAATTCATAGATGCTTGGGTGCATGCAAGAAAAGAGTGAGGCTGGGTGGGATGGGGGTAAATGTTGAATGAACAATGGGTGAATGGAATGAATGGGTAATGGACAGATAATGGGTGTTGGATAGGTGGGTGATGGATAAATACATGTTGCTTCACCAGTGGATGAGTATATGTTGGGGAATGGATGGTTGGATGGATGACTTGGGTGGAATATGGAAGAATGGATGCTGGATGGATGGATAGATTGGTAAATAGAGAGTGGATATAGAGGGTAGATATATACGGTGACAGGCAGTGAATGCTGAAGGGATGATGGATAGGTAATGTAGGTAGGTTGTGTGTTGTTGGGTAACTGGATGGATACATGGGCCTATTGATGCTGGATTGATGGGTGGATGTTAATTGGATAGTTGAGAAGGTGGACCCTGGGATGAATGGACTCTCAGATGGACCTGGGCTAAGCTGTGTTCTTTCTTGTCTTCAGTTCCAGCCAGAGGAACTGAAGGAGGAGCCAGAGGAGCCTGAGGAGTCAGAACCAAGTAGAGATCCAGACTCACTGACTGACCAGAAGCAAGCCGACTCGGTAGTTGATTCATGAGCTTGGGCACATAGGGAGGAGAAGGGAAGGAAAATCAGGTTGGAGGCGGGCTGAGTTATTGGGGCCATCCATACCGAGGCTGGGTCTGCCATGAGGTCACCTGGGTGCATGGCGGACCTTGAGAAGAGAGGCTTTGGAGAAGCAGCTCAGCAGAGCCACCTCTAGTTTGGGGATCTGGGTGGGTAGATGATCCTGGGGTCAGAAACCCAGGGTTCTGCTTCTAACTGGCTGAACTGCCCTGAAAAGGTCACTGCCTTTCCTGGCGAATGACACTTTGGCCCTGATGGTCTCTGAGGGCAAGGTCCTTCCAGGCTTAGAGGGCTAGGCCAGGATGGTAGAAAAGGGTGGGGTTTCTGGGAGGTGGAGCCAGAGAAGTAAAGAGGGCTGGGGAGGTGCCCACAGTCAGTTGGGCCTGGAGGCGCTCCAGGATCCTGGCAGTGGACAGATGTGTACAGGGGGCCAGCCCTGAGGCTGGGCTGACCCTGGCTGCAGTTCGAGTAGGGCTCTGCCCCGCCCATCCCCTGCGACTTGCAGACAGACTGTTCTCATCACCCTCAGCCTTGACAGGGGTGAGGTCAAGAGTGGCTGAGAGGGAGGCAGACTGTTGGGGCTGTTTTTCACATCCTGCTCTTCCCCATGCTCCTTCTGAAAAGGCAGGTGTGACGAGCACTGGTCTGGCAGCCTGGAGCCCCTGAGTCTGGCCCTGATACTAGCTAGAGTTGGCAGCGGTGGGAGGGGAGTGTGGGGTTCAACCCCACACTATGTAGATGAGGAAACAGAGGCAGGAGAGTTGTCCCACAGTCAGTCAGTGCCTGGATTCAAATGAGAACCTAGGACTCAGAACCACCCAGTGCTCCCTCTGCCCCCCACCCTTGCCCATGCTGCTTTCTGGCTCTGCCTTGATCTCAGTGGCCTCTGGCTAGTTGCTTGGTGGCCATACTTTCCATCTGTGAAATGGGGAGGGCACAGGGGATTGATCACTAACAGGGGCTCTGACAACTTTGCTCTTCCTCTTTTGGGGTTATTTCTTCATACTTCCTGGAGTGGAGCTTTGTGAACAAAGAGGAAATGGCAATTCTGGGGGCCTCTGTCTCCCAGCAACATGGAAGACCTTCCACTCACCCAAGGCAACCTTGCCTGGACCGCCCCACTCCCTCCCTCCCTCCCTCATTCACTTACATGCACTTAGTGAGCACCTCCCATATGCTGGTGTGTGGGTCAGAGTGAGCTCTCTCTAGTGGCTCCATGCCAGTGGTTAGGGCTACGGTGGGGGTGTGGTGGAGGTGGGGTACTCCTTGCCCCAAAGCCCTGCTGGGCCTGTGGAGTACCAAACTCCACTTCTGGAGCATCTGCAGATTCTAGAGGGGAGACACCTGGGCTCTGCCCTACCCTGCCTGTTACCTGCCATGTGACTTTGGGCCAGTCCCTTTGCTTTGCTTGGTCCTCAGTTTCCCTAACAAGGATGACTGCAAAGGGAGAGCACGTTGGGGCTCTGCCAAGGATATCTATATGAATCTACGACTCATTTCTTTCATATAAACGAGGTTACAATCCTAATGTCTTATAGGCCAGGAAGGTGACAACGGTGACATGAGTGGAGGTTGGGGGACACTTGTATGACCCTTTGCCTCCAGATGCTTGTTGCTATGGGGAGGATGGGCCTAGAGTTTCCACATCTTTTGATATTTCAAGAGAAATTAGAAATATGTATTTAATAATCCCTGGATTATTTAACTTTAGAACCTAATGCAAAACAGTCGGCAAACGCCACATGGGTTGAATGTAGTCTGTGATCTGCACCTCCCTCCCCTTGGCAGCCTGTGGTTGACTTTAGGATGTGACCACACCTAAGGGCCCTGTCAGTCAAACACAATGCAGTGTGAACAAGTTTTCCTTGGTGACTCTGGGAGGGAAAGCAATAGGAACCCTGGGCTTTTGCAGAGGCAGAATGGACTGGGGAGGCTGTGGCCAGGGATGTGCCATCTGGCCAAAGGGATCAGCTGCCAACACTGGACCCTGTTTGACAGGCAGACAAGAGGCCAGCAGAGAGCAAGGCTGGGAGCCCACTCAAGGGCCGACTGGTGACCTCATGGCGGATGCCCGGGGACCGGCCCACGCTGTTCAATCCATTCCTGCTGTCTCTGGGGGTCCTCAGGTGGCAAAGGGTAGGCTGGCTCCAGCAGGGGCTGGAGGGGTGAGGGTGGATAGGAAGGATAGGGGAGGAAGGAGGTTGGTGTTAGTCAAGAGAGCGTGGGGGCTGAGAAGGAGGGATTGGGGCCCCTGGATGAAAGGAGAGGTGGCAGCTGAGTTTCTAATCTCCACTGGTCTCACTGGTCTCTGGTAAGGTGGGTTTTCCCACCTCCAGGGTGGGGCTAGGGGGGTTCATTTTCAGCTCCCAGGGTGAGAGGTGATGGGACAATCGCACAGCTGAGCCCTCTGAGCCCCTCCAATCAGCAACCCTGGCTGGGGAGCCAGGTAGGGGACAGAGGGTAAGAAAAGATAGGGAGGGCCTGCAGGGGCTCTGGAATTGCAAAGCAAGTCTCAGACCTGGGCCTGGGCCAGTTGCATAAACATCTGGCATTACGCAACCCACCCCCTGCCCAGAGGGACCTGTAAACACTCAAGGCTTCCTCAAGGACAAGGAGGAGAGGCAACTGTCTTGCCCCCTCCTGCCCCCTTCACAGTGGGCTACATGGGGCTTGGCATCTCCAGGAGCCACAGGCTGACTTATGAAGTCTGTCTGTCTCAGTGACAGGCCAACTCTTGTACCCACCATGGTTGACTCAGGCCCATTTTGCAGAGGCAGGCCTGAGGCTCAGGGGCAGGAACTGCCTTACCTGGGGTAGCACAGCCAGGGTGTCAGGATCTGAGTTTCCTCATTCCCGGGTGAGAGAGGTAGCAGTCAAACTCACATCTGTCTAGTGGGGAAATGGATGGAGACTCCCAGGGATATAGGGAGGGCTCCAGAGATTAGGATACACAGAGGGTGTGGGGGCAGTGCAGATACCTCCTATCCACTTCTTAATTCTCTGCTATGCTTTGGGAGCTAGGGCGCGGAGGGCAGCCAGGCACACGTGGTTATCTGGGTGCGGTGGCATCATCAAGCCCTGGACAGGAATGACCTTATCAGACCAAGTAAAGTTCACCCACACTCAGTGGAGCTGGCAGGAGAGGGCAGTCAAGTTCTTGGCTGAGAGAGGTGTGAGGAAGTGGGGAGAAGCTCTCTGGATAATGATGGTGACAGTGACCAGCAATTATTATGCACCCAACTGTACACCTGGTTGCATTTGGTCCTCACTACCAGGCACAGTTAGACTCATGTCATCCATGTACAGATGAGGAAGTAAAGTGACAAGAGGGAAAGTCACTTGTTCCAGATCACACGGGGGAAAAGCTGAGATTCAGATCCTGCTCAGCACTAAATGTTGACAAACCCTCCCCTGTGCACACTGATCTCCCTGGGCCCTCTGAGTCCTTAGCGCCAATAAGGTGTTCACCACAGACATGACAGCTGAGGCTTTGTGACTCTGGCTGTAATGATTCTTTCATCTGGGGACAAGGACACAAGGGTGCCAGAAGTACGATACCAAGGCCTTCCCTGACAGTTACTGGAGAGCCAGAAAGCTGGGCTGGAATTCTGTCTCTGCCTCTAACTGGCTGTGTGCTTTGGGCAATTGTCTCCCTTCTCTGAGCCTTACCTTAGTGTCTTCTACACAGGGCACTAGATAACTCCAAAGTTTGGTGACTTTGGGCTTGGCCAGCTTAATAACTCACCCCTGGGTCCCTGGGATTCTGCTGCTCCGTCCTGCAGGAGTGAGCTGTGATTTCTTTACTTGTGCGTCTGTTCATTTGACCAGTGTTTACTGAGGATGTACTGTGCATCAAGGCTCTGGCCTCCCAGACATAAAAACCACATTCCACCCCTGCCCACAAGAAGCACAGTGAGAGAACATGCACGGAACACAGTGGAGACATTGCTTTAGTGGAGGGATGAGCAGGCAAGATGGATGCAGGGAGCACCTGGAGAGGGATGGGATGCAGGGGCAACTGGGCAAGGGGTCTTCTGTCTGCTGACTCACTCTTCAAGGATTGAAGGCCTGCATGAAGTGTAGGGAGAGGGTGGGGAAGAATCTAGAGTGAAGTGGATATGCAGGTGACCTCCGTGGGAGGGACTCCCAGTGGGCGATGTTGGGAAAGATCTTCAGTTCCTTGGGCCTCCATTTCTTCATCTGTGAAATGGGGATAGTAATTACAAGAACAATCACTTTTGAACCCCAAATCAAGATGGCAGAATAGTTGAAATAGCAATTCATTCAGGCTCCCTTTACCCCTAACCCAAGGAAAAGTAGTTAGGGATAAAGAGGTTGGTCTAGGTGCTTTCCTTGGATTAGTGCTTCGTCCTTATATCAGCCTCATGAGGTAAAGGGCACTAGCACATTCTATGAAGGGTGAAATCCAAGTTCAGAGAACTCAAATACCTTGCTTAATGTTGAACAGCTATGCAGCACAGGCTACCACGTGCATTTAGCAACAAATTCCACCAGGTCCCTCCTCATCTGCAGGACTCAGATGAACTCCGGCCCTAAACAAACTGCCAAATGCTCCTGGGAACACGAGCATCGGGTGCACACTCAGGCCCGGGAACCCAAAACGTTCTTAACTGATAATGACCCGAGGTGAGAAGAGGGCATTTCACAAAGGCCCTACACTCAAGAACTCATTTTGTGTGCAGCTTTCTTGCTAGCTATTTTCTTACTGTGTGACCTAGGTCACAGATGGCCCAAGTCTCTGAGCGTCCGTTTTCTCATTTGTTAAATGGGGACCAGGAGCTGAGACACAAGTAACCAGCTGGGCCCGTTGGGTTGTTAATGTGTGCTTTGACCACATCCCCAACCAACCAAGGCGCCAACACCTAATGGACCCATAGCTCCGTAGGATGACTAGGGTCTGGGACGGGATGCCGGAGTCCGGCAACCAGAGGGCCACGCCCAGAGGCCCCGGCCTCGACGCTATGGCCGGACAGAGTCACCTGCACGCAGAGCTCTTCCTTCCTCCCAAGCTGCCACCGCCCCATCCGCCCGCCCCGCGGCCCTGGCGCGTCCGTCCCGTCGCGCAAGCCCCGCCCCCCCAACCAGGCCCGCGCTCTCATTGGCCCGGCTGCCGCCCCCGCCACTGTTTGTCTCGGCGTCCCAGCCGCCCATTGGCTCGTCCGGGTCCTCCCAGGAAGTTTGAAAAAAAAAAAAAAAAAGTTTTATGGGCGGATGGAAGGGGCCGGGGCAGCGCCGGGGAAGGGAAGGGCTGGAGCAGCGGCGGCTGGGCGGCCGAGAGGGGCGGCGGCGGCGGGGTGTCCGCGCCGCAGAACCTGGCCCGTGAGCCCCTTCTACCTTCCTGCCTCCGGCTCCCGCCGCCCAGGGGCGCCGCCATGACGGTGAGTGTCTCCGGTCGAGACCTGGGCAACGGGCGAGGAGGAGCCGACCGCTCCCCGCCTTCCCGGGGAGCCCCTTCCTCACTCCCTGGAGGCGGGAAGGGGTCTCGGCCGGAAGACTGGGTGACTCCGCGGCCCGGGCCGGCCAGACCCGCCTCCCCTCCCCTCCTCACCTCCTCACCTGCGCTCCCATCCTCACCCCACGAGCGCAGGCCACCCGAGGAGGTGGGAACTCCCCGCAACCGTCCCGCGCAACCGTCCTCGCTTTTGCAGAACCAGTCACGGACGGATTCGGGGCCACCCTTTCCCCCTCTCCGACAGCCCCCCAGGTGAACAGCCGGTTCCCCCCGGCTACCTGGGGCTCCGGGCCCCGGGAGGAGCGCACATGCGCCTGGCCTGACCCTGGGTCGTTGCCTCGGTTGGGAAGAGGCGCTTCGGAGCTTGCACGGGTCGCGCTGACCCTGGCCTAACTTGGCAAGATTGGTCACGCGTGTGGGCGCTGGCCCGAGGTTAGGGGATGATGAGGGGCCGGCCCGCCCACCGCATGGTCCGGGAGCCCATCCTGCCGGGTCTGAAACGGTGTTCTCCCAGTGCTGGGGCCTTGGCTGGGGCACACATGGCAGGGGCTAGCGTTTCTCTTGGGGGTGAGCCCTACTCAAGGCCGTCAGTACTGTGCCTTCATTGGCCTGTCGAACCTCACACCTGAGTCCACTGTTCTCCCCATTTCACAGACAGGTAAACCGAGGCTTGGGAGGGACACTGGTGAGTTGCCAGAGGGTGATTCCCCCACACTCCCCTGACTGTAAGGGAAAAGTAGCCCCTGTCCTGGGTCAGGAGGACCACCTGACTATGGTATTCTGGAAGGGAGTGGTGGGGCTGCTTTTGATTTCAGGCCCTGAGAGCCCGGTGGCCCTATTGGGGTTGGGAGGAGCACGAGCAGGGTGTGTGTACACATGCGCATCTCTGCCTAAAAGTGAGTGGAGCCCTAGTGAGGGGTGGGCTGCGCTGCCGGGGGCGTGGCCTGTGGGGCCCAGTCTCTGAGTGTGATGACCTGGCGCTGCTGCTGCTGCCTGGACTTCCTCGGCCTCCGCACATCCTGCCACCTCCCTGCTGGCCTTTCCTGCCGTCAGCAGCAGCCACCCCTTCCCAGGCAGGGAGTAGAGAGATGTGGGGGGAGGAGCTGAGTCCGTGTCTTGGGGCCAGGGGGAAGTGGTTGCATGGCCCACCGGGTGTCTGCCAGGCCCCGAACTGGGTGATTTCATCTTACCAAATTGATCCTTTAAGTTGGGTACTATCCCCATCAAACAGCTGGAGAAACTGAGGCTTAGAGAGGTGAAGGAACATGCCCTGGTGAGGAGGTTGGTCCCTGGCTGGATCAGAATTTGTATCCAGGTCTGTCCCAGTTTGTTTTCTAGGGAGAGATAAGAAAAGTACACAGTTTGCCGCTCCCGGGCAGTATGTGTTGAGCAAGGGTGAGGCTGCTGGGCATAGCATGCGTGTGGTGCTGGGAGGAAGGCAGTGCTGGTAGGAGGAGGGCTTCCAGAGGGAGATGTCCTGTGATATTACGACTTTGTCAGGTGGAGATGGACAAGGGAAGGACAGAGCTTTGGGAGGAGGGAACGGTGTGAACAAAGGCTAGTTGGCCCTGTTGGGGATGCTAAAAGCACAGAGGAGGCCTGAGAAAGCACTTTGGGCTTTGGTCAGCTCGATGGGGAGCCATGAAAGGTTTTGGAGCAGAGTGAAGGCCCATGATCACCACTAGCTGTGCTCACTGAGCTCCTCCTGGCTGCCATTCATACTGAGCCAGCTCTGAGCTGGTGTTCCTCCTATGCCTTCCTCAACCCTCTTTCTCTCTCTAGTCCATCACTTTGTTCCCCACCCCTGAACACAGGGATGTAGACAGCCAATGGCTCAGGTGCTGGGATTTGGTAACTGCTTAGAAACTGCAGGGAACTTGAGATTTGGGGCTGGACCTGGAGTCTGGATTGTCTTCCACCTTCTTGCCTGAACTCCGGCAGAGCTTTGCTGAGAAGCCTCGTTACCCAGCCATTGCCAGGCATCAAATTATATACTTGTTTCCTTGTTTATTGTCTGTGTCTCCTAAGATCCACCAGGGCAGGGGCACAGCTCTTACTCACAGCTGATTTCTTGCCCTAGAACAGAACCTGGCTTTTAAAAGTCTGGGGTAAGGTTTCCAAAAAGTCTCCCTGAGCCCCATAATGTGCCGGCTCCTGGGTCCTGACTGGCTTGCCTGGAGGCTAAAGTAAAGGCCATAAGACAATCCTGATGCAACAGGGACCTCTGCCAGGGCTCCCCACTGAGGGAGGCAGCAGTGGGGAGGGGGCAGCTGGCAGGCTGAGCAGGGTAAGTAGTGGGAAGAGGCCTCAGCAGTGCAGATCAGCACCTTCTTCAGGCATAAGTAGGGACTTGCTTTGGCCAACAAGGAAGCCTAGTATTTCAGACCGAACAACATGGCAGTTGTGAAGAGTTCAGAGTCCTGGTGTGTTGGGGATTTGTGAGCACTGTGATAGTATAAACAGGGGCCTCCAGGCAAGGGGAGGCCAGGCTGGAAGGGAAGATGAGGCAGGTGTATTTTGTTTTGGAGTCACCTGGAGCCATTCCCAGAGGTTTTAAGCAGCCATGTGACACTAGGCCTTTTTGAGTGGGTTCCCCTGGCAGTGTTGGGTAGAGGGGGCTGAGGCCACTGTCTAGGCAGGAGGCAGGACTGACCTGTGGCCAAGGTCAGGAAGGAGAGCATGAGCCTGTGGCTACTCCTCAAAAGAGAATGAAGAAGCTACACTACCTGCAAGTGGAGAAGCAGGGCTGGCCCTGACAGCTTGAGAGCCAGGCCGGCAGGCCTTTTGATTCTGGCCACAGGTTCCCCTGCCAGAGAGTTTAAAAACTCTCATTAGCAGTGCTAGGTCGTGCCTGACATGGTGTGCTTTGCATCTGTACTGGCCTTGGAGGGTCACCAGGCTGCTCCGTCTGCAGCCATGGTTCCTGGGGCCAGGTTGGGGTGAGCGAAATGTCCTCAAAGCTTAAGAAACAAGAACAAGGAGCCAGAAGATGTTTATTCAGCTTGTCCTGGGGCCTGCTGTGGCCAGCCTTAGCCAGACCCTGGGTCAGTGGGGGATCCCAGGCTGGAGGGAAGTGGAGGCAGGTGTGGTTGGTCATGGTCATCAGCCTTAGCTTGGGACTACCCTGGGCAGCCTTGTCACAGGTGGGTGATAGGCTAGCAGAATAGAGAACAGACAGGACGAACACAGCCCCAGGGTTTCCTGGCTTGGAGCAGAACCTCTCTCCTCCTTCAGACAGATATGCAGGACGAGGCTGCCAGCTTACAAAGGTCCCTCACCATGCCTGTGAAGGGTTCTGGATGTCCAGGCTACTGACCCAAACTCTCTCAGCCCATTTCCTCCACCTAAGAGGGGTGGGTCAGGAGAGGTGGCTAGGTCAGATGGCTCTGGTTTCCAGCTGTCGCCACTCACCCTACTAAGCTGAGCCACGACTGCCTCCACGCAACCAGACACCTTGGTCTGGTGAGGCTGTGATGTAGGCGCTGATAGGTGGGCTCAGAGCCATGGTAACAGGTGGCTGCCTCCACCACCACCACCGGCCTGGCCTGCTCTGCACACCTCCCTGCCAGTGAGTAGGAGTTGAGACTGCAGAGGGACTGGGACCTAGATGAGAGAGGACCCCAGTGTGCAGGGAGGGTCTGATGGCTGCTGCCTTCCAGATGGGCTTGGTCAAGAAAATACCAGTGTGAGAAGCTTCTTCAAGTAGGTCTGGGTTAGGGTATGAGGCTCACATGCCCCTGTGGACATGCTGCGGCTGGGAGCCCCCAAGCCCCGAGGCTGTGCATCCCTGGGCAGTATCTGGCAGGTAGGGCTTGTCAGGACTAAAGTGACATGACTTTCCCAAGGAGACCTAGGCTTCCTAAGGGGACCTCAGCCTGGGCCTGACTCTACCTTTTAGGTCTCTAGGAGACAAGGAAGGGCAGGACTGACTGGAGGGCCAGCGTGCAGAGGTGGGCAGAATTAGGGTGCGTTCCTAGTGGGCCACCTGGGCCTTGTTACAGGGGACCTAGACAGTCTGCTCAGCCCATTGCTTTGGGCTACCTAGGAGTCTCTATAGCAAGGTCCCCTTGGCTCCCTCTCCTCCCAGAGGGAGGGAAGCTTGGACATCTGGGGTGTATGTGTCAGCCACTTGGCCCAACCTGTTGGATCTCAGAGGATGCCGGATGTTGGGGGAAGGGGCCAAGGCTGCCTCAGTGGCTGGAAGTCTTTGGATTTGAGGGGCTCTCTGGGCCTTTAGCCCCTCTACTGGTTTTATCAGACCTCAGTCTCATAGGACTTGGGATAAAATGTATACTGCACCCCTCTGTGCAGCCCAGGTGGCCTCCTGTGGGCCTGATTCATCTTTCTCTCACCTCCCACAGCCCGACCTGCTCAACTTCAAGAAGGGATGGATGTCAATCCTGGATGAACCTGGAGAGGTTAGGAGGGCTGGATGGGAGGGGAGAGGTGGGCTGGGCTGGGCTGGTGCGGGGTCTCCCTGGCCTTTCCAGCCTTCTGGAGGCCCTCACCTCTGAGGGTAGGGGTGGAGCTCAAAGGTGGGGGCCAGGTGAAAGCCCTAGGGAAGTGCGCTCCTTGTGCAGTGGAAGAGAAGACCTGGCAGGTGGAGGACAGAGGCTGCTGCCCGTATGTTTCCTGAGCAGTCTACAGTGTGAAAGTCACAAGGTGGAGGCCTCCTGGCTACACGTGCCCCACACCCCTTTCTCTGCTCTCATCATGAGCTCCTTGGCCATCCCACTTCATGACCCTGACTAGGGATCTGAGGATGTGAGGTGGAGGGTTCACAGAGATCCCCTGGCCTGGGACAGACTGCCTAAGGCTCGGGCATGAGCTGAGAGCACAGGCTCAGAAGTTTTACCAACCCGGGACTCACTGGTGGAGTCACAGCGTTCTCTAGGCCTCAGTGGCCCCATCTGCGAAGTGGGCGTAGTGGGTGATGAGTGGAGAATAAAGTCAGAGATCAGCAGTGGAAGGGTCCCATAGTCCCTTTGGCCTACTGGGAGCTCAGCTCATGACCCTTCTGTCTGTCTACTGTATCTATCCTTGGAACCAGAAGGTACAGTGGCTATTTTGCCAGCTTTGCCTTTCTGCTGCCATACTGGAGCTTGGGAGCTGAGTTGGCATCCTGCCCACCTGGCCCGGGAGGGGCCACCTCTCACCCCAGCCTGCATGCGCCTGTGGCTCGGGTCTGCGTGCAGCCTGCATGCCGGGCAGGGCTCAGAGCCAAAGGGAATCTCATTGTGTTTCCTGCCCACACACTTTATTCCTTCCAGCCTGCAGCCTTCCGTCCCTGCTGCCTGCCCACCATCCCCTGGTGGCTGCTCTCCAGGAGCACACAAGGCCTGGCACCCTGCCAGTGACCCCTTCCTGGCCTTCCCACCCAGGGTCCCTGGAGGGCAAAGGGATTATGAGCCCCACCCAGAACTGGCCATTACTCATGCTCCTTCATGGGGTTTTGGAATGTCTGAGCTGGAAGGGCTCTGGGAGTGTCACCAGCCCAGCCCCCCATGCACAGACAGGAGATAAGCCCATGAGTGTCTGTCCCTTCTAAGCCTTGGACAGCTCAGGCTAGAACTGAGCACCTGAGGCCCATGGAGCTTATCCAGTTCCCAGCACGGACACCCAGAGTAGGCCTGGAAGGACCAAGAAGCTATTGACTGCCCCAGGTTGCAGAGAGGCAGTTGAGGTCCCAGGCAGCAACTTGATCCACTCAGGGAAGGCAGGATGGTCCTAAGTGGCCAGCCACTTGCCAATAGCTTGGTGCCCGTCCCTGCGCCAAGGGCTGTGAGAGACATGGGGTAGGTGTTTCTAACCTTACTGGAAGGCTTAGGAACTTTTTTTTTTTTTCAGTATTGGGGCTTGAACTCA